CGGTTTTGAGAAGAGGTGGCGGGAAGCCGGCGGCGGCGGTAATCTATAGCTTTCTCCATAATTCCATCTCCATTGACGCGACTGCCAACAGATGAGGACAGCCTGGCTACTGTCATTGGAGTTCTGGAAAGCGGTATTGAGATGGTCCATAAAGGTTCTGTTTATCCAATTATTCCCTCACAATTCACTCAAAGCTCATTTATAGCCTCCAAAACCGGCGATGCCAAATTTCGTCCTGAAAAGTTTCTTGCATCTGTGGTTTGCTGCTTCTGCCTTATGGATGAAGTGGTATACCTAACACGAAGTAGTATAATGCAGCAGGGCTCTTCGACAACGAATTGAGCGTGTGGCAAAATGCATCCAAGAAATGCAAATCAAGTTATCTAGTGTGGACTCAGCTCACTGACACCTTAATGTATGTTTGTCCTCCTTCAAATCCACATTTCGTCGTCTCACGAGTTCAATCAGAAAATTAGAACGATACGAAGAAGCTCGTCAAGTATTCGATGACATTCATACAAAACAATTAGACTGGCCAGAAGCTATTTGGGAAGCATGGGTCTCTTTCGAACACGCCCATGGTTCCGTTGATGATGTCGAAGCTGCCATGGACAAAATTGAAAAAGCTCAATATCAGACATATTCAAGACGGGCTAAGGTTCGTTTGTACATTTTCGCTGTTACGTGAATATTTTTTTTTGAAGTATTGCCAATCTACAGGAGGCGGAAAGGGCTGCGTACCAGGCAATGCAGACCGCTGCTGAGGCGCATTCCAATGTACCAGTGGTTCCTGGTTCAGAAGCAACACAAGATGACGTGGCCATGAACGTCGACGTGCAGGCTCCTGAACGTGGAAAGAAACGAGGTGCGGAGGAAGAACCTCCTTCAGAGGGACATAAGAAGGCGAGATTCGGTTCGTTATTTCATGCTCCCACGTACGTGCTAGGGCTGATGGAAAATGAGTAGAACAAAAAACCCCACCGCTAAGGAGGTTCGTCCACCCGGCGGGGTTGATGTAATCTGCTGATGAAATATATTAGGGACCGAGAGAACAGCACCGTCTTCGTTGCCGAACTGCCGACTGGAGTTACTGAAGATGAGTTGAAGGACTTGTTCAAAGATGTGCGTTTCAACCAGTTATTAGCCGACGGTTAAGTGTTGATGGTGTGCCTGTAGTGTGGAAGTGTCCGAGAAGTCAAGATAACACAACTTCCTGGTGAACTTGTGGCTACTGTCGAGTTCTTCCAACGGGTACGTTGTTTCCAATTCGTGTCTTTTTTGAAGACGCTAAACTTGTTCATGACTTTTTCTCTCCCAGGACAGCGTACCAGCTGCGTTGACAAAGGACAAAAAACGTCTACGTGACCAAGAAGTCGCTGTACATCTAGCGTGGAGGTCGACTCTTTACGTGACCAACTTCCCTGAATCGGCGGATGATCCATACATGAGAAATCTGTTTGGAAAGGTAGGACACACTTACCGCTTGTTGGGTTTGATTGATGACGCTTTGTCAGTATGGCGTTATCTTTGACGTACGATGGCCAAGCAAGAAATTCAAAACAACTCGTCGCTTCTGTTATATACAATATACCTCTCCAGTATGTTTTTTCTTCGCCTTTGTCGATCTTGTGGAGTGAAATGATGTTTTCCTTTGTCAGAATTCCGCCGAACGCGCACTAGAGCTTCATGGACGCGAGCTGGAGCCCAATCTTCCCCTAAATGTCTATCTCTCAAATCCTGAACGCAAGAAGGAGAGGACTGACCAAGACGCCAACGAGCGGGAGGTTTATGTGGCTGGTTTGAGTAAGTATACGACGAAAGCAGATCTTGAAAAGCTTTTCTCTACGGTACGGCGATTTTCAGTCTTTCGGTGGAAAGGTTCTGATGATTTTCATTAGTATGGCAAGTTGAAAGAAGTCCGGATAGCTACGGAACCGGACGGCCTTGCAAAAGGATACGCCTTCATTGAATATGAGGAAGCGGTACGTCACTTGTACCTTCAGTTCCCTTGCCCCAGTCTCAAATTGTTCGTTTTCAGAAAGATGCACAGACCGCACTAGCTGCCAATAACTACGAATTGAAGAAGCGTAGAATTGCCGTGACGCTGTCTGATTCTCGAGTACGAGCGCGACATCGGCAAGTTCTACCCATTTCAAAATATTGATTCTAGAGTTCTTAACGTTGAATTAGGTCTGAAATTGGACTGAGCCGAGTCGCAGAAATACGAAGTCGATCGGTACGGGTCCGCAACCTTCCACCTGCCACACAAGAAGGGTTGTTGCAGCAAGTTTTAGAAAAAATCGCACCTGTAAGGCGCGTTGAGGTGTTTGTAGATAAACAAGAGGCCGTCGTGGAGTTGGAAACCCCAGCAGTTCGTCGTTTTTTTGTTGTTGTTTTTCCGTTCATGATAGACTAATTGCACGCGATATCAGGAAGCTGGAAAGCTGCTGCTACGAACGGAGGCTGTGGTATTCAATGGTCACACATTAGAATTGACGGAGGAGGGTCGGGATGGATCGTCAACTCGTGCTTCTGCACCGCCGCCAAAGGCCGGAGGGTTGTTTGTGCCGAGGCGGGCAGCAGTGTCACGACCGCGTGCAGGGTTAGGGCACGCGAGAGCTGCTGTGGCTAGTAAAAGTACGACACAAGACCGGGGGGCAGCCTCTCAGGCGTCAAGTTCAAAGGCAGCATCAGGCAAAGGACAGGATGACTTTCGCAAAATGCTTGGGTAGTAGTCGTGACGTCACTATTATTAGATACATACATGCTACACGTGCCTGCTGCATTGTTGCTTCCGCGACAACATATCATCTTGTAGGCTCGACAATTGCACTTTACTGAACATCGAGGGAATGAATACACAGACGGCTGAGGCCAACACGGAATTCCAGGAATCAACCTCTATCACCTTTGAGTGGACCTTGAGGGGCCTCAAGAACCTTTTTGATTCGACCAAGGGAGACACCAAGTCAAAAGTCACAAAGTCGGCACGCTTCGGGGGAGGAAGTTGGCAAGTGCATACATGGTTACTTTCGCTGCTCTACCTATTCTGATGACGCTTCCCATGTACAGATTCTTTTCTATGCAAACGCTGGAACAACGAAAGAGGGAAGCAGCGACACTGGTGGATTTGTAAGCTTGTACCTGTCGTGCGAGGTTTGTCGAGTTGATTTGCATGACAAGTTGTTGGTTAAATGTGTATCGATGCTTGATAGCCAACGACGGAGGAAAAGGAAGCGGCGTTGGGAGATTCTGGAAGGCAAGATTCTATTCCACGAGGCTACTGGCATGTTGGGTTCACCTCGATGTTAGGTGGAATCGAGAAGGAATATACAAGTTTAGTTTCGAGCTTCGAAAGTGCGTAGATCGCGATTTGATTACTTGACTGGATCTCAATTTGTCGTTCAAAGTATTGGGAAAACAGTGGTGTACAACCTGAAGGAAGCTCATAACCATTCATTTTCGTACAAGGTGAAGTAATCTTGGATTTGATTTGCTTTTCAGATGCTGATGTATATCTAGACCGCAAATTGGGGATGGTGAGCAGGTTTCCTGAACGTCTATCACCTTACCGACCGATTTGAATGCAGGGCGCAATTTGCACGCAGAGATGCTGTTTATTATCAATCAACGCCCGTGAAAGCTCAAGATGCCTTCGTGATCATATGCACGATCACATCGTCGCCTGCAAACCCAAGACCCATCCCAACACTCCCTCGCCAGCCAGTACCGAAAGTTCTCTTGGATACCGTAGGAGCCCTGCTTGACGATCCCCTCTATTCTGATGTACAATTCATCATTCCCCGGCGGCATCAAGATTTTAGATACGCGCGCAGGATATGGGCATCTAGGCGAATGCTCGAACGAGCTGAATATTTTGAAACGAGTGAGTGAACTTGTTGCGTTATTGCTTCAGTGGTCAGTGATGGGTTGTAGTGTTCAATTCGAGCTTTGCGGAGACGTTGGAAGGTACAACTGCTACGCCGAAATCTGCTTCCCGTGGTTTAACGAGCCCGGGCGGCACAGACTCTGGTACCATCATGCATGAGTTTGAAGACTCCGACGATGAGGATGACGACGTTTTTGACACGTCTTCGATCTCTTCAGAGCAGGATTTACCACCTACTACGTCTACCAACCTGGAAGCCAGCTCAATTTACGTGGTTGACAGCCCAACAGAACACGCAGACAGAAAACGAGCCGAGGAAGCAGTGTGCTCGACAAGCTCTCATAGTCAAATGTCTCCCCGTTCAATGACACACCGGCCCCTCGACTCCTTCCATGGCTCATCAAAGATGACAGTCGTCGTCAGAGATATCGCCTACACTACGTATCGTGCCATGCTATACTATGTAGGCATTCAAGCTGCGTACACCGGAGGACCCTTTTTAACACAACTTTTCCGATAGCTTTACACAGATAGCATCGTATTTGCACCACTCTCGTCATCGTTTATGGGAAATAATTCTGGAACCGCGCGGGCAGCGAGTTCGTCTGTTGTCAGCCTTCCGAGTACGCCTCCAGAAGGCTCAGGGCAAGTACCCGGGGCGAAGCGCGTTGCACAACAGGATTCAGCGTCTACCAGGTCGGAGTGGATTTCAGATTGGATGAAGAACAATCCCGGGCGACCTGCGCCTTGTTCCGCCAAAGCTGCTTACCGAGTAGCCGACCGTATGCTTCAGAACTTCTTTCTTTTGCATATTTCTGGCCTAACATTTGCCAGGGTTGGATCTTGGGGAGTTGAAAGAGCGGGCAGCACAGGTAATCATCATTTTGGATTGTCTCAACTACGCAAAGATCTTATTCTGGCTAGCACATTTTCAAATCACTTACGGTCGACAATATTGCGTTGGAAGTCTTCTCTCCGTTTGCGGCTGCCTTTGACGAAATACGTAAGGTATGTTCGGAATGTATAATCTCACTTCAAAAGGACCGAGTTACCATCTTTCTTCAGGTAGAGATCGACTTTTTCTTAACACACTGGCAAGAAATCCGAGCATCAGAATCAATGCGAGACGTTTGGCAGCAAATCAGGAACGGCCGGCATCCTGGGTTCGAAGAAGGTTGATTGAATTAAAATCATATCCTTTCTGTGATTTCTGACCCCCCTTTCAGTCTGGCCTCTCATTGCTCAGAGCCTGGAGTTTAAGCCGACTGGTCCGACTCCGCACTCTCCAAGGGTTAGCGATTCTAGCCATCCCTGCTGATGCTGATTGCTTCAGGCTTGCCAAAGGGACGTATTGCCGTTCGCCATCACGCCTACAAGCTGCTGGGATGAAAGCTGTGCATATGTAGTAGTGCTCTGAGCTCCGTTCTAATGTAATAGTGTTATATCTACTCCGGAACTTCTGCTGGATATACGCATCTGACATACCTATGTAACGAAAGCTGAGGATTCCTCCGTACGCGTGGATGCGAATGCCAACACGGTAGTGAATTACTCAACACTCGTGAGGCTCCCCAGGGAGGTCGCCTCCGTTCCAGCCACACTGGCCTCTCCGTCATGTTCATCATCTTCAAAAACAGACTCTTGATCCGTCTGCGAAGAATAGGTTCGGAACTGTGTAGGAGTACTGTGCCCGTTCAACCGAGGTGAATATTCTGAGAGCGTTGACGGCGATCCCTGGAGCTGAGGGACTTGACCTTTGAAGTTCCCCTTTGAGTCTGCAGAAATTATGATGACGATGACGAGCTACCATTCACCAAGTGGCTGAGGGGTGTCCGCGCTTGATTTGGAGTAGCTGCAGTCGCCCTCGGTGACGGGATGCGTTGGGGTTGCATTGTGTGAGTGTGATGACCATGGTGATGGTGGTGGTGGTGGTGATGGTCATCGTGGTCATCATGAGAATGTGTTTCTTCAGCGTGTTCATGAATTGACCGCGCAAGAACCTCTCTATTCCACTGTTCTTGCTCTTGTCTTCTCCACTCGGCAAGTTGATGGGGACTGTGTTCTGTTTGAATATCTGCTGGGACGAAGAGTTCCTGTTGCTCGTATTCCTCCTTATTTTCGTAAAGTACTGCTGGGATCGTTCCAGGAACCCGATCTTCCGCTTGTGGTGGTATTCTATGCAGGAGCCCGAATCTTGTAAAGTGCTGGTGATGAGTTTCGAAAATAGCACACGACACGACCGGCCTTACCCGAAAACGCAGCCAAGCAGCCCTTCTCCGCCCCAATGACGATTGGGAATTAAAACGACCTCTCTTAAGGTACTATCAAGGCGTCAGATAGGCAGTCTCATTCTAAAACGTTAGCAAAACGAACTCAAAGTCGTGCGAGTACACATAAACTCTCAAGGGTTTATCAACATGCTGCAATTGGTGTTAGCGCCAGTAGACTTGCTCCTGAAACGGACTCACAGCTTCTACGAGGTCATAGAAATCATTTTCTGCACTGAGCACTCCTCCTGACCAGCCTTTAAAAGGTATTAGCGCAAATATGTGGAGAGGCATAAGAAAGATGAACCTAGAATCCAATCACCCATTGGGACAAGACCAGCACTTTCTGCTGGACTACCTTCCATCACATCCAGAACATGCCATACGTTGTCAGTTGCGATTTCAGGCTCACATATCCGCATGCTCAGCCCTAACAATGACGGTTGCGTTGAGGCTGATAGTGGTATGTGGTTCGCGTCAAAATGAGATTGAGACCACACCTTCGAAGGTGTAATGGGAACGACTACATGGGTGGCAATTAGCAGGCAAAAGTCCACCGTGGGACGTACACACCTCTCGTGCGTTGACTTTTGGCATTCCAAACCAATAGATTTAGAGTTCGGCCTTCATGACCTTCGACAATCTTCTCTAGCTGCGCAACATCTATGCTATTCTCGGAAGACAGGGAGTTTCCCTCGAATCCGACCACGAAATCAAAGAAAGGTTCGATGTTTGTTTGAGAAGCTGGGGATGATGGCGTAACTCTGAGGACGTGTAAGCCTCGCTTGGGTGGGTGAGCCTGAGACGTTGACTGGCCGGCCCCCATTGTCGTACCAGGGAGGAAAAGGGGTTAAACCAAGTTTGAGCAGCTACCGTTGAGACAACTGTGGTGGTTCTTGCCGACAACCCTGTATGCATCTGTTGTATGAATACTTCGTAACCACACTTGACACGACAACACATCTGCATCTTCCCCGGGCCGCAAGAAAATCAGAATTTCTTGGTACATAGCCGGTTAGACACCGAAGATTGGTACGCTCAAGTGGAGGAACGACGGAATATCCATTACTTAGTAAAAGTTTCCCCACCGACACCCACGAGCGTTGGAATAAGTACGTACAAGGAAAAACTTTCATCATCTGAAGGTTACAAGGGACTGGCGTTCAAATTATATGGGCGGAGTCATTTCTGCCCTGGCAACCTGCACAGCGTCTTCCAAACCCTTTCGATGTTGGGGAATAAATGTCGCAACAATGGCTCTTTCCAACAACCGTTCCAGAGGCTTTGAATGATACTTGATCTCCGGGAGCGGATCCTCCACCTGTTCTAGTTCCGCCAAAGTGGGCGCCGTGTATACTGGGACCTCAGTTGGAATGCTTCTGAAAAAGCGTACGTTCAAAATACTCATTTTGTCCTGCCGGGTAAAATTCAGAATTTTATCCACGAGACCCTCTGAGAGCTGCTCCTCCAGAGCCTCCACATCTCTTATACTGGTCGGCGCGCTGACGCCCAAGAAGTGGTCGCACCACAATTTCGAACCAAGTATTCGGTTTTCACGTACTTCAGCCCAGATTCGGTGAACAATATGTTTGACAGTGACATAGTAGGCTTCTATGGGTACATCTATGCGGTGTTGATCGAATGTGTTGACTGCGACTAGAGCAGCAGGATAATCACGATGTTGGAGGAAAGCGCGGAGCGCGACGGTTAACAGCGATGAGCTGAGCATCAGGGGGTGTTCTGGGTGCATCGTTGTATCAATCATGTCGCGAAATAGGGAGCGAGGGGGGTAAAATCCAGATGGGGGTTTCTTCGAGACTCTTGGACGACGACTTCTGAGTAAGCTGAATAACATGGCGTAGGTTTCCTCGTTTGGTAGAACTCCACTGTCAGCCATTTCTTTGAGGGAGGCATACACTGTGAAAGCAGATGAGCTGTGGTTGAGTCTGTGTTCTCTGCGCAAAAGAGCATTGAAGACGGTGAGGTCTAGGGTGAGCTGAGCGTGATCCATGATGAGCAAAATTTGCTCAACGGAGCCAGCATCATTGAGTGAAACATCGTTTATAGTCGACAAGAGGGTGGTATATGGCAGGAGGTCCCTGTTGGTGGAGCACATGCTATACTCCTTCAGAGCAACCAGAGCAGCGTCCGCGCCCTCGGTCAGAAACTGGGCACGAAACCAAATCGCTGCTAAGTCTGGAGCGGGTACAAAACCGTCACTTTGGGCTGTTATGTAGTAGTTGGTTAGTTGCAGCAAGACCTTGGGTTTGACCTTGCGCCTGGCTAACATTTGCATGATCTCCGTGAAAATATCTTCGGTCATATCGTGATGTGCGGAAAGGAAGACGAAAGGTATAATAAGACGTTCATGAGGATCTCCGAAGGATTTCGCGATGGCCGATGCGAGCATCCTGGCCTCCATGCTTGGCGAATGGAATATAGATTGCATGGTTTTGAATGCAAAGCTGGCTTCCGGAAAGTATGACGCATTCAGAAGGTCCTTTATGATAGAGGAATAAACGAGGTATTTGAATTTTCCGTTGAATCGCTTGCTATCGTTGAACTCCTCGAAAGGGCGGGGTCGTAGCTCAAGAGCTGCGTTACGAAGATCGCATACATATTTTTTGAAGATGTATGGGGGCTCAGAAGAGGTCGTCGACCGATCTGCAGAGTGGGCAAGACGAGTGAAGAAAGATGGATATAATGGCGGCCGTTTGAGTATGAAAGGAGCTTTGATACAAGCAGCAAGCATGAAGCAAGTCAGTCATAGTGAGAAAACAACGGTCCGTCAAAATCGGATCAAACATGTTCGGTCACGTGGCGCCTCAAATTTTGGACTGCTGTTTCCTTTCCACTCAACTGGAACTCGGAACGTTTACCCAGCGTTTACCTCTACAGTTCAGATGTGGTCGGTTTATTTTATTTTATTCAGCATATCGTGCTCGTCAGACTGACAATTACTCTCATCTAGTTGATCTATGTCCCTGTGTAGCCGCGTACCTGCTTGCATCACACATTTCCCTTCTTTGCGAAGCAGCGTATCAAACATCGCTCTTATTGCATCTCATCCTCGAACATCTTCTCGGAAGTCCCAAACAATACTGTCTCCACGATCAAATTCGAGCCATGTCGTAGTTCCCGTAACGGGCGTGCTCTCTAGAATTCCCCCCAAACCCCATAACATGCGGCCGGCACCAAGCATTTTGGCGCGGTTTAAAACTGCGCGAAGGAAAGGCGAGCTTGCCACCTTTCCCGCGGAATGTTGGCTGGATGTCCTGAATGAGGCCTTGGAGATTAGGTCACATCAAATGGTGGACCACCTCGTCAGCGAGATAGACTCCCATCCCGGAGATGAGTCGGAACGAAGGAATCTTCTCTGGACTATTGTACGTGACGGGAGGCTCAAAATTATAGAAAAAGAATCCATGCGATCATTGCTTGAATATCTCGACCGGACGCCCGGCGACATCGAAGGCTCTTCTCCAGAAGCTTTCGATAAACTATTGACATGGGCTCGCAATAATACATATGAATTAGGGCACGGGAATACGTTTTATCATATTATGCGATTATTGCTCCCCTTCCTACAACAACTCCAGCTCCCCCGAGACTTCGTCATACCATATACCCCCCCTCCAGTTATCCAATCTACAATTGCTTTTCTCCAGTGGATCTTGCAACAATCTGAACTGCAGGAGAGCGCACTGGAGATTTTTGGTGCCTTGGTGAATTCAGGCTATATCCCAGCAGAAACACTACCCGAGGACAATGGATCCCTCACTTTTGATTCTGTTGTATTCCCAGCGTTGACGAGAACATGCCTCCACTGGGGGTGGTCGCCCCTCGCTTCCAGCTATCTTCTTGGCTTCATGGAGCGGGAGAATGCGCCTACCAGCCTTTGTGCCATCCTCGCTGCAGAAACCCTTCGCTCGCTATTAGAGGATGCAACCCCCGCGGAGCTTGACATTTGTGGTCGTCTGATCCGTTCAACGGACCCCACGTACCCGATTCCAGACCCCCTGGTGTCTCAAATCTATCGCTGTGCTAGGGAGGTGGCTCACGGGGAGGTCGCGGAGATACTCTATGCTTACTCTAGACAGCCCGAAGTTATGCGGGTTCACCGTTATCCACCACCTCAAGGACTAGACCTGTCGTGGCTCGTGCACTACCTCACAAAGCGTAGCAAAAGCGTTCATTTGTGCAAACGATTAGCTAGAGAAGTCGTCGAATTGGACTTGTCATTCCCTACTCAGTATGTCGCCCGGTTCATTGCTACCATCGCCGAATTTGGACATTCGACCTTAGCTCGGGCGCTCTGGGAGAAATTCGCGGCCTCCGAAGACGGCAGTGCTGTCGTTGGTGACCCCGGTTTATTGATCGCAATGAGCAGGCTCTTCCTCTCTCAAGTGAAGCGTGTCGAGAGCGACATTGCTCAACGCGACAGAGACCATCCGGCTCAGGGAAAAATACGTTTGCAGACAAAACTGGATGACTTCTTAGCCTTCTTGGATCGCCTCTTACAGGAATTTCGCGCTCACCATGAACCCTTGGCTGAAGCAGAACATCACATCCTGACGACTCTCGCCCGGGCTTGCTTTATCCATGGAAAATTTGTGGACGGATTCGCCGCTTTTCAATGTCTTTTGGACCGACAAGAAGTTCCTGATCGTTACGACGTCAACGTGGCGTTGACTGCTATTGCTGAGCATCACCCCAGAGTGGCTTCTCAATTTGTGGATTTTATGGTAAAACGCAAAATTCAACCCGACGATTCCACTTATTGCACTATAATGAATGCGGCTCTGGAACACAAGGACTTCAACCTCGTTGATGAGATGGCAAATAATGTTTTGACTATGCAGGAAGACCGCGAAATCAACATCAAGTCGATGATGGTATTGATCAACGCGACCGCCACTCCTCGTCCAGGTGAGGAGTTGTCAGAACAAAGGTCGCGACTTCGGAAAACGATGAAGCTCGTACAATCTTGGATGGAAAACCATCCCATGCCATCGATGCAGGTCGGAAAAGCACTTGTCCTTGCTTCTCTTAGGGCAGGCGATTCCGAGATGGCCTTCAGGTTCTGGAAAACGTTGCTGAGGGACAGCACTGAGTGGAATGACGGAGATCAAATCCACTTGCGAGCTCTCCTGGCGAAGAAGATCAGCAAGGATTACCATTCAGGCTCTGTCAGAAAGGAACTCGGCCGCTCAAGCCTTACGCAACTCCGTTTTCCGCCAGAGCCATTCTCATCCATGTCATCCAGTGTTGGTGACCCCACAGATGATCACCGTAAGTGACATGTCGGCCATCTAACGACCAGGGTTGCTTCACGCTCTCGTACCTTCATCCCACGTGTCCCCAGTTGCACACCTCAGAAGGTTTCGAGCAAGGACACGGATGAAGTTGTAAGCCACGACGATCGCCCTTCCGGAACCGAACCTGCACGAAAGACACCGCAGGTCTCTCTTTGGGATAGTTTTGTGGAGCTGATGAGATCAAACAATTGGAGAGAGAAGTCGTGAAGCGGCTACGTTTCTGGTTGTATCCCATGAATGATCGAGAGAAGTCAGAGAGTGAGAGAGTGGCCGTATGAGGTTGTGTTGCAGGATGGATGCTATTACGAGTTGTCGAAATCAGCGTTTTTTCCTCCTCCTTCAGACTCGCCCCACGGGTTTGAAATCTCATATAAATGTGGAATTTTATCTGCCGAATCTATATATTTTCAAGGGTCAATTTCTGAAGTTGTAAAAGATACAGTCAGACCCAACGTTGATGATCTCCGAGCTCCCCGACTGACTTTTCCGGCAGCCGCTCTTACCTCATCACATTATATAATCATCGGATTAGTCATACCACTAATAGCGTGGTAAAAGCAGCCTGCACCAAACTTTTCTTCTTTTAATAACTTTTGCAATACTCAACGTACTCTCTTGAAACAATTTTTATCTGGAGCTCCTATATATGTTCTATGCTCGTGCTGAGTTTTGTGTGCACAGGATGAGTATCAAACAAGCAGCGATTTGTTCAAAAGTGGGTACTTGACAGAAAACTTTCCCACCACTGAATGTTACACCAGTATTTTCTTCTGAAATTTGGAGGAAACAAAGAATGTAGATCATCATATTTGAATGTACGGTTTTTCCAAAATATTTCCCTGTCAGGTCTAAAGTGAACATTCAATTTTGATGTAACACTAGCCGGTGGATGAATGTACGCGAGTTTCCTGAGTTGCGAGGCGCATCCTGAAGTTGTCCTGACGTCGATCCAACCCTCCTACCCTTTCGAAACTTGTGAAGCCCTAGTTTACTATCTCTACGCAAAATGGGGAAAGTACAGCTACCGTATTTGGAAGGCATACAATTAAGTCCGACATTCGCATCTTGATCGAAATTTCAAGGAACTATCCAAAACTCGCAAAAGGGTTAAAGAATGGGGTCGACGTAAGCTCCTCTCGTAAGTGATCTCAGGTGATCTCTGCGTATTTTTCGGAATGAACAGAGCGCGAGTTGTGTGATCGCTCGCGTCTACTATTATTTACTATTTATTTGCACGGAACCAATGCCCGGACGTTTTGGCTGTTTATTTTTAAACATTTAACCGGCTGAGAGGACCCTCTCTGGCAAGGAACAACCGAGCAGTCGGCTGCTGAGATCTTTCGATGTCCTGATCAAGTCGGATTTAAGTCTTGAAACATCGTGAAGAGAAGATTCACTCTTCACGGCGGCCGAACTAAACAAATGGCCACGGGAACCAACAAACAGACTCGTTCTCCTCAAGAAACGCCAGCATAAAACGCCGCTCCTGACGACCGGAAGGCCCCACATTTCCTGTCCAACTTGACATGCCTGCTGCGCGCCCAAAGAAAGAGTCTACCCCTTCTTCCGATGACGGCTTTCATCTTCCGCATACACACGCCGAAAACAGCAATACCCTCAAGAAAAGGTGTGTACTTATTCCAACCATCGTCCTATTGTAGCCTGTTGTTCCCTTTATTGCCCACTGGAGATTGCCCGATCTTTCTCCGTTCTAGACTAAATACCTCTTCATCCCGCTTTCCGCACCTTGTCCTGTCTTTCACTTTGATTCAAGACATTCTCTATGTCATTTTCATTTACCTTTTATTCATGAATCTTACTGACCAATTTATCTGTTTCAATAGGCGCCAATCCCAAAGTTTGTCTCGTTAGTTTTTATCAGAGATCCACTCACCTTCTCGTCAGGTTGTGATGCTTGCAGAGCCCGTAAAGTCCGGTGTGCAAGAGAGAATCCTGATGATCCAAAACAGTCATGCAAGCATTGTATAACTTTGGGCATTCCGTGCACCTACGATTATCAGCCAAAGAAAAGAGGGCCACCGAATCTGTAAGCTGAATGCGTGATGCCACCCCATTTCCGCTAATCAACCGATTTACAAAGGTACCTCCGACGCTTGCAGGAGGCGGCTGCTGCAGCAAGCGACAGCCCTACTGAGGTGGACCCATCACCTGTATCCGCGAGATCGAGTCCACCACACAGCGTCGGTGCTTCACACCGTGGCTCAAGGAGTCCGCCATTTCTTGAACCATGTGTTCCTACAGTTCCATCTGTCCCTCTCGCGCCATCGCATTATTCTACGACCGCCGACACATATTATTCTTCCCATAATTCGCGCTCTTCGTCATATAACAGTTCTCACTCGTGCGAGTCCGCAAACGGTGCCAATCTGCTCCATTCCCACATGTCACCGAAACACGAGTCACCTTTCACCTCACTAGATACGTTTGGCTCATATCCAATGTACGATTGGTCTTTCAAGCAGCCTCAAATGCTTCCAATCTGTCCGCCTTCTACGGTCCCAGCCATTAACTACTACTGTAGGCCCAGGCGACTCGAGGAAATTGCACCCAGAGACACCATCTCTCTCATCCTTGCTCTTTTCTTCGATTTCGTTTATCCTCTTACGCCGTGCATACATAAACCCTCCTTCATGGCGGATTTGCAAGCACGCCGAGAAGAACAAGATCCTCTCTTTTTTGCCTTGGTCATGTCAACGGTAGCATCTACACTGGTTCAAGTCCCCAGATCATATCTCCCGATGGAGCGTTCTGTTGTTAGGAAATTAGCGCAGGTTTGCTTCCCTCCATTTTTTAACGGAGTCTGGCTGATGATATTTTTTTAGACTTGTTACGAAGCTAGCCGTCACATTACGGTGGCTACATATGACCCGACCTCGATGCACGTGGCGATTCGATACCTGTAAGCATCTCGTTTTAGGCTTGACCCACCGCTTACAATGTGGGGCATAACAGTGACTGCGTTTATCATTTCTGTGAAGGAAACGACGCCACGCAGCACGCCTGCTTTGGCGAGGCCGCACACATAGCTATCACCCTTCGGATGCACGAAGAATCGTCTTATGAAGGCCTTGACCTTATAGAGAGTGAAGTGCGACGAAGGATATTTTGGCTTCTCTTTGGAGCTGACAAGTCAATGGCAATCCTTCTTGGACGACCTATTTGCTTGCGTGACGAAGATTGTACTGTCCACTTCCCTAAGGAGTTGGATGACGAATAGTGAGCTACATGATTTCTTCCCGAGATTAAACACTAAACGCATTTGAATTCTAGTATTACGCCCACCGCCTACTTGCCGCAGCCACACGGGAAGACTGCTATTTTATCCGGTCTTAACTATTGCTCAAGAATTTTTGCCCTTCTTGGAGAGATTCTCGTTCGGATCCGAGTCGATAAACGCTCTCCTCCTCGGGGCCAATTTGCCACCGCAAGGCTCGAGGAGGTAGAGTCGCTTCATATACGAATCATGGCTGCCCTAAGCCATGTCCCGGAACCGTTGCGATTAAAGCCAACAAGCTTTCACCGACACGTCCCTGTTGAATATGGCGGTGCTGGTTTTCGCCGGACGACCTTTGCCGAAGTAAAAGACTTCTTCGACAATCCCAACGCATCTCGGGTCAATGCTCTGAACCCATTCCTTGTTATGCAGGGAAATCTTTACGTCACTCAGGTAACAACTTCCCGCAAACAACATTCGTAGACATGCTGAATCTTATAATAGCAACTGGTCCGCTTTGTCATCGAACAATATCGGGACGAGCTTCTCATGTCTTTGCACGGGAACCTTGATGAACAACATGTTGCTCAGGATCGTGAGGCAGTTGCGAGCAATTTGTTGAACATTCTACACAGGTAGGCGCATCATTTATTTCCCATATGATTCCTTGGTGGCTTATAGATAATTCGCGCAGTATACCCATCCAATCCATCGCGACGAATGGCCCAAGTTTGGTGAGGCTTGATTCAGTATCCCTTCATACCATCGGTATTCATTGTTCCCCAGGTACACAAAGTTCGATTTGTGGCATCGACATTGCTTGATGCCGTTCGCAAGGCCGAGACAGCGCCAGCATCGGCTGCCCGAGCTCACGCCTATCTTTGTGAGGATAATTCTATGCTTCGCGTTTCATACAACTTACCATATCTCAGGGGACTTCCTAAGCATTTTATCTGAAATTGAAAGAAATTATTTGTTCGTTGCCCGGCTTTCAACCACTCCACATAGTCTGACCTTTCTTTCAGGTTAGATGACGGCACAGACGCCACCTCCAGTGGAGATGGAATGACCCTGGTCGGATAACTGTATTGGAATGCCCTGTATTTTCGTTCTTGCTCTCGAAAACTTCTGTTTTTTTAGGATACCCTCCAACATTGCTTGGATATACCATTTGTATAATATCCCGCTGTTTTTATATCCATATATGTAGCCATCAAGAAGTATTTCAATCGTGTCCTTCGCGAAATAATAAATTTAGTTTTTCTGTGTCCAATCGGATATTGCCATTTTTGGAAGTCGCATGATTTACGCGTCAAACAACACTTTACCTCGACGACTGTCACGCATTTGAACAATGGCAGGTCTCCCTGACAAAACGGGAAAAGCTGGTCTTACAGAGGAGGAAGCGAGTCGATATGATCGGCAAATGAGACTGTGGGGAATAGAGGCACAACAGAGGTATGAGGAACACAACCAGTCTGGGGCAGAAAACTCTTAGTTAACACGTGTAGGATGCGGAATTCTACTATTCTAGTTATCCGTCTGCGAGGTGTTGCAACAGAGTCCATAAAGAACATGGTTTTGGCAGGCATTGGCACACTCGTGGTTGTTGATGGAGAAGACGTCGCCGAGGAGGACCTAGGCGCTGGTTTTTTTTATAGAGATGAAGATTTCGGGAAGAACGTAAGGTGTCTCAATTTTGAACGTGCGCAAGTATGATCGTTAATCGCCGACTTCATGGTGATAGAGGGTTGATGCTGCCAAGGCAAGAATAGAAAGCCTTAATCCACTTGTCAATGTGGAGACGATCTCAAATAGTTCAGCATTGGAGGGCGAGGAATTTGAAGCGCTTGTGAGGAGGGTTGACCTTGTGTGCGCTACAGATTTGGACCAAAACACTCTTGTGAGTCAGTATTGTGAGGAGTTCAAGTTAATGAATGTCAGTTGAACGTTCTACTAGGTTCGTATGAACGCGGTGTGCCGTCAATTTGAGAAACCCTTCTATGCTGGAGGTACATACGGACTTGTGGGATACATCTTTTGTGATTTGCTGCGACACGAATACCTCGCTCTGTGAGCGATCTCCATTTGCTTGCAACGTTTAGTTTAGCCTTAGCTAATGGACGTCCAGCGACCGCTCTACACCTCAAGAGCAGGCAAAAACTATCAAAACGTCAGCTGTCTATAGTCCTCTGCAAGAGGCTATTCGTTATCGCTGGTCCAACCTTACCAAAAGGCAAACGAAGGAGATTAATCCTGCCCTTGTATTTGCCACTCTCGGTACGTTTGTGCATACCTTCTATTCCCATCGAATGACATCACGAGTCCTTCATCAAGCGCTTTGGCAATTCCAATCACTTCACAGACAGCTACCAGACGACATCACACATGCTGATGAACTAGAAGCAACGGCTAACTCCTTGCTGCTGTCCGCGGACGTTAACAAACAAGTCCTTAGCAGCGTGCCCCGCTCCCTTATCGAGTATGTATAACCCGAGAATTTGCTTCAACTATCCAGTTTCAAGGTGCTTTTAGATCAATTTCGACAACAGCCGGCCACGAGTTCTCTCCCGTTTGTGCAATTGTGGGCGGAATGCTAGCGCAAGACATTCTCAAAGCACTGGGAGGCCGCGAGCCACCCATTGCCAATTTTTTCTTCTTCGACGGTAACACCGGAGGTGGTACTGTCTGCCGCATGAATATGCCGTGAAGAACCCCCGAATTTGGTTACGGAATGTAGGTACTTATGCATTGATAAACAGGCTTCAATATCCACGTGGGGGTGATTACCTTTTCCCGATGTTTCACGGCGTACGCTGATAACCTCCGAGTTCTGTCATGTCCTAAACTTTGTCTTTGATCTCATGCTAAATTGGTTCAGCCTTGAACAAAACATGATTTGCGTTATACATCGGGATGAATTCTTTTCTACATAGGGATTGCAAGTCCCACCCACACAAACAACGCAGATGATTCTCGTGATCTGATGGCATATATAGTTCCAGCTGGCAGTTGGTGGCACTACTCCCTGGAAACGCTTTCACCGATTGTGGCAGACTTAGGATGTGGCCTTCTGAATAAGGATAATGAACTGGTAAGCCGTCACAGCCCGTCACTCGCAGTTCGGCATATTGACGGTCGTGAGTTAGCGGCCTCCCTATGACCCTCACGGCCCCGCTCTGAGAGGACCCCGATTGAGTTGAATGACAACTGAAAACGCTGGCAACAACCGTAGTGTACCCGCGCGAGATCCAGTGAGATCCATCACACGTTTTCTACACGGAGATGAGTGGATCAATGCTCGATCGAGAAGATAGTGCCAGATTTTCCCCTCTCGAGCCCAGCTTGTTAATATGCGGAATGATTGGCGAGTTGATATCGATAACAATATGCAGGCGTCTTTTTTTAACACTCCCCACGATGGCCCACGATCTCCCCAAGGGGATCCCCACGCGTACGGGAATAAGCAATGTCGCAGGTATAGATCTTCCCATGAATGGTGGCATGGGGGTTGACATAGCTACTTTTTTCCCCCGATGCTTGGTTATGCCTCTTTTCGAAGTAGTACTCTGCAGAAATGCTGCCATCCCTCGAGAAATTCCGAGCAAGAGTTTGAGGAGATTCACTTAAGCCAATGGCATTATTGTGAGCTAGGAGAGCTTGTTCAGCTTGGAGACTCTATTTAGGCTCGCCGCTGATGCCTTCAAAGGGTAAAAGTTTGGTACTTTGACGAGCCTCCATATTCGCGCCAAACAAAATAGATCAGAAGTTCATATTGCGATTGGACGATGTATAAAAACCGCTAGGCAGGTCATTTTCAATTGCCAAGAATAGGTGGCGTTGTTGTAAGATTCGACGTAAAGGGGATTGTGCAAATAAGAGGAGCAAAAGCGAAGAGGTCTGGAATTGAGATCGGCATCATTCCTCGTGATCCGACTCGCGCCGTTGCCAATTGAACTTGTTACAACTGGATCAGTCTTGCATGAGATGGTCGGAGATTGGTACCTTCCGCGAGAGGTATACAAGCCTCAGACGATCAGGCTCCGTTTATCACCGATGTCGCCTTGACGATTTCGATTGCCTGGTGCAAGAAGCTGCCCCGCATTCTACCATTAAATGCCACGTTAATGTCGACGAAAAGGAAGGAATATTCGCGACCAATTGTCTGCACGGAATTATGGCCGCAACGAGTCCGATCTTCGGTCGGGTTGTTGATTATTGCCCACGACCTGGATTGGTCGAATAAATCGCATAATCATGGTTAACTAAGTACCAAGTCAGTGCCCTCGTTGTAGTTTTCAAGAGTGATGACATAGGACGACATACGTGACAGGGTAGAATGGAAGTCATACCAAGTTGGCACGCGACCACGACTCAAAAGGCCCGTGCATTTCCGTTCAAGGGCTGATGAAATATGTGACATGAAGACAAAAAGTAACATAGAATTTAGTTACAATGTCTCCCAGGAGAGTAAGTCACTGTCCAGACCGGAGGAGGTTGGTATGTGGACGTCCTTGGTCGCGATTGAAGTTGAACAAACACCGAACAAACATTAGAATCTTAAACCAAGTCACGTTATCAGCGCCAAGAAGTACGTCATTGTCCGTCTTCCCTTACGGACAGTCATGTCATCTACGTTTGCGGAGGTTATCCAGCAAACCATCGCTGCTAAGCATAACGACCATGTCCCTCTAGACAACGTCCACGTCCCTCTAGACAATGAACACGTCCCTTTAGATAACGGCCGCAACGATACATCACACAATGGCTCCCTTGACCATCCAATTCACACTCACTTTGAGGATGAAGACCACTTGTTGCCCTCATCCTTACATATGTCCTCCTTCACGCAACCAAACACGCCTTCGGCGAGAACAGGTCCCCCGCGCTCCCTATCTTTCGCCTATTCTCTTCCGAATTCCCCGTCAAGGAATAATAGCAAAGGCGTAGACGCTGTAGACATCCCCCCCGACTCATCGTACGACGAAGCGTACCCATTCTCCGCTACAAACTCCGACTTTCGAGGTGCTTTGGAATACAATGATAATATAGATAGGAAGGGTAAAAGGCGAGAAAGCCGCTTCATTGACGAAAGCTGGAATCCGATGCGTTGGTTTCAAGAGTCTCCCAAGGAGGAGAAGTCAGTCATGGACTTCCCGTCGCCTGATGCTGAAGAGAAAAAAGTTACTGGCCAATCCGACAAGGAGAATGACGAGAAACGATCTCAATATTCCCCGAGCCGACGCGTATCCGTCAGGAACGACTCTGGTCCCCCACTTAACACCTCGAAGTCCAGATCGGCCTTGCGGCGCGCCTTCTCTACCTCTACTGCTCAGACCACTTCACCAGATGGGAACAAAGACGGTAAGGCTAGGTGGGCGCGTCTACGCGCCTTGCTACCCCACATCGTTCACCCTGATGAATCCATCCTCCCTGGCCCGTCTGTTGTTACATCCCAAGCTGTCAACATCACTGACGAGCTTATCACGGGCGGCCTTTCTACACTCATGTTGCGTCTCTGGTTTGAAAGGGACGAGAAGGGCCAAAGACGCGTCCCCGCCCTTTTTCATCGCTTGCGCATTCGCGTTAGTGACAGCTTGCACCCAATGCACCACCACAAATCTGTCTTCCGTATTGAATGCGAATACGCAAACGGTGCTGCTCGTTGGGTCATTTATCGCGAACTTCGCGATTTCCTTTCTCTTCACGGTCACTACGCTGTCTCTAACGTCTATAACCGCAACGTGGACAGAATGCCTGAGTTTCCACGCACTAGTGAGTACTAATATCATTCCATCACTGTCTAGCTGATATGCTTGTAGGTCTTCCGTACTTCAAGTTTTTGAAGAAAGAAGGTCGGGAAAAAGGTGACATCGTTGGCAAAGCTGATTTTGCTCGCTTACAAAGAGAGGCGTTGGAGAACTATCTTATTGAGCTCATCCGTGGCGTCGTATGTCTACGCCGACCGCCCATCCTGTCATTGTGATACTCATTGTCCAATTAGATGTTCCACCCTTCAGCGAACCGCTTGGCAGGTTTTTTGGAAATAAGTGCGCTGTCTATAGCTCTTGCGCAATCTGGTGGCGCACAGTACAAGGCCGGATATCTCAAGCTAGAAGCTACTGGCAATGGAGGGTCTGGCTTTGGTCGTAAGTCGACAAGTTGGCACGCCCAGAAGGAGTCTCGATGGTGTGCGGTGCGCGAAAGTTATCTTGTCGTCCTGGAAGAGCCTGGAGAGGTGCGTAGTTCTAAAAATTTTAAGTACCACTTTTGATGGTTACGTTGATACACAGTTGACAGTCTACGACGTCTTTTTCCTCGATTCTGGTTTTAACATTGAGCGACCAACGCGATACTATCGGCAAAACTTGGGTAATTTACTTAATCACAGTAGCGACCCGAAGCCAGAAGGGAAGGACAAGGACCATATATCACGCCCACAAAACTTCCAGACTTATCTGGACCCTCCCGAAGACGAACATCGATCAGTTATATCCTCTATAAAAACGGGTGTTTCCAAGGTTTTTCATATAGAGCATAGCTCCTCCAAGAATTCACATGAGCAGCCAAGAACGCATGGAAGGGTACGCAGTGGCCACGAACATACCCAGGGCGATAATGCTTCGATTGCATCGACCGTTTCGTCTTCTATCGCTTCTACCGTCCCATCTAGGTCACCAACACCTATGTTGGACCCATCAACCAATGCAGATCCCTTGACGACAAACGTTCACGACGGTGACGACGAAAAAGCTCAGCAGGAATGGAAGGACGGCCATAAGACCGTCTCCAGAACAGACGTTTCCAAACATACATTTTACATCGTCAACTCGCAAATGAGGTTGAAACTAATTGCAAAGAACGAGGTGCTTGTTCAACGTTCTCTATTATGCAACGCCAAGATTGATCCATCCTGTATAACTAGCGCCAAATGTTGCAATTTATCACGGCATTGGAGAAGGCAGCTTCAAAGTGCCATTTTACGGGCACCCACCGTTTTGACAGCTTTTCGCCGATCCGAATGAACGTTGCTGCACAGTGGCTAGTGGATGGGGTGAGACATGACAATTGATCTTTTTGTTATTTTTAACCTGATCCTTTCCATGTTTTTCACAGCGGGATTACTTTTGGAATCTCTCCCGTGCGATTTTGCTCGCAAAAGAGACCATTTACATCCACGATTGGTGGCTTTCCCCAGGTACTGCATCCGTTCCTTGCGATCAATTTTGAGGCTCACTCTGGTCTCAGAATTGCAGATGAGGCGACCCAATAAAGACAAGTATCGTTTGGATCGGCTACTGGCTCGAAAAGCGAAGGAGGGTGTGATGGTTTACATCATTCTTTAGTGGGTATCATGCGATTTCCGAGTTACTTCCTTTTTTCTGACACATGTTACTTAGCCAGGAGGTGTCCAATAGAACGACCCCAACAGATAGCAAGTAAGGAGCCGACGTGATGCCATTGAACAATGCTGATGTCGAAAGTCTCTAGTTATTCAAAGCAAAGACTGACCTCACTTCATCCGAATGTGATGGTTCAACGGTCGCCGTCACACTTCCAGACAGGAACGTATTACTGGGCTCACGTGCGTTGAAGTGAAAGGTATTCTGCATATCTATAATGTTGAGCTGAGCTTTTCCAGCATGAGAAAATGTGTGTCATTGACCAGGTGATCGCATTTATGGGCGGCATTGATCTTTGTTTCGGACGGCGAGTTCTTCGATCAACACTCCGCATCGACCATCCTAACTTGCAGAGATTAGATGGGATACAGCTCAGCATGTGTTGACGGACGATGTGGCCGACACGGAAAGATCAGAAATTTGGCCTGGTATGCGAACGAGTCGAGCGACAAAGTTTGTATTCTGACCCGTGTCCAAGGAAAGGATTATAGTAATCCTCGCGTCTCTGATTTCCATACACTCTACAAACCTGAGGAAGACATGTATGATCGTACCAAGACTCCGAGAATGCCTTGGTGCGTTACTGGGTTGTGTTGATGTCCTCCGATGGTGATCTTTTCATCAGGCATGATGTTGGGATGCAGATTGTTGGACAGCCTGCGCGGGATCTGGCACGACACTTCGTTCAGAGGTAAGAGCATTTTATGCTTGTCAATATGGATTTTTAACCTATATATTTAAGGTGGAACTATCTTTTAAGAATCAAGGTACGTTGTTTGTTGCCGTGCGCGATGATGTTAACCACATAACAATCTAGAACCATACACGGGTTATGCCCTTTTTAATTCCTCCACCAGAATTCAGGCCAGGAGAGCTGACTCAGATGGGGCTGACGGGGACATGTGAATTGCAAATATGTCGCTCCGCAGGTCCCTGGTCACTCGGAACGCCTGGAAAGATTGAGTCTTCGATCCAAAACGCGTACCTCAAAGGTAGGTACGAGTGAGTTCAGCCAACCAAGACATAACGAGCATCCTGAATAGCGATCCAAATGTCTGAACATTTTGTTTATATGGAGAACCAGTTCTTCATAACTTCGTAAGTTGTTATGGCCATTACGAGTTGCATCGTATGTACTCAATCTCTCCAAGCACGGTGGTAAATGAAGTCGAGATCGAAAATAACATCGGCAACGCCCTGGTACAACGGATCATCCGTGCCCACCGGGATCATACTCCCTGGAAATGCTGTATACTCATTCCATTGCTCCCGGGATTCACCTTCCCAGTTGATCATAGTGATGCCAGCGCAGTACGACGCTTCTTGGTCCCCTGCGCAATGGTTAATCTCACTGTCACGCATTGTAGATCCGGATAATTTTGGAGTGTCAGAGCCGGACTATAGCTCGTGGCCCCAACTCCATTTTTTGCCGGCTGCGCAAAGAAGGGATAGATGTATGTGATTATCTGATTGAAAACGGGTTGTATACACTAACTTTGATACTAGCCCGATGATTACATCTCAGTCTTCTCATTGCGCAATTGGGCCAAGATGCGGGGTGATGTACTTACTACGGAACAGGTGGGATCTCTCCGTTGCTCTACCTACATCTTCTTCATCGTGCATTAGGTCTACATTCATGGTAAAGTCTGCATCGTGGACGACCGGTTAGCTATCATTGGAAGTGCAAACGTCAATGAACGATCTCAGCGCGGTGATCGGGATTCCGAGCTAGCTGCAGTGATCAGGGACACGGACATGCTTGACTGGCGAGTTACTCCTGAATATGAAGCAGCTATGTTTTCGACTCACTTTGGCACAGCACTATGGCAGGAAAACCATTCAAGGCCGGTCGGTTCGCTCATACGCTTCGGGTGCGTCTCATGCGTGAACATCTTGGCGTGGACGTGGACGCTTTGATTGAAGAGGACCTTAACATGAAAGGGTCCTCGATGGCCGAGTCTCATAAAGAACCTTGGAGTCCTAACGCTTATAAGACGCATGGAAGGAGAAGCACCGCGCCTTCTGCTTCAGGTAGCTCTTCTGCTTCAGGTAGCTCAGTTGGTGAAGGTAATTTATCCAATGAATTGAAGGGATCTAAAATGAGGAACGTCTAATTCTACAGCTAAGCTTGCGCATGATTATTATGCACAGGATGCAGGTGACAACCTTGACGCGCCACGAAAGGATCATAATTCGACTGGAACTAGTTCTAAGGCCCCTAATGTACCAACTTTGGAGGAAAAGACAGTCGCGGAGCATCATCCGCAAGCAAATCAGGTTGACACTCTCATCGATGGTGGTCATGACGTCCAACACCAGACGATCAAAGAGGAGCTTGAAACCCCCAGTGGAACTTTGACTCCGCTTCCTACCGACGATGGCGTATCGCGTGACGCCCTAGCGAACGCGAAGACGGAGGTCGATGGTCTACCCCCTCGGCATTCAGATGTAGACGAAGAGAAGGCGGTTTCTGTCGTTCGCTCGACCCTCCGCAAGAGCTATGGAAGCAAGCATACTCCCTGGACTGTTCCAATGCCTAGGCCCAGGGTTAACGCGAAAGATTTTGAGGACCCTATATCAGATGCGTTTTGGAAGGATATATGGGTTGCCAGCGCCGTTCATAATGTGCGTCTTCGTACAGACTTTTACCCTCTTTTGCATTGAATTGTATCGGCACAGACGGAGATATATAGAAAAGTATTTCACGCTATTCCCGACGATCTTGTCACCACCTGGAAACAGTACAAAGACTTTGTGGCCCATCATGAGCGTTTGAACAAACCGGTGAGCCAGACGGTTGGTATTTTGAATCTGATTTACAATGAGGGATTCTCAGACAAATGAAGAATTAGGTGACGAGGGTCAGCCGGCTACCGATGCACTGTCAGACGTCAGCAAAGAGCATGTGGATGAAAGCCCTCCAGAGTCCGTGCCAAACCAGTCATCGGCGGAATCTAAACCGCGGAGACATGCAAAAGGAACTGAGCCTTTTGAAAAATGGGAACGCATTGAGATGGAAAATCTTTTAGGCGAGCTCAATGGTCATTTAGGTGAAAACCTTCACCTTCTTTCGCGCTTCAGGCTCTTATGGTATTTGAACAGTTCTTTATCCAAACCGCTTTCTAGAGGGGGAGGACAGCGCAAATAATTTCCTATTCAACGCCGATAGGTTATTATGTTTACTGTCTCGTTAAAATCTTGCTCACGCTGTCTCCTTCAAAGGCTCCTGCCATTACCCATCTACGATTGAGAGAAGGGTTTGCGTTATACCCCGTACGTTCTTGATACCCTCGGTCTCCATTATTCCAAAATGTTATCGTCTCGCTGGCAATGGTTAATAATTGATGTTGGAAGTGAACCTTATTGTGCGTGCACGAGTTAGATATAGCTAGACGTTGGGGTTGCAGACATGAAATACATGGCGTCTTGACACGGACAGGACATTGCAAAAGTCGTAAATGAGGATGGTACGTGATAAAAAAGATAAGTTCGTCAATCGTAATGCGTGAGAGGCCATATGAAATGATGTTAGAGGGAAGTAAACCAGTGGATGTCGTGATTCGAGAGCAACGATAGCAATGGAGTGAGCAAAGCGTATAGACATAGCGGACAGAATGTGAGGGTTTAAATGAGTGGGTCAATGAGAGGAAATAAAAGTCAAGGATGCAGGTGATGAGCAGAACGAGAATAGATACGCAAACAAGGGTTCAACGAAAAGGTAACCAAATGGGATGGGGGGTTTAGAGCATGCGTGATAACCTTCTTGAGGTTGTTGTCTTACTCGGCACCATGGCCTTGAATGCACGGCGTACCAGCGCGACTGTGGCATTACTTTCATCCTTGTGATCGGGTGTCTCCGGCGGGCCCATCGTGTAGGTCATGACACCCAACTCATCGACTGAAACAGTGCGCCGCTGGTCTTCACTTGACACAGGTGGAGGCATTGGGCGACGAGCAGTATAGAATGCACGGTGGCTATCCCGCTTGCTGGACGTGCCGACAGCAGCACTACCAACAGGGCCAATGTTATCAGATTGGTAGCCCTTGCCGTTCCGCTTGACGCCGGAAGTAGCCATTAAAAAGCGGTCATAAACGCCTTCGATGCGCTGCCGGCTAGGGGTGTCAGGGACGGGCAGGTCGTGACTGTTCACCCTTCTTGCAGGGTAGGGATCAACATGACACGGAGATGAAGTCAAATCGTCTAAGGACGCCCTGTGGGTGGTGATGTCCTGACAATCTAGCAAGTTATCGCGAGAGGCAAGAGGGGGGGCGATAAATAAACTTCTATCGAGAACCTGAGATAACCTTGGGGAGGGCAAGGTGGTAGGTGCTGTTATGAACAGATGGTAAGACACGAAAACGGTACTCAATGAGAAACATACGTTTGTTAATTTCTGCTTCTAATAGCGAGAGAGGTGCAATGTGTAGCTGGAAGAGGTTCGCGTGAGACTTGCTTTTCTCCTTGCGTTTCGAAGGTGAGCCTTCTTCTGTATCAGCTGGACCAGGTGAGGAGACGGGTTCTGGGGAACGAGTTGAAACAGTTGCGCGACGTCGTCTGGAAGGCGTATGAATTTCCGGAATCAAGAACTGACTCTTATCCGCGGGCGGAGAAGTGGCATCAGTCCAGCTGCTCTCCGCTGTTGAGCTATTAACGCCAACGAATGAAGAAGGCGCAGTGGTAGCCATTGATTGGTCTACTGGGCTTGTCCCATTCTCATCGAAGATTTGGCTGGCAGCAAGGACACGGCGAGGCAATCGGGTGGATCGATTGCCCCTATTGCCCGAAGCATTACGCGACAAAGGTAGAGGGAGGGGTGGAAGAGGCGCATCGTGTCGCGAGGACGAGGCGAAATTCATCCGGGCATCTTCTACAACCTCTGAACAGATATTTAGCACGTTGAACTTGGACATTGACGAAGATACGTACTCTCCACGTTTTGCATCCAGATCGCCATCCTGTCTGTGTGGGAGTCAGCAGCTATGCGTTCGCTGAGGATTGCGTTCTTGACAACTGGAAGTGGGGATGTCATGGGGGTGGGAGGTGTTGGAGACGCTGAGGACACTGCTGGAAAGATTGAGGAAATAAGTATAGTCGTAAGTGAAAAAAGGACCAAGGTACACACCTTGTTGAGATAGACCTTGTTCATCGAAAGATGAGGCCCTTCCACTCTTTGGGATTTCAAAGTCCCTTGGGACATCGATGGACAGGCCGCGAGCAGCAGATTTACCAGTGACTTGCCCAAGAGTTGACGACTTGTAAATTTGCACGGTTTTATCTGAAGATCTTGTATTAGACAGATGCAAAAGTTGGCAAAAGTGGTATATACCAATCGACCGCTTAATGCTATGCTTGAAGATGTTTCTGTTGGACTCCTTGGGGACTTGGACGGGAGTATTGGCCGGAGTATTGGCTGGAAGAAGGTTCAGAGGAGCAACATCTTGAAACCTTGCCAAGGACGAACCTTTAGTCAGCGGTGAAGTCAACATAGGGAGAGGCAGCCTGGGCATATGCGCTGATGCATTGACGTTCTCCTTGTCCGCATCCCGGTCCTTTGCGAGGTTTGAATGCGGTTTCTGCACCACATCCAACTTACGTTCAGCGCACCCAGTATCTACTTGCTTCTCTGTCTTTTTCCTCTCCTTTTCTCTCTCGAAATGTTCGTCTCTCTCCCTCTCCATCTCTTCTAAACGCTCCATCTCCCTAAGCCTCTGCTTTTCCCGCTCCCACTCCATTACACGATCCTTAACATTGGTCGACTCCTTCTTGCCCTTCTCTTTGTTCTCGCTATTCTTCAAATCAGCGAAAATACGAGATGTCCGCTTAATCTTTGATGCTGAGGTCTTGGCTGCGAGCTGTGGCAAATTATCGCGTCCAATAATGGCTCCAAAGGGACGGCGAGCGTTGGTGTCAGGTTTGGTGAGTGTGTTGAGCGACGCCGTGTTCTCTTTTCCGAAGGCAGCTGACAAAGGCGATGATGGAGGTGATGCTTTGATGGGTGATAGATCCACAACAGGGTGAACGGGAACGCGTTTCCTCGTCTGGACTGACGAAGCTCGGCTGTAAGTCTTTTGCCAGCTCAACCGCGAAAAAAAAAAACCTACTCTTCGTAGAAGTGACCTTGGGCTGTGATTTCGACTTCACAATTGGACGATTCCTTTCTTCCTTGAAAAGATCTGTCGCCAGAGGCTTTAAGCCAGGTGGGGTGTCAAGATTTTCCTTGCCATGTCGAGACGAGGGTGTCACGTTGATCAACTTGGCCAAGTCCTTCTCAAAGACTATGGACGACGTGTAGCTCGACGACCGATCTTACAATGAAAGTCAGACACCTCAAATGAATAATCCCGAGGAGCTCACTGTGGGACACCAAAGATTCCTTTCGAGGATGCCAGTAATCGTCAGCTATAGCCTGAGAAGCGGTACATCTCAGATCTGCGTTCGGTGACAACATTCTGTGGAGCAGCTTCTCGATGCCTTGCGATATTTTCCAAGTTCCCACCCACTTGCCTCTCATCTATTGTTTTGCCTCAGCGATCGATGGTTATACAGAAGGAAAAGGACTCACGGTGCGAGACCAATATTTTTCAAGGTCTTCTTTGGAGTTGAACTGCTCGCCATCGTGGTGCTCGAAGGGAGTTCTTCCGACAAGAATCTCAAAAAAAGTAACGCCAAGGGACCACACGTCAGATTTACGAGTATCGTGAGGAACGCCACGAGCTCGCTCCGGTGAGAGATACTTTTTTTGAGATCAGTACAATCTGTTGACGTCGTTGATATTCGACTCACCTCCGGGGTCCCGTAGGAGAGATTGCTATGGAATGCAACGTCGGATTCAAGTTCATATTTCTCTGCGAATCCAAAGTCAACGAGCACAGGAATATTCTTGTGCGAAATGAGAATATTTGCAGGTCTGAATGATTTAACATTTTACGTGGTTCACCAAAGAAATAAACTTACTTTAGATCATTGTGAACAACGCCACGTTTGTGAAGGAACTCCACGCCGGAGAGAAGGAAACGGAACCATTCACGCGCCTTGGCTTCCTCTACTTCTACCGGTATGAGTGTTGGGAGGTAGTCCCTGAGAAGTTATCAGTAAACAAGACCATGCGGGGGTTGCCAAGGAGAATGAAAGAACAAAAGGGCAGGCAATTTCGCGTCAACCACGAGCATCAAAGGAATGTGAATAATAACTGTAAGACTTGAACGCACATAATAATCATGGCATAGGATGGGGAGAGAATGAAAGAGTGAAATGGGATGATGGATGGGTGAGGATCAGACTTGAAGGATTTAACAATCTTCATTTCATTCCATCTATAGAGACACGTCAGAATTTCAAGGAAGAATGCAAATTCGCTGCAGCTCACAGTGATTTGACGCGTGCAGCTGTCGTGGACGTCTTTGACCTATGCACAAGTTTGACAGCCATCTTCTGCCTGGACCGTTTGACTACGGACTCCGACTTGGAGGTGGACTTCGGACGACATAGCCAGACACTTCCCCAGTTCCCGAATCCAATCTAGGGAAAAAGTGAGTGTCACTTCAAAGTCGTGAGGGAGGAACAGTCCACCTCTTCAACGAACTCCAGTTGCTGTGATATTTCCTCGTCAGAGATAGAGAAAATATCATTGGACTCGTCCATCGTTGGGCTCGGTAAACGGAGGGCGTCCATGCGAAGGGGAGGATACCTACAATTACAAAACAAGAACAAGAAAGAACACGGGGAACAACTTTCGAAACATTGATCTTCAGAATATCCAACTGTGACACAACAGTCCACAACAACACGACGGTGAGAAAAACGCGTCGCGTAGGTTCTAAATGAGGACGACACGAGGCACAAAGAACTCATACAAAACTTGAAATACAACGCATCTCTCAACGCGTCTCCAATCTGGAGCAACTCGCGGAGGCAAAACCGAATTTGTTTCCGGTCTTTGCCTCGATCGCTGAAATTCAAATGATGTGTCATTCGCTTCTCGAGACACGTCGGGAGAACCAATCAGGAGCACATCCCATCATCAAGAATATGGACGACTCTGCTTATTGCCAGGCGAGACTTGCTACACAATCATAACCGATCACTAACAAGTACATACGCCTTTCTACCACACATCACTGGACTTCTTGCTTCAAGTCAGAAGTTGCAGCCACTTGATTCTATCCATGCGACCCACCTCAAACAACGTAGGAGGTGTCGACCCATGAAGAATAATCGTAGCCGACGGCGCTCGAGATTGAGTATTGCGCTGCTTGCGACGCAGTAAGAAGGGTAGAAAATTTGGCACGGTGAGCACCTTTAACACCACTACCAGTGGTATTAAAGTCAGCAAAAAAGACGTTATCGGTATTCGGTTGGCCCGCATTCCAAACAGACCACAGAGAAGTGTTCAGAGGGGCACTGACGACGGTATTGAGGAAAATGACTCTGAAAAGGAAACGAGTGAGAAGTCGCAAAATTTGCAGGCGGGCAGACTCTTCACTTTGCAAAATCTACTCCAGTAATTTTCATCAACTACGTGTCAGATAATTCAAAAATTGAAAAACCAACCTTGCCACGGCCTTCCAAGAAAAACATGACCAGCCGTTCCAGACGCAGCTCCAGGAGTGAGGGTGATGGTATTTTGATTAAAGACGTCTTTCATGCCACAGATCAGAAGATGAAGCCAAGGTTGCTCAGAACACCTACAACTCGTATTGTCGTTGGATGCGCGGCCACTGGCAGTCACGCATCCTTTTGAGGATACTGCGATCACGTTGCCTCCGAAGTAGGCTTGACCTGTTTGGCCAAAGATGAAATCAACTGCACCCTGCCATTCTCCAAACTCAGCTTGGCAAAGCGTGTTATATGTGAACTCATTTTACCTCAATATACCCCTTCAAATATACCTGAGCTCCCTGCTCTGCGAGAACAGTATCTTGGTATCCAATGAAGGAGCAACCATAGAAGCCAACGCGATTTCCATACTGGCTAATTGCGATGGCCTGGGAGCCAATGCCGAAGGTGTTCTTCACGTTAACATTGTACATCCGAAAATTGTCTTTGTGAACGCGAAGAGTTCCACTCGCATCATCCGACCCAGTTTGTTTGGCAGATAACCCATACTGGATCATCACGGTGTTGGATTTATAGGTGGATGTGTCGTATGTGTAACCAAAGATCTTCTCGTTCAGTGAGGCTCTAAGCACACAGTAAAATATAATATAATTCCATACCGTGAGTGGTCCAGGTCGAGTTATTGAAACTTGCTCCGTGTAGTTTCCGGGGTATACGAAGATACCTCTTGAGGAGCCATCGTTGGGAAGAGAATTCACAGCCCCAGAGATGGTTTGGAATTCTCCCGATGTAGCTGTTCCTGCACGAACAATTACTGCCCCAGCCGGCGGGGACGTTCGTGAGCCACCAAGGACATACACTGGCAGGTAGAAGAGAACGGCGGCGAAACCAAAGGAGCGAAGAAATTTCATTTGAAAAGAATGTGGGGTAACGGGTTGACTTAGTGTCCAAAGAAGGCCCTTGCTTTTATGGAAGTTCCGGTTGAGGGTTGGTGGAAGCCAGAGAAAATATAGCTCGACTTGACAGACCCGCTGCCGAAGAATACGCACCGCAACCATCATATCCGTAGAGATGACGGAAACTGAAGTCTCCAACCTTCATGGAAGCAAAGCAATTATGTAAAGGTTCTGCGCGGGATCTCACCGTTGAGTACTGAGTGATCGCGAGGAAATGCTGCAGGAAAAGGGGAGTTGCAAGGAGCCTTTGAGGTAACACTGAAAAAGCCAAGGGCTAGGTGAAAAGTTGTTGAGTTGACAAGTTGACGTCAAAGTTTTGGCGTGCTAGTAAAGTTTTTATTTGGACAGCTACAGATTAGCGTCAAATTCAGCGATACTTGAATGGAGTAACTCGAAACGAATTTCAAGCAGATCAGAAAGATCAAATGGTATGTATGGCTTATCGGAAAGCGCAGTTCCGCGGTTACTCCTTCTTGACCTTATTCTGTATCATTATTCACCGTGAGCCCGGTGTTGCAGATATTTTGATCAAAACAGCATAGTGCCTTGAGCACTGAACCAAATTTCATGATTTTTTAGCCATTGAAAACCCTTAGTTCTAGGCTTTCAGAATACGTTTTTTTCCTATTTATCTGAGGTCAGTGAGGCAGGTTGCGAGGAAAAACAGAAAATCACCTAGTTGCCAATTTTGTCGCGGATCAACAGATGCTGCTCATCTTTTAAGTTTTGATGACCGACGCTCGTCGGAGTTTGGATAAGCAGTCGCTGACTTGTCAGCTGGGTGGACCAGCGGGGACCATATGCATTCAAACATCCTTCTCATACTAGAATTGCGCAACCGATAGGCTCAAATTTCTCCCTAGTGTTTAACATAAGTATGCACCTTTGTTAAGAAAAAGTTTTGCGACTCTCCACCCAGTTTTGATTATTCGATGCGGGTAACCAACGGGTTCAATGCCAACGGGTAACATGAGGCTGTCAAAGCACCAACTTGAAATTTCATAATAATGTTTCCCGACAGTTTTTCCTGAAGTAAAATATATATCCACATTGGTCTACATTCTCTCAAATATCCACAGAGGCTTCTTCCTTCTCGTTGGGGCTTTAGACAGCGGTTTGCAACACTTAGGCACAAAAAAAAAGGTTGCAAGGGATCTTGAAGGGATCCGTCACCGTTCCTCATGAACACCAAAATCTTTGAACGAAATAAACATGGTTCGATACAAAAATCAAGAGAAAAAGGCGTAAAGAGCGAAATACTCCTTCAGCGAACTCCAGAACTCTTCTCTTTCTTTGTTTAGAAAGTCTCGCATGGCTTTGCGATATGGCAACGCAATTCCTTTGCGAAGCACCGCCGAACATGCGTCTGAATCAGCCCCACCCTCCCCAAGCGCATCGATCAAGAATTTTAAGCCCCCAACTAAATCCCGTTGCTGTGGGCCTACGAGTTTCTCAGCCCCAACTGTGTGCCACCAATTCAACATCACCGCTTTCTCCTCTTCGGTAGCGCCAGAAAAGCCGCGAGCGCGTTTCGGAAAATCAACGCACGCGATGCGCCCTGCAACAGCCCGAATATGGTGCAAGCCATGTAGGAGGCAAATCATGTCTCGGTTGGACAAGAGTTTTTTCCGCGCCGTCCGCAGACCCTCAGCTAAATCCTCGATTTGTAGCGAAATATCATCGGGATCAGCATGAGGAGGAAGGCGTGCAAGATGGTAGAATGCTGCGGGTAGATAGTCTGGGATGGATGGGGCAGGAGACCCCAAGCTGAACCCACGCGAGTGAGTGAACTGGATGACGCACGCCGGTTCTGGATATATTTTGTCTAGAGTATGTAGTGCGTCTATGTTGTCGAGTTCTGCTGCTTTCAGACTGATCTGGCGTTCGAGGGAATCCCAACCTGTGAGGGTGCTGGGCCAGTCGCTCTTGATGAGTGGAAGAAATTTGGCTTGAATTTCTTTCGCTTTAGAGACGTTGTATTTTTCCGCGAGACCCATAACACCGAAGGCGAGCTCTCCGATAATCCTTCGGTGCTCCACCAGGTATTTCTCTATGCTAAAGGGTTCGCGTAAGGGTTCAATACTTTCGTTTGAAGCACGCAAAATACTTACTCGTGATCATACAATGCATGCAAAAGGAGAGCAAAATGTGCGTGGTCCTCGTAGATTTGCACAGTTGGGAGTTTGTCGCCCCCATAAGTCTGCTGTGGCGCTGATAGGGAGAGTTCTGCCAAGATGGCCGAGCGGCTGCCGAGAACCGCCTTGTGAACGCGGTATTTACTGTCCCGAACGGCCAGTACGATGTCGCCACCAGAGAAGTTAAGGTCGTCTGTCAACATGGGAGCTTCTGAACAAGGTGGCATAGTTAGGCCACTGGAACTCGGAGATGCTCATAGATATATTGTTGCAAAATTGTCTGTGGGTCCAGAGCGTCGATCCATTGAAAGAGGGACATGCCAACTAAAATGAACTTGAGGCGCAGCGTTGCAAGTTCAGCGTCCTTGTTTAGCAGGCAGAAGACATCGTTGCATTGTTGAAAGAGGGTGTTCGGGCATGTTTCGGAATTACAAATGGCGAGTTGATATGTTTTCCGATGTTGCCGCACCCTAAATACCTGCGGCGTCTTGCCTTCTGGATTTGTCCTAGTCTCGTCAACCAGCCTTTTAAAAATTGTGACGCTTGAGGAGACGATCATTCTATACACAAAAATACATGTAAATATCTGACAGCGGAACGAGCCAACACACAGCGAGATTATGACGGAGATCATAGGTTGTGTGGGTCATAGAGGCTTCAGGTATTAATATCCGAGAGCGATGTAGAGGTGAACGGCGTGGGGATCGCGGTGAATGAAAACAGGGTCACCGCTGCCATTTCCTTTGTACGACGAAGGTCGTTCGCTCTCGACTCTCGACAGATGTGCACACATGACTGATAGGGCCGACCCTTGGGCAAGTGACGTGAGCGAGGCCTGATGCCCATAAGGGCTCAATTGAAAGAAATTCTAACCAGAACATCGTTCAAGGGTGTTCACGTTGCTACTATCGAGATGTCAACCTTTGTTTCAATTGGGGTGGTACCAGCTCGCCGGGCAACAGAGACACGACCTGATAAAACCGTTTAAACACCGGAAGAAGCTTGTGATGGAAGAGAAGACAAACGGTTTTGGCAACATCTTCGCCACCGACCTCCCATCCGCTCTCTGCGACACCAGACACACATCTTTCAACAAGTCTGCTCATGAGCATGCCAACGCCAAATCGTTCTCCTGTATACTTCCTCCAACGCAACATATTTTTCAAAAGCTTGACCCGGCGTGCTAGGAAACGTTGACGAGCGGGTATCGACTCAGGATCGAACGGGGTTATGGATTGTTGCACCGAGTTGAACTTGACAAGTAGCTCTTCGGTGCCTATGATCGCTGTTTCAAAATTTGTGATCACGGATTTTAGAAGGGTCTGTAAGTACACAAAATGAGGGTTCAAATTTTTTTGACGGGCTGAGAATTGCGTACCTGAAACTTCATGTTTCCCGTTTCAACGCTTGCCTCAACCTCCTCTGCCAAGTCAACCATCCTGCGAACATGTTGCTCGGAATATGCATCGAAGGCTCCACCTTCCACAAGTTTACAGAGTCTGGGAATGACAGCGGTGGAGATCATAGAAACCACCAGGTCCCCATCAGGTCCCAGCTCTCTTTCATGCGGATCACCATTTCCAGGTCTGGAATATTCATAAAGCCCTTTGTACCACTTGAAATCATGCAGACTTCTTGAATCCTAGACGAAACAGACATTTTAGAAATGTTCGCTGAGAGACATCAACACGACGCACCTCAACACAATCCCAACCTATAAGCTCTAATCTGACCCAAAATTCCCAGACGCTAACGACGCCCAAACCACCCCATGCTCCAATATAACTATCGCTGTATTTTTCCCTCCATACGCTCCAACGACCCTTTCCGGGATCGCGAAACTCATCTGCTCTGACATCGGCGAGAACCTCCTTGGTCCGCAAAGCTAGCGATGCTATAGCAGACGAGTACGCTGAGGCGTCTGGAGGAGGGAGCGAAGAATCCGTAGAATATCCTTCTTCAAGTTCTGCTTTCCTGCTTCGTTGCTGACGCACCTGACGACGGGAAAGGCGTGCAGTTCGACGCTCTCGTCGAGCGAAAGCCGCGTTGGGCTTTGGGATAATTCGACCTAGCTCGTCGTATTCTTCCAACTCAGGCTTGGCGACAGGCGTGGGCAGTGGACCGAGGAAGATAGTTAGATCATCCTCATCATCCATCTGCCGTCTCTGACAGACTAAATCAGATCGCTCCTGAAGCAATGACAAATGCTCTTCTTCTAGCTTTTCGAGCAACGGATACTGTTAGTGGTTTGTGGTGAGTGGAATTCCAGCAGGTGAGCCGTCTTTAAGAATTACCTTTTCATCTAAAAACCCTGCAACGCCTTCCACCCACTCTTTGAAACTTCCAAACCATGACGACTTTTCTTCAGCTCTACCAACCATATCCCTCATTTCCTTTTCCCGTGTATCTATTTCGTCTCGTTCCTGTGCAAGGGTTTCAAGGGCAGCAGTGTTTTGGGCGTGAGAGGTCGTCAGTTGTGTGAATTGTTGAGTCAACCGGGATAGAGCTGTGTTCAGCGTAGGCAATGGGGTGGCGAGGGGAACTGGAACTTTGTAAGAACCAGGACGGTGAAGAATGGAACAAAAATTACTTGGTGCAGGTTTATAGGCCTCTTTAACTTTGGATGGTGCTGAGGGCTCCGGCGTTTGGTGACCTCCGCGTCGCAGCTGCTCTTGTTCCCATTCCATAGTTTCTTCATCTTCCTCCTCCCTAAACATATAAAGGTGAATCGAAAACAAGAAACCAGTTTATATGCATACGCACGCATCAGCAATCATTTCCTTCATGTTGTCACGACGTTTGCTAGCCTCTAATTTCTTGGACTTCTTACCCAACGCTATTCGTTCCTGAGCACTAGTGTACTCCGCAAATTCTGAAAGATAAAGTTGAGCATAAGATATCTCGAAAGTAGTGAGATCATGTTTACGTGCCATCTTCGCCTTCACCGAGTTCGTCTTCTTCTCGCACCAATCGACTTTCAGGATGTGGACCGGGAGGTTCGTCAGCCCTTCGAGTAAGGGACAACGAGATAAAGTCTTCTTCTCCAGCCGCTTGTGTCTTCCGAAGCCGCTCCCGCTTCTCTTTAGCTACCTTTATCGATGACTCGGATGGGAGATTGAAAGAAGCCGAGTCATCTAAATGTGAATGAATATCGTTTTATACTTGTTGAAGCAGAGATACCGACCAATGTCCACGTCCATGTCATTCAAGGAAACATCGATGTTCATGGACGTATCAGCATCGTATGCATCATCTGCCAGACGAGGACGCGATGTTGGCGTGCTGGCTTTCAGCTGGTTGAGATATGTTTGATCATAGGTCGGTCCTCGGCTTGTAGATATCGAAGAGTTTAAAGCAACAGTACTACAAAATATGTTAGCAAAATACGTGAACACAACGAAAGAAACCACCCACGCCGGATGAGTTCCCAAAGCCAATTTCTTGCTCAAATTAGACTTCTTGACCTGGAACACCTCCTCACCCCCCTCCTAAATTACCCATATCATTAGAATCAGCCCTAAAAGTCAGTCAAACGCAAACCTCATCGTCCGCACCTCCAAAGCTCAACCGTGATTTTGGTTGAGCCCTCTTAACCTTGTTCTTCAACTTCGTCGCCAAAATGCTGGGAGATTCGTCTCCAGTTCCCTGCGCAGTCGTCGCCGAGTCATTATCCGGCGACGCATCCCTCGTTCTCTGAGCCGATTTAGCTTTCTTGCGTTTGAAGATCAGTGTCGAGTCGGACGCCATCTGAAAGGAAAGAATGGAGAGCACGTGACCGATGAATGACCTTCTCCAAAAATACAAGTTTCCCACGGATAAATACCTGTTTTATGCCACTTGAAATGGCAGATACCAATATTGCAAAACCGCGTCCGAAGCCAAGGCCCAAGCCGAAAGCGAAGCCTGCAAATGCTGTCGCGGGACCGTCGAGCAAGCCAGGAGCGTCGTCGTCGTCGTCACGGATACCACTGTCGAGTGAGGTGGACGACGAGGATGATATGTTCTTGAAGAATCGGAATCGGTCAGTGAAGACCTGGCAGAAGCTGGAGGAGCTCAATAAGGGTGTGTGGTGTTTTGCTGTGTAATATCAAACGGGTATTGAAGTCTACTATAGAAACTAAACTTGTTGTCAACTCGGACAGCGATGATGAAGCTACACCGAGGAAGCGCACCAAGAAGGCCGATCAACTGAATAAACCGAAGTGGCAGAAGGCCAATGCAATTCGGTGAGATATTGACGAATGCACGCATGCCTTTCCGACGATATTCATTAAATGAATGTAACCTCAGGTTACTATCCGCCGATCTGTCAGACGATTCAGACGACGGCATTGAAATCGTCGGTACCTCCTCAACATCAAACCGCGCCCGCCTTGGGAAACGCCGGAGACAACGCAGTCGCTCACGGTCCATAACACCGCCCCCAGCGCTTCCACAGCACCAAATCCAGCATGCTCGGAGCATAGTCCGGTCAGTCCTCCTTCCCCACCTTTCTTTCAACTACGTCTCATTTCATTTCATTGCAGAGAGGCCCTCGGCGCAGCACCACGACACGCGTCCCCAACTGCATTCGATTGCGACGACTCAACAGACACGATCGTGCTCGACCCAGAACTCGAACGCATCGCCAAATCCATCACTTCTCAATCCCATCTCGCTCCTTCACCATCCTTATTTGAACCCAACGAGGAAATTATCTTGACCGTGAATTGGCAGCCACATCCGCTCAACGAAACTGGCAAGAAAGAAGTGTGGCAATACAAGATGAACAGGGTGCGCGCCCATTTAAATAAAACCGATCTTTGCAAAAAAGTTAATCACACCTAATTTTAGAATGACGATTTCCGCGAGCTGTTTGAAGCTGCAGCGGAAGACGCATGTATCCTCGTCGACTCCCTCATCATGACCTACCGGGACAAACGAATATTTTCTTCGGTGACTCCACAAACACTGAAGATGCGGGGAGCCGCCGAGATGGGTCAGTCGATTCCCTCCCCCATTTTCACCCCACTCACAATCACTCTCAGCTGCCTGCGACAAGACGACATACGACTACATACGGCGTAACCCGCACACCTCAACAACAACCTCTTCCCTACTCGACACCACCACCACCACCACCACCTCTAACTCCCGAGTCGTCGAAATATCAGATGACGATTCAGACGACGCATCTTCCCCACCCACCACAGCATCACAGCCCCCACAAACCCAAGAATCCGACGCAGAGTCAGAAGCAGACGGCGATAAATTTAAGCTGATCTTACGTTCCGTTACGACGGGGGAGAAAAATATCACGCTTATCGTTCGGCCTACCACCAAGTGCGGGGCGATCGTCAAGGCGTTCTTGAAGAAAGCTGGTGTGGCGGACCAGTATCCTGCCGTCTTTGGAGATGCTGCGAAGACGAAGAGCAGCGCACCCCCCAAGAAGGGCGGCAAGAAGAAGGGAAATGGATGGGGCGCGCCGACTGAGAAAGATCCTAGGCTTTGCGTGGATGGTGAGAAGTTGGATAACGAGGCTGAGATTGGAGATTGGGATTTGGAGGAAGGAGATTTGGTGGAGGTTGTTGGGATGTGATTGACGTCTCTTGCAATGATTTTATTACATCGCTTCGACACAATTATAGATACACGAGATAAGCATATGCATATGCAGGATGGATTAGGACGAAATAAATAACATGGAGAAAGATCGATCCTACTGCCACCCCTCGCTAGAATTGCGAACCAAAATCCGCGCATTATTCACAAACGCGCGAATGAGCTCATCAAAGGCACATCGTTCATGTTCAGAGACGCTGATATCATTCCGCTTCGCCGCAGTAGCCAACAACAGATCCGAACGTGCAATCTCCAGTTCTAGTTCATGAGAAATTTGTGGCTATTCATATTCACGCATCAGCCTCCAAACAAAGATCGAAAATATAAAAAGAGAGAGAACACACGGGAGCGTTGGGCGACATCGTCGACGTAACCTGCGTCAAATCAATAATAAACTCCTCATGCGAATAACTCATCCTATCCTTCCTCCTCGTATGCGTCGGTGACCCAAGCGGATGTTGCGCTACACCCAACCACACCCAATCAGCACCTCTCACCACCCGAAAAAAAACTTCCCAAACGCACTTGGTACCTCCAAATTAACACTAACCCTCCAATCCGCCGCCCGTTTCGGGCTATACACATTCAGATCCCCAAGCCTAATCTTACGCATACACTCAATAACCGTGCCGGTCTTCTCATCGCGCGTTACCCTTATTTTGTCGCGGTCATTCGTGTCGGATGGGTAGAACGAGTCGACGAGGTAGAGGTGGCTGTATCCGAGCGGGCTGGCGGGGTGTGATGGTTGCGCAGAGGTGGTTTTGAGGTTGTTTAAGAGACTGTTGAAGTGTTTGTGTTGGTGCTACATGTAGACACAGTTGTCAATCAAGAGCCCGCTGTTGAGGGGCGAGAACTTACAACAGACATATTCGACTCGAACCGCAGATCCAATGATTCCGGCGCAAGTACTAACGTAAAAAAAAAATTCAAAAAACATAATTGATGCGTACGCAAAGCACGTACTAGTCTCAACAAGAACAGGCAACGCCACCCTCTGGCCGGAAATCCGGTCCTTCAACACGCCCACCTTCGCCTCGACCTCGACATGTCCATGGAGGTGATCAGGGCGCGTCGCGATCATATGATGGATGAAGTCTGCGATTTCTTTGATGAATTCATCGAGAGGCTCGACGCCGAGAATGGATAGAGAGAGCGGGGGGAGATTGGAGGTACTGCCACTGCCACTACCGCTGCTGCTGGCGTAATTTTGGGAACCGTTGGTTGGTTGCTCGGGTGTTTGGCCACGTCTAGCGCGTTTGAGAGGTGGTGGAGAGGCAGATCGTACGGACGATGAAGAATTGACCATAAGAGTGACAGCAGAGCGGTGGCGTTAGTGATTAAGCGAGTTATGTTTGAAGGAAATTTGAGATCGACGCAAAAGTTATGTAACGAGCAACTTGGTCTTGACTTTGTCCATCGATGATACAGTCACGAGTTTCGCCATATCAAAAGACGATGACGGTCGCCGTTCAACGTTCGCATACACTCAAGGAATCATCACAAGGTAATCACGCCATTCAACAACGATACAACATCATCATTCTAAGTCAACGCAAAACTACCTTCCAGCTCACCCTCCATCCAATTCATGAATCAAACACAAAGCTAACACCGACCTGTGTAAAATAAAAGTCATAAGAAAATATTCGAGTACAAAATAGAAAATAGAGGCGAACCTTGTGCGAAGGGCCAACAGGGGAAGGATCGTTCAACTTTTGCGTGTCGAGAGCAACACCGAACGAGGCCTTGACACCAGGACGGAGGGTCTGTGTGTAACCTATTCAAGCGCGCATGAATACAGTTCATTTTTACTAGAAGAAAAAAAAACGCATACCCAAAGCAACGACACCAGAGTTGTTGATCTTGGCTTTCACAAAGGCGGAAGAGTCAAGTTGACTAACGAACAAAAACGTCAGTTCATTTATGTAATCCCCCAAAAAACGCGCATATACGTACGCCTTGGTACCGACTTCAAGCGCAACGCCACCATGAGTAGACTTGGAGTCATACACAGCCTTGGCACCAGCCTCGACGTCACGGCTCACACGGTGGTAGTAGCTAGCAGTAAAAGTCTTCAAGTTGTTAAGACCATGAACGGTCACAGCGTATTCAGGCGCATTATAACCAAGAGCAGCAGCATAACGAGTAATGTTGCCCTCAGTGACGTTGTAAGCAGCCTCAGCACCAATAAGGAACCCATCACGGCCCAAAACAGTGTCAGCAGTGAAAGTGGGGCCCTACAAACCACTCAAAAGTCAATTTCGGGGTAACTCAGTATGTTTGTTAACAAACGGGCGGACCTTGAAAACGTCAAGAGAAGCACGGGTATGGAAGCCAGACTGCTTGTAAACAGAGTTGATAACAGCAGTCTTGTGGCCCTTCTCCGGGGAAAGAGTAGTGTGGAGATCAAGTTTAAGGCCCTTGGCGACTTGGTTCTCAACCTCGATCTGGTTGCGGAGGACGTTGGAGGTGGTCCAGGCCTGGGTGAAAGTGAGCCCATGAGCCTTGTTGGTCCACTTGGCTTCAATGTCGCCGTGGATGGCGTCGGTCTTTGAGTCGCGGGTACCGGCGACCTTGAAGGCGACGTTGGAGGGCGTTTGTGTCTTGACTTCGAGGGCGGTTCCGTGGAAGTGGTAGTCTTTTCCGAGCAAGTCACTAGAGGACTTGCCGAGATCCTATTCAACGATGAGTAACAAAGAAAAATGAAGGAATGAAAAATTTGGTAACCTTCCATGAGGGGGGGACAGGTTGAGGGAGAGACATGATGTATGGATGAGAGTTGGAGTGGAGTAACAACGGTGACGGTTGAAAGCAAAGTTGACGTGCAAAATTCTTAGGAACATATCGTGGGAATAATACCCGGGTACTTCCGGCACTCTCACCCACGTTTCCGTCCAACGTTTATCTTATCTAATGCACCTGTTTATTACTTTCTTATGATCAACGTCTTATCCAGATCGATCATCACAGAAAGCATCAAAGCCATGAGATATATCACTGCAGATGTGAGAAATCACACATCCAACATGATATCTTCAACTGACACACGTCAAAGCAACTTGCGCAGCTCATGAAATCCGAGGGCAAGGTCCCAGAAAAGGATTTTCTCGTAGTCGACGTCCGGGACGACGATTACGCCGGGGGAAACATCAAAGGGAGCCTCAACCAACCCTCATCAAAGTTCTTGATGAACGTCGACGGCTTGGTGAAACAGACTAAGGAGGTCCCTCTCGTTATCTTCCACTGTGCTTTCTCCCAAGCTCGGTATGCTTCCCAATATTTCTCGACGACGCCCAACTAATCTTTGACAAGAGGACCAAAGGCTGCCCGCGTACGTCCGTCCCTCTTGAATATCGTAACCAAAAATCGAGTCGAAAGGTTTATCTTCACAGATATATGAAGAAACGCGGTCCAATATCGGCAAAGACATCGACCACGAAGTCATCGTACTCCAAGGTGGCTTTTCACAGTTCCAAGCTAAATACAAGGTAAGTCCCATAGCTAGAGCACGAATGCGTACATGATGCACCTTCCCCCAACAGGACGACCCAACTCTTGTGGAGAACTGGGATAAGAACGTCTGGGATTCAGAGTGGAGCTGATCATCCATCAGCACCGTCGCAGAGGGATCGGTAACCGGTCTGGATCCTCCGCTATACCCCTCGAACGGCATACCGCACGTAGAATGGAGTCTGCTTCTGGTTTTCATTCCCTCTCCTCCCCCCCCCCCCCAGGCCTACAGTTTACGCAGGTGACTGGGTAACTGAGCTTTTCGTCTCCTCCACAGCCTGTTTTACGCTACGCTGCGGCATGTTCTCAATAATTTTGGCGACCTTCTTCCGCTCATCAGCAATTTGCTTTTGGCATAGATGCCTATGTATAACCAGTTTTTTATTATCGGAAAATAGTGTATATCACCCTAGAACAAATCACATACCACGTCCCGAGTGAAACAATACTGAACGTCGCGATGGCCCAATGTCCCGCTATCATACGACCTGAAGTAAGTATATGTGGTGTTCAGGTTTTCTCATGATGATGTTGGAAGGAAGCATGGAACGAACCAGTCGACAATCCTCGAATGACACCTATCCCAACACCGCTAGCAATCCCACTCAACAAGCTATTCCGGGAACATGGAATTTCCGTTATATGTTTCACACTCTACCGCGACAGTCAATTAGGGTAGGTTGCTTGAGGTGAGGTCAAGTCGGACTCGCCTCTAGTGAATCATAAACGATGTTCCCTGTTGGTGGCGGGACTCGAGAAGGCAAGGGGATTGGAGAAGGTTGCTGGGAAGGAGGAGGAGGTTCACTGGGAGTTGTCGACATGGTGGTCGAGAAGATGTTTCTCACGTGACACGCGACGCGCCACGAAATTGAAGTTAAAGCAAAGTTAAAGTGGACAGGCTAAGTCTACAAAGTAATTTTTATGTGTAAGGAATCTAAGAAGCAGGTATCAAGCCAATTGCTTCAATCTACGTGCAAAAACATGAATATGCGCTAGACCCGGAACGCTCTGTAATCTCTGCAAAAAAAAAAAAAAAGAACGGTAAGCCAACGGTAAGCAACACATTCCCATAAAATCAACCCACAGGAGGGTTCACAAACCACGCCGTCTCCCACTCCCCCTCTCGCCACCTCATCTTAACATACCTATCCACCTCCTTCCCCGCCCTCCTCACCAACACATCCTCCTCCTCCGTCCCAGGCGCCCACCTAACAAGACTATCAATCGTGATGCCCCACTCCGCCAGCGCGGGGAGGCACGAAGGAAGGGTAGATGGCGATGGGGGCGGGAATAAAGTTCCTGTGAAACCCCATAGCCCGTCTTGCTCGATGCGGGGTTTCACGGAATCGGCGACGAGGGAGGGGTGGTAGATGGGGCGTTTTGTCCATATGAGGGTGTGTTCGACTTCTGGGGGGACTTGTGGGATTTTTTAGTTAGTTGGAGGGATGCGAGGGAGTGGACGGACCGGAGTAGGGCCAGTCGTTCTGGATGACGCTGATGAACTGCCGGGGCGTCTCGACGCAGAAATATGGAGTTTCGACGACGGAGGTGTGACCGTTGGTAGTTGGCTCGTCGAACGCTTCTTCATTGAGGGAAGAGGTCAACAGGGACAGAGCGTCCGTTTTACCCCATTGCAAACGGTAGTTCAAAAGGTAGTTGACTGCGTTCAACCATGATTTACGTCGGTCGATTCAAAGCAACATGCATATGCCACACTCACCCATAGATCCGTGTTGCTTGACTATCCCCGCCACCCAGTCATCGTAGCGTTTCTGCAGTTTGCGGTCGCGTTTTAGCAGACCAAGATCACTATGTAATGGGTAGTAGAGAGTTACATTGAGACTCGGATAGTTTAGAAGAAACTCACCCAGAGTTTACGAACGTCTTCAACTGGTTCCAGGTGAACTTTGCTGGGTAGCGGGTTAGGAGCTCCTCGCGCGTGGGTGGGCCTGTGGAGGAGGAATCCTCCTCTTGAGATGAAAATTGGGTGTCATCGGTGATCCCTTCCGTTGGCATTCGACTTCAGCTCCGATCTCTTCAAGTGTTCAGCGATGCGAGAGAATTCGTTGAGGGTTCCAGTCAACAAAGATATTATGAATGGAGGCGCTGCTTCTAACACCCTAGTAATTCCCAGTCAAGATCACCATGGATCCATGATGGTCGAGAATAGAGTCCGCGTCCTTCACAATTGAGCCAAAAACGGACATAGCGCTCTTCCCCTCTGCCTCCATGTCCACCTGGAGAAATAAACAACATCCCTCGCAAGCAGGAAGTGTCCGCACTGGACATGGAACCCCGCGTTCGAGAGGACGCCCCTTAGGCGGGCGAGCCGGTCCAGGACGTATGGATCTTATCGTGTCCGTCAGTCGAAGCAGTGGGCTCGAGAAGGGTGGTGATGAGTGCGTCTTTCTGTGCACACACTCAGTACAAATTGTAAGGAACCTCAGTGTCGCAGTTTGAAGGATCGGGGTATACAAGAAGAGTATAGGGAGTTTATCGAAGGGAAGGCGCGTTTTTAAACACTTGAGGTTCTTGTGCTTGTGGATGATTGATATGACGCTCATCGTAGCTGGATACGGTTTTGAGTCGCCCACGGCAGTCTATGGAATCGGAAATAGATAAACGACGACGAATCGACGCTCAAGAAAACATTCTCATTCTATTCAGTTCGTCTCCTGCTCCTTGGCTTCCCTACATCTCCTCATACATTTACAGGAAAGTTACGCGAAGGCGTCGCCTCTTCTCAGCGTAATGACCAATTCGCATTGGAAGGTTCGTTGTGAAACTTGTGCGCCCATCGATCTTCTTCCAACCAGGTTCAACACGGACAGTGTACGAGTCGTCACTATACCTCGCGGTTATCTTCGATTCTCCCAAGCAAACGACGTCAATCATATCAGCTCTTATTCCAGAAGTGTACCTCTCAACTCCTCCCCCGCATCGCTTGTGCCTTCCAACTATTCTACTTTCCTCTCTTCATCACCTTCTAGTCGCCTACCCCTCTCAGGTCCCTTTCAACCGATTTCTCCAATCGATACCGGAAACGCTCTTACCAAGAGCCTCTCCGACCTACGCGTGGATCACCTTTTTGGCTGCAAGCCTTCGAACACGTAACTATGCCCGCTTCGAGCGATTATCCCGAAAAGTTTCCCTGTCCGAGATACTAGAAACACCTGATTCGATCTCAGCTACATTGGGAGCCCTCACCATTACCCCACAGGCAAATCGTACCCTTGCATTCAAAGCTCTCTTCACGTTGTTGGACTCTTTGCGGATAAAATCACGAGAAACTTCATGGGCAATTATCAGATCGGCTTACCGAGAGCTGACCTGTGGTGTGCAGCCCTCAGAAACGAAAAGTTGGCTATCGAGGTCTTTGTGTTTGCAGTCCGTCGTTTCGGATGAATTTAACGTTGAGGTGGAAGATTGGCTTGCCAAGCAAGTTCCTCTGGGAGCAGTGCGGAGGAGGGAGGACGCTGAAGGAAAGTGGTTAGTTTACAAAGTTCGCTGAAGGTTACTTGGTCTCTTGTATTGATATGTATTTTAGTTTCTACTTTTATTTTGATGGCGAGGGGACACCGTCTCACTGGTTCAACCCAACACAGTCGACAGCCAGCTCAACTGCCGCGTTCTTGGAAAGCGCCGTCGCCAAAGTGGGCAGGATTAGACCTTATGCAATTGGGGGTATAAAGCTTACTAAAAAGCAACCTATTCAAGTATATTTATTCCTTTGAGATGGACATTTGATAACCTACATACAGTATCTACTTTTGAATTGCAGTTCCTTCCCTCAGTACCAGTAATCGCTGTCGTCAGGTTCATTACATTGATACCTCAACACACTTCCAGCACCTCCACTCGGCTGCATCATAAACTTCCTTGAGTTTACGTGGATCAAGGGAACGGGTTTGGAAAACTCAGTTGCTTCGTACTCTCCGACGCATCTCCAAAGCTGTGTCGTCACATACTGGAAATGGTTCATCTCTGGGCCAGCACAGACCTCCCAACGAAACTCCTCCAGGTCCGCAGGATGAACGGTCAGTTTCTCCAAGCGAGGGAGTTGTGTGGTAACGTCCACCAACGACTTCTACACCATCCGTGAGCCCAGCCTCACCATCGGAAAGAACACATCAACTCACCACAGCGTCGTCGAGGGCTTCCGAAACGAGTTTACCCACGAGGATCCTCAACTTCTTGCATAGCGAGATCACCACGAGAGCTTCATCCCCGAGGCACCACCCTCCTTCATAATCAGCCATAACAATGAGTTCTTCAAGAGTGCTCGCATGCTTGCCTAAACAAAAGTTATAAAATTGGTTGGCGGCAAGATCAGATTCTCCCAGAGTCTCAAAGTTTAGAGGCGCCAGACGCAGTTTCTTCAATCCTGAGTAGGATGAGATATAATCGAAAAGGGTGGTAGAAATATGGTTCACATCGATGCCGTTAAGACGGACATCGGTCGTCTTCAATATTGCCCATATCTCGTTTGGATGCGAGCTCTCTGCCGCACTAACATACGCCCCGTCTGGACTAGATTGCGATGTCTGGCAATTGCGTAGCATGAGGGACGTTAGGCGCTGGAGATGGGGAAGTGTGATGCTGTCGAGCTTCAGTGAGAATCCCTGCAAACCCAAATGCTTTAGTGGTAAGACGAGGTTTGGAGGGCAATTCTCTAAAAGACGATGAAGGGATGTCGTTGCGCCGTACGTAGGTCCCAAATGAAGGGTATGAAGGTTCGGCGAGTTCGCAATCAAAAGCGAAAGGGGTTCAATGATTTTCACGAAGGATTTGTTGTGTGGCGAAGATATCTTGATGCTCTGCAGATTATGTAGCGGTTGCAGCTGGAGGTCTGCCATATCGAAACCTTCTTCTATAATCAACTCAAAGGATTCAAGGAGTGGAAGAGTTTTGACTGCATTTATGACCGCTGTTGGCGTCCACTTTGAATCGGACCCACCGATGTTCCATCTTGCAGCAAAGGTTCATTCGGAGCACTTTAAAGGATCAATGGGTGACTCACTTGAAACTCCGCAAGTTGCTTAACGAGGCGATGGCCACCTGAAGCATGGCGTGCATCTTTTCCTCAGCAATCTTCACCTCAGGAGGGTGTGGAGCGGGCGGCGCGTTCACCCATTCCTCCGTATCTGGGTCAAAAACCCGGATAGGGGAGCGATAAATTGGGTCCTTCGAAGGACAGAGGTTACGGATGTGCAGCTCATGTGTGGCTGTCGCCGCGTGACTGCTCTGCGTCGCCAGCGTCGTGAGTTGTGAGATGCTAACATCGAGTCGAGGCTTCATAATGTCGATGGCAATCGACCGGAGAATGTGTGATTCAAGTACGCTGCTCATCCTCTTGCAAACGAGGCGCAATTCTGTAACATTGTTTCCCAACTACAGAAAGGAACGAGTGAATGAAAAATGGTTGGAGATGTCGATAAGGGCTGGAATATACGTACCTCTGTACCGATTTGCTGGATAAGTTCGGGTGCTAGAGAATTGAGGGTAAACATGATGGTAGTCGAGTGCAAGTCGGAGGTCGAACTTGTCGGACATCGATAAAGGCAGCCCTGTTGAGTTACCGTCGGAACCACTACTGCACAGTGATTCTGACATTTCTTCACACCTCAACCGTAGTTGTGATCAGTTTATGAGTCCGGTCTACGAGTCCGGTCTACACTCGGCAGCTCGCACCACAACCCGGTATTGGAAATTTGAGGTGTTGTTGACTCAACCGCGGTCGCGGCTGGTGTGCGTCAGTCTCGGTCCTCGACAGCCAGCTCAACTTGTTCTTGGACAGGAATCAGTGTCACATGACAGTAAAGTTTGGAACCCCTCTTCAACGACTCCAAGTCTCAAATGAATGAGGAGACATGGTCACTGACTCTCACTGTTTGAAGTTCACCGAACATGGCCGACCTCAAGAGATCTGTTAAGCCCATTTCACAGTGGACCGATAACGAGCTCCTGGCTTTCAACATTCGAGTAGAGGACGCTGGGGTTGAGGCGTTTTTCAATATCCCTCAGCTCCCCCCGCCAACGGCTTCTCCAACAATTTTGAATAATCTTGACAAACCACCTGGGACTTTGCTCAAGAACGACCGTCTATTTTTCGCCTATAAACGCGACGCAGAAGGCCCGCTCCCAGTAGAAGCCCCTTTTTCCCGCCTTAATTTTACTATGTTCCTTCTGGATCTCTTGGAATATGATACCATCAGAAATAGCCTGGTCGGACTTTGGGGAAAGCTTCCCTTCCTCATGGGTGGCCAGCGCATTATTGCGAAGATCGATCTGTTCTTGAAAAGTGTTGATGAACTTCATGAGTATCTCTCGATTGTTCACGAGGACAAAGTGGGTTGTTTGAATCATACACTTCTGAGGTTGACCGTACTATCGTCAGCACCCAAACCAAGATCCCGAAGCGCAAGTCATCGCAAAGGCAATCGTCGCCTTCCACCACAACAACTGTAAACGCATGAAAGCAGGTTTGCAACGCCTGCCGGACAAGGATACCTGTGCTATCGTCATGGAACGCACTGCACCCATCTTTTATCGTGTTCATGTCACGACAGCACTTGTTGATGCCGTCGCCGTGTTAGCCTATCCACAAGAAGAAACAACGGTCTTGAGGTTTATACCACCTGTCCCGAACCAGGAAATGTATAGTACAGAAGGAATGCATCCGCTGGCCAATCGTCGTTCTGTATTTCAATGCCTCGAAGCCTTCAAGGCAGTTATAGTACGTCTTTTTACCAGCGGGAAAAAAGTTGCATCTCACATATTTCTAAAGGACTCATGATATGTACCGAAGGAAAGAGTTCTGCTGGAAGATTACCAGCTCTTTGTATCATTCGCTGGAAGTCCACTAAATCAATGAAAAGTGATATGTACTTCCGAAGCCCTAAAGATCTTGCTCGAGCTTCAACCCAAGCCCCTGATGTACGCGGCTTTGTTAAGGAATTCGGACGAAGAATCTTGAACCCTCTTTTTGGAGGCTACTTTGTGATAACCCTTGAACTCTTAGCCATCAATGTGTTGCAGGATCTCATCGACATTTTCTAACATCGAAGCGGAATACTGGCTTGCCCAGCAAGTTCCTCTGCGAAGGAGGAGGGATTGAAGGAAAGTGGTTAGTTGACAAGGTTCGCTGAAGGTTACTTGGTCTCCTGTATTGATATGTACTTTAGTTTCTACGATTTCCAATGGTGAGGATGATATGTGTCTGGTATATGGTGTCCCGAGAAAAGCGAGATGGATGAGAAATTAGGCGGTGGCAGGGTCGTCGATCTTGACCTTGTTGAAGAGGTCTGCCAGGTCGTCCGCGGATGTATCCACTTTTGCAGACTCTTTCGCTTGTTCCTCGGCCTGTTCCTTCAATTCCTCTTCCTCTTCCTCCTTCTCCTCTTCCTCTTCCTCCTCCTCGTCTTCGTCAGTCGCGAATAACTTCCCACCCCTCTGTTTGAGACTCAAAGCAATAGTCTCCAGGTGCTCGTCATCATCTTCCACCTCATTCCACTGCAGCTCGAGCCTCATCAGACTCGTGAGATGAGTCGAGATCGTCTGAGCAAGGAGCGAGAAGGTTTTGGTTTCCAGGTTGTTATTCTGCAGCTGAAGTGTGTGCAACTTGGGATTCGATCCCGTCGTAAGGCTAGTCACCAGGATCGGGACCTCACCCTCCGCAGAAAGTACGCAATCGGAGAGGTTAAGTGTATGAAGGTCTAGCCATGACGGCAACGCCTCTGTCCAAGCCTCCAGACCAGTCAGCTCGCCATCGGCGGTGAAAGTATTATCTTGCAGATCGATATGTTGCAAGTGGGGATTCTTAGCCAACCCACGCGCCAGCGCAGTGACACCCTCCATCCTGATCCCATTCTGTGGCATCCGGACTTCCACAAGCGTGCCATGCGCCGCGAACGCTTCGGCCCACGCTGGCGCTGACCCATTCTCCAACCGATTCCGACCACAGATGACCGTTCGCAAATTTGAGGTCCTCCCTTCCGCTTTACTAAGCCTCGCTGACTCTACCAACGCTTCTGCAATAACTGAGCCACCCGCGGGACCCAAGCCGTTATTGTTCAGTTTCAGGATTTGGAAACTGCGGTTATGCGTAAGGAAGGGGACCATTGGATCGACGGATCGTCCACCAAAAGCATTGTCGCTCAGGTTGAGCTCGACGAGGGAGGTTTTGTCTTTGAGAGCATCGCAGATCGCGGAAAGCGCGAGTGGGATTTCAGAGATCAGACGACCGGTGAAGATATCGGCGAAATCTGCGACCTGAGCAAGTGCTTTATATATTAGTTGAGAATCTTGGGGGGAAAATCGGCGTAGAAACTCACCTTGAGCACCTTGGTTTTATCCAGGAACTCTGCTAGCGCTTGAGACGCGTCGACGCCGAGTGTATTGCCCCCAAAGTGGATTTCCTCGATTGTCGTCGGATCAACGTCCTTTAAGTATGGTTCAATATCGGCTCTTGTGTTGAGCTTAAGGCCCTTGCCGTGTAATGAAAAGTTTTTCGTCGTCGAGGTGGAGGCCATTGTGCTCAGCTGGTAGTAGAAAAATAAACGGTAGAAAATCAATTCAAATTGATCATGATCGCCACACAGCCACATGCTGTTGTTCCGTTCAACAGCCCTCAACTCTAAAATACATATCGACGTTTCTAAAAGTCACTTTCATGAGTGTGATTGTTCACGAGATACAAATGGTAGAGATGTTTTGCACTAAAGCCCAAAAGAAAAGATGTCTAAATTACAGCATTGATTCCGACATGAATAATCCTGGAATAAAGATGAGCTGCCAGGAGTATTGCTCCGAAAACAAATACGTACTCGTCTGCAGAGGTGAGCCAATTCGCCGTTTCCGGGAACATCGTCGCTGTTCGCCGAAATTGAGAGATGGTCCCATCGTCAAAACTGCGGACTCACCCAAACGACGATACACGCCCTCAACAAAAAATCGTCTGATGTAGTTGGAGATGGGAGACAGAAGACCACCCTCCACCTTTTTAGAAACAACATGATAATGCGGCGCACTTGAAAAAATTTAGGCCATCTCTAAATGGGCGAGATAAATGAACGTACATGTGAGTCGCAGTCTTGGTGACGGCAAGAATCTCTCCGATGATGGTCTCCGCCCGAGGATTAGTTGCTCTCTCAAGTTCGATGATCTTAGCTACTAGATCTTGTACCTTGGAAAGGGTGAGATACTGTCTAGGACGAAAACCAGACAACGATGCACCTGAACATTAAAGTCATCACGGAACCCAAGGTAATACGATACACCATAGAAGCCTAAAAATTAAGTCTTGGTGTGATATCCTCTTAGCGAAGGATCAGGAAAAGTACCTTCGACAGTCCGGACCTTGCTCACAACATAGCGGTCTTCAACGGGGACACGATTCGTCGGGACGATACACACGGAAAGGAAAATCTACTTCCTTGTTATATCAATGAATCTAGAATCAGCCGTGAAATTGACGTACGACAACGCGAGGAAGAGCCGGCCATTGACGGACGAAGCCTAAGCACAACTGATAAGCGGGTTTTTATGATAAGAATGACGTGGCACGTACCAATAAAAGTGTGGGGAACTCCCTTTCCTGAAGCAATCTTGTGGAAGACAGCACAAGTGGGAATACGTTGCAACATTCTCCTCTCCTCTACCATCTTCTCGCCCGCTGCCTTTTCTGCCCGACTGGGAAGGTAGAAATAGGGCGGGAGTCCAGGATCCAGCTCTTCTCCATCTTCGTCGTAATTGGCTTCAGATGCCTTCTCATCTGGACGTATGAAATGTCTCAAGTTCATGCGGTTTGCACCGTCGAACTTGTCCTCCAGCCCCTATTGCATCCTTTAGATGAATGTGACGAAGAAAGCTCAAAAAGCTTACCTTGGCCCAGACCCAGAGAGTCATTATCAAGAGACTGTTTAAACAATGAGTAAACGTCAAGATACAGAGAGTTAATTGCGTCGACTCACAGAATAACACCGATGGTCAATGGTACCCAGGCACCATGGGGAACCTTCTTTAACGCGGCACCCCAGAAGAGCCCTATAGGCGGCCTTAGAGGCGATTATCTCGAGTATGCAAACAGAGTGACATACCGTCAAAGAACCCAAATATAAGGAAATATCCGATTCCAACAATCATTGGCCAATGTTTGACGTAATACATTTGAATTCCTAGAAGCAAGCTTGTTGAAAACATCACAGTCGCCACCGCAAAACCATAAGCGTTTGTCAAGTTTGCCAGATTTGAGAACGCCGCGACCACGACGATAGTTGCGATCATGAGCGCCCAATTAACGGCTGGGATATAAACTTGGCCTTGTATGGTTTCGGACGTGTAGAGCATGCGGAGAGGGGGGAAGGCCTTTGAATTGATGACCTGCTGGACGAGACTGAATGTCGCAGTGATTAAAGCCTGAGATGCGATGAGCTGGAAAGGGTCAGCGAATGTTGCATGTGTTCGATGATCTTTTACATACTGTCGCCAGAATGGCAAATACGAACATGATCCTAGAAAGACGATGAGAAAAGACACGAGCGAAAAATGGTGTTTACACCAACCAAAATAGAGGTCCGTTGACGGGTCCTGGGATGGTGTTATAGAAAACATTGGAAAAGACCGCTTCACCGTCCCTGATCAAACGGGCACCTTGACCGAGGTATGCTAGCACAAGAGCGGGGTATGTGAAGAAGCAGAAGGAAAGCTGATGAAATGTCAATTTAGGCTGACTGACGCAAAAAAAGTGCAGACCCTGATCGAGGTCGCGTTGAACTGCCCGAGACTAACAGTGGAAGAGAGGTCAGCATATTTCAACCGACGTGACAAAACGCTGAGGACGAACTTTGCGAACATGGCTTCACATCCGGTGATGGCAAGAAGAACACCAGCAAGTAGGTCATAGTTCTTTGTGCGGACAAAGACTTATTGGAGCAGCCTTAGCGATCCGATAGCGTTGAAGAAACATTGGCAACTTACGCATTACCGCGCGAGAAGGATCGAAAGCGCGAAATATTCCGGGGTGAGTGATAACATTGGCAATTCCAGTTCCAATTAGAAGGAGGAACCATAGGAACGAGACTGCGTATCTTTAAACAATTATTTTCTCCCAAGAGCTCTACGGGCGACGTACTAGGAGCGAAGAGAAATGCCAGACGATGTGTTCCAAATTGTTGCACAGCGAACAACGCAAAAAGGAAAACCTAAACTGTTATTAAAAAAGGCGATGAGAAGATAAACGGCGGAATTTACGATAGAAATGGGTATAATGTCATTGGTGACGGAAGCCTTGGCGACGGCTATACCCCCAACAGCACTTGTGACTGAAACGGCCGGTGTGAAAATACCGTCGGCCATCGTCAGCCTGCCAGTGTGAAGTCAATTCCAGAACATGATACGTGCTGGACACAGGTTCACGTACGAAGTTCCAAATAAACACTGCCACGCCAGTCAGAAACGCGCAGAAATTTTCAAAAGAAAACATTACCCATATCAACAGTGGCCAACGAGCCTTTTCCTTCAAAGTATGTGCTGGCTTTTCTGGTCCAAGGGTCGTGTCTCCGGTGAGAGTCCGATCCTCGTCATGGTTCTTGTCTGCGGGCGGATACAAACCCTGGTATAAGGCGAAAGAACCTCCTTCTCCTATGGTAAAGGGTCAGCCAGCAAACCGAAGAAGCTGTTTTATGACTAGAACCTTCTTGAGTTCCGAAATACAAAGAGACAAAGACCTAACTTGAAGATTGAGTAGATGCCAAGGGGAAAACCGAGGCTGCCGTACGTATTTGAGAAGGGGAAGCAGCGTGAGCGACCAAATGATGGCGCTGATACCACCAATTATATCCTCTTCAGATGGGAGAGGTCCAGAGGCGGGCCATATTCCGTTAAGTACATAAAGAGGCGACGTTCCAATATCGGAGTAGATGATCCCTAAACTTACGTCAGAGAAGAGAGTTGAGAAAGGAGAACTGAAGGCTGACCAAGTGTCTGAAAGCTAAGCGAAATGAGCGCCCACCCACTGAGACTCACTGCTCGACGCTTGAGGTTGAGCCCGTTTTCCAGAGTTGAGAGAGAGGTCATCTCGGAAAGACAGATGAATAGGGTAACGATCTCCCAGACATTAAATACCGCCACATGGGAGTGCTGAAGTCTTATCTGGGAATGGCAAAATTCGCGCAGACATGATCCTTTTTAGTACTGAGGGATTATAGCGGACGGCTGCGATTGATGATGCGAACCTGAGTTCCAGGTGGCGGAAGAGATTCAGTTTTATGGTGAAACTGTCGTCTGAGGTTCAGAGTAGAGCGGTCTCTTGGTCGGATTCTGGAGCACACTGCCCAATTCAGCGATTCAGCTACGATGTGGGTCTTGAAGTTGGGTGTCAACCTCCGCCGTGAGACATGTTGTATTCGGAGTTAAGCGCTAGTATTGCGTCGTTTTGCAGCACCCTTCGGATCTCTCTCATACATATCCCAGATAAAGTATAGCATTAGTGAGGCTCCTAGACTTGGCGAGCGTTCGTTAAGCCACGGTGACAGCCAGAAATGAAATCATTCAGATATTAAGAGGGAGCCAGATGAAAGATAAGCAAAGGCACGTTGGAGCATAGTGGAAACCCCGTGTAAAAAAGGTCTGTATCGTTGTCGAGCTTGTAAGTCGCGCACCGTGACACTGACACCTACCTCGGCAAACAAAACAAAATAAGGCCACTATGCTTGTGATCACTTTGTCATCTTTGTCATCGTCGTTCACCACTCAGTGACCTCTCATCTTTACCATGCCTCGCGCTGAAGGTGAGTGGTATCGCAACCTTTTAGTAAATGACGTTTGACAATGTCTCTGACAGTCGGAACACCCAAATATGTCGCGAATAAGATGAAATCAAAGGGGCTACAGCGCCTGCGCTGGTACTGTCAAGTTTGTGAGAAGCAATGCCGCGATGAGAACGGCTTCAAATGCCATGCTGCGTCGGAATCGCACTTGCGTCAGATGTTGGTGGTGGGAGAGCATGCGGGAAGCCATATCGCTGGCTTCTCAAGTCAGTTCCAATCAGAGTTTGTAGCTCTGCTCTCTCGACGGTAAGCTAACTTTTTATCTGCCTTCAAAATGAATTTAAATGGTTTCTTCTAGGTTTGGTACCAAGCGAGTAAGAGCTAACCAGGTCTACCAGGAGTACATCTCGGATAAGAGCCATCTGCATATGAACTCAACACGATGGGTTACCCTGACGGAGTTTGTGAAACATCTTGGGCGGACGGGTGTGGCTAGAGTGGACGAGACGGAAAAGGGATGGTTTATTGCGTGGATCGATAGCAGCCCGAAGGCGCTTGCAAAAGCGGTACGCCACTTCTTCCAGGCTGCTGTATCAATCTCATAGTCTTTCATCTGTATCAGGAAGCATCTTTGAAGAAAGACCGGGCGACAATGTCAGACGAACAGCGAGAGCGCCAGCTTATTGCTGAACAGATCGAACGCGCCGCAGCAGACGTAGAAGCTGGACCATCTTCCTCCAGCTCACCCCCAGCAGAAGAAGGTCTCAAACGAGAGGACGGGGTCGAGAAGGTTGTTCTTTCATTATCAGCGAAACCTGCGGCAACAGCGGCTCCCATTTCCTTTGGCGGATTCAAGGCGAACCCTTTGAAAGTGGGGGCCAACCCACTGAAGCGCCCGAACGTTCTGAAGACAATGGCCACTTCCAGTGTGGGCGATAACGCACCGGCGAATGAGAAGAAGCGGTCAGCTCCCATGAGTGCAGCTGAGAAGCTGATTCTGGAAGAACAAGAGCGGAAGCGGAGACGGATGGACAGGGACAATTATGTTTGAATAGCTCTGTGTGTGTTTTTTCTACTTGTAACTGCATTGTAATTTCACCATCAATTGACGGCGAGGCTCGTCGTAATCGCTATAACCTTGCTATCTGAATTTTCGCATTCACCTGAGTTTCTTTTCACTGTAATAGAGTCACCGAAGCACCTCAAGTCATAGAGTTATCCGTAGCGAGTATTGCTGTTTGACCTCCATGCGCCATCACTGAACTACTGTACCGAACTGTATGGTGGCAACGGCAGACGGAGCGTTACGCGCCCCAAAGGATTTTTTTCGGCAACCGACCGGGCGTTACGCGTTACTTTGGTCCGATAGGCAACCCCCCGGAGATTTAGGAAGACGATGTTACAGAAGTAGATGGTCGGCTGGGCATACAATGATCCTGGCAATGCCGGGGTATTCTACCAGATTTTACCTATATTTTAGTATCTGTAGCCCCGCAGGGACAGAAATTTTTGTAAAAATGGACTTTTTTTTTGGTCATTTTCATAGCAACACGGCCAGCGTGACGCGTTACTTTACCTGACAGTCCGTGATGAGTAAGCATGAGGCACGAGTGTAAACTCATCTTAGGATAAGATAACGTGTGCGTCAGAACCAGACGTCTTACCCAGATGTAGGTACCAATATAGGTCTACGTTTCTGGGAGTGCTTCTCCCATCACCTTCAGATCTGGTTCTGACGCTAAGAAATTGCCTGTCGGTTATCTCGCTAAATTTTTTTGACTTTCGACGTCGTTTCCTGATGGCTGACACCTCTACTGCTCCTTCTGCAACTGCGTCCACCGCTCCTGCAGCTTCTACCAATAATGTTCAGTCTCATGCGACTACCGACAGTGTGCAGCCTCGTGTTCCGCGTACCCACACCTCCCCTGCTATCATCCAACTTTTAAAGAACCTTTCGCTGACCAATATCTTACACCGGAACAAAAAGATCGAGGCCGACAACGATGCCAGATCTGCTAAGACATTGAATAACGCTCTAGACCCTGCTGCCCATCCCCAACCGGGATCAGAAGCAGCTTCCTTGATCACCATTGATCCCGAGGATCTTGCCCGATTAAGGATCCCTTCTTTCTTTGCTTCTGTCCGTGACTTTGTTTACCCTGGTCTGGCGAAGCATCTTGCCAACGAAGATTTGAAAGAAAAGGAGGAGAAGAAAAGGAAGGACGATGACGTCCTTGCAGAGGATGCCAGGACTTCCAAGCGGCGTTGTATGGATGGCTCCAACCATGTGGAGAGAGTGGTTGGGGAACCTATTCGTATTGAATTCCCACAGTCTTTATATGACACTGAGCTTTGCGTTGCAGTCCCTCTCCCCTTCTTCCTTACTCGGAATTTACGGGTCCTGGTTGATGAGGCATCAACCCTGCCTACTGTCAAATCCAACCCTGCGCCCGGAGAAACCAAGGGAACTTACATTCTAAATTTAGAGAAGCTCTCCACTCGTTTTGGGAAGGAATTGACTCTTACTTGCAGCCAGTGGTCTGAGGCTGCCGCAAACATGTGGAGCTTTCAGGTCTCGAGGGACAAGCTGGGTAGTGAGGGGGAACATGCTACTTGGTTTGAAAAGCATTTTAATTTTTTTAACATGCTAAATAAAAGGGATGAGTTATATGATGCCTGGAAAGTCATGGAACTCGAGTTCCGTCAAGACCACCGGAGTCGTCACCTCAAATTCAGCATGACGGATTATGACAAGGCCCTCGGTCTTACTGAGGAGAGTCATAACTTGACTCAAAAGCTGCGCAAAGAATTTCGGGACTTCGTCAACTCTTCCCAGCCGGTGTTTGGGTGGTCAGGCCCGTCTTCCCGCGGTGGTGGTTCCTTTTCCCAGAGGTCCCTGCCACGAGGTCCTTCCCAGGCGTTGGCCTCCCAGCCCTTTCCCTCAGGCAGCGGCAAGTCATCCCCTACGGCCGTCTGCCTCATCTGTGCTCATAAGGGGCACACCGTTTTCTTTCACCTCATGTCCACCTCTCCTGCAAAATTTGCCGACGGAAAGCTTGCATGGGTGAAATGCAACCCAGGTTTCGGCCTTGCCACCCCTGACAACAAAATCCTTTGCATTAACTGGAACGTGCGAGGCGCTGAGGCAGTTTCCCAATGCGCCTCCGCTCACAAGGACGAACGCCTCCACCTCTGCTCCTTCTGTGGCAGCAAAGGCCATCACGCCCTCTCCTGGACTTGTCGCACCAAGCCCGCCTGAGGATTTTTTCGCTGTCGCGTGTCCCCTTGCCTTGTCCTATTCTGATTTCTCATCCTCAGTCGTTCCCCGTTTCCCGCTCATCCCTCTCTCTCCACAACACTCTTCTATTTTCGAGCGCATCACGCACCCTTACAATCCAGACGCCTTCGACGCCCTCCTCCTCAAACATGGCCTCTCTTCTGCTTACCCCCTTCTTTCCGACAATCTCAGGCATGGCTTCCCCCTTGGGCACATGCCGGCGTTAGCGGAAACTGTCATTCTCCCTAACAACCCGTCCACTTTGCCTTACCTGCAGGATATACAAGATTATTTGCAGAAAGAACTCATTGCTGGTAGGATGTCTGGCCCCTTCTCTCGTGAGGAGGTGGAACTTATTCTTCGGGGTCCTTTCTTCTCTTCCCCCTTCGTTGTTGATGTCCAACCCCAGCAACCCGGCACGCCTGACAAGATCCGGATTTGCAGGCACTTGTCAAAGGCCTCGAAGTCACATCCTTCTGTCAACTCGCATATTCGCAAGGAAGATTTCCCAACGCGATTTGATTTAGCCTCCAAGGTGGCTGAAATTGTGAGTATCTCTTCATCCGTTTCTTCCCCCCCCTTCTTTCTTCCTTTTTGTTGTGCACCCCTTTGCGTTTAGTGTGTGGGGTGCTTTCTTCTTCGCTGCTGCATGCAGTTTTGAGATTTTGCATTCTTAATGCGCTATCTTTACACATCTTTCTTGCATCTTCTCGTGGCCGAGTACTTGCTGCACTTGCCTCGCGCTTTCTTCAACTTCCTTTTTCCTCTCTGAGTTCTCTTTGAGTCTCCTCCCTCTTCCCATTTCTCTTCCTATCTTTCCTTTTGGGTCTTATCCCTGCACGCCTTCTCTGCTGCTCCTCCTCTCATCCCTGTCTTTCTTGCACTTTGTGCTTACCCACTCTCTTCAGGTCGCTCTTGCCCCTCCAGGAACCCAGGCTTGTACTCTGGATATCACCAAGTTCCACTGTACTTGTCCTGTCCTGCCTTCTCACAAGCCGTGGCTTGTTGTCCAGGGTCTCTCTGGTCAATTTTTCATTGATCATGATCATCCTTTCGGTGCTGCTTGTGCAAGCAGCAATGCGGGTATGATCGCCAATGCTGTGGTAGATATCTGGCGAGGGGAGGGTGTCTTCCCTGTCCCCAAATACGAGGACGATCTCAAAGTCTTCCGTACCCCTTCTGCTGGGGGAAAATTTCGTAATGGTGATTTTTTCTATGACTATGATCGTTCCGAAATGCTACGTCACATTGACTCTTTAGGTGTGCCTTGGCATGACGAAAAGGGAGACGACCACTTCCTTTTCGTCACCACCTTCATTGGCTTCCTTTGGGACATCCCTAGGAAGCTTGTCAGTTTGCCTGAGGAGAAGCACCTCAAGTTCCATGAGCGCGTACGGCGTTTCCTCAGCAACTTCAAATGCCGCCCTTGCCACTTACTCGACGTCGAAAAAATCCATGGCTCCCTCTGTCATGTCGCCTTTGTTTACATGGATGGCCACTCGCATCTCCCCTCCCTCTCTAACTTTGCATCTTCTTTTCATAACAATGAACTTATCACAAGACATCCTTCCCACTCCATGTTGACTGATCTCTCTTGGTGGCTCCAGAGATTGGAGGTTACTGGTGTCTCCCGTGCTCTGCGCCCCCGTGGTCCTCTCCAGGACCTTGGCCTGTACGTTGATGCTTCCACATCTTGGGGTATTGGTATTGTCATTGGGGACAACTGGGCTTCTTTCCAGCTTTCTTCTACCTGGAAGGTGCCTGGCCGTGACATCTGCTGGCTTGAGACCCTCGCTGTCAAGCTCCTCTCTTATTTCCTGGAAGACATGGGTTTGCAACACTGCCGTTTGCTTATCCACTCTGACAACCAGGGTACCATTGGTGCGTTAGAGAAAGGGCGTAGCCCAAACTCTCACATTAACCTGTCCTTGCGCCGTACTTATCTTGTTCTCTCCGACTGCTCTATTTCTGCAGATATTGTTTACATTGCTTCCGAAGCTAACCCTGCTGACCCCATCTTGCGCGGAGAACCAGGGGAGGCTGGGAAGCAGATTTTCCCTGCCTTTAAGCTCCCTGATGAGCTTGCTGACTGTTTCCTCTATGTTTAGTCTTGACCGGAAGCTTACATCGTCGACCAGTGTCGTTGAGAGGTCCGTGGGTGAGAAACAATCTCATATCTCTATCTCACCGCGCCCCATGCGGCCTCGAAATTCCTTTCATCCTTTCCAACGTTCCTCGCCTGTCTCACCTCCTCTGGTTTCTAAACTTTCCCATTCTACTCCCAAACCCAGTTCCCCTCACTCCTTTTCTGAATTATCTGCAATCTCCAACTCTTCCTTGCACCCTACCCGTGGTCGTAAGCCCCACCCTGGCCGTTCTATTGTTCACAGTGAATTCCGCCCCCACGTTCCTGCGGCTCATCGGATTTTCTCGTGGCGTATGCCTTTTGGCTCTCGTCATCGACATGATATATCTCTGTGTTTCCCCACTCCCGTAGTCGAATCTGCATTGATGGCTGTCCATGGAGCCCTGGCTCCCAACACCAAGTCAACGTATGCTGCAGGCCCTCTTCATTTTACTCAATTCTGTGACAAGTGGGGCATCTCTGAGGAGGATCGTATGCCCGCCGATTATGTCTTGCTATGTGCCTTTATTGGTGAATACAAAGGCCTCCAGTTTGGTAATACCATTCGGTCATGGCTGGCTGGCTTGCGTAGTTGGCATATCATGAACCATGCACCTTGGCATGGTGACGATAGTTGGATGCATCTGGCTCGCATCTCAGCTAACAAGGAGGGCACGAAGCACAAACGCCCCCTCCGTGCTCCTGTCTCCATTGAGCACCTCTCTTGTTTGCGCCGCGCTTTGAATCTTGCCAACCCCTTCCACGCCGCTGTCTGGGCCGTCGCCCTTGTCACCTTCTTTGGGTGCCGCCGCTTGGGGGAAACTACCCTGACTACTGCCGGGGCTCTTGACCCAAAATATCATGTACTGCGCTCGACGAAGTATGTCTTTATTCTTCTTTCTTTACTCCTGTTCTTCTTTCTTACTTTCTACTAGAATTTTATTCCGTACTTTGCGTGATGGTGCTCGTTCTGCAAGTTTTGACATTCCATGGACAAAAACAACAAAGGAAGTTGGAGCCACTGTCATCCTCACTGCTCGTCGGGAGGGTGATCCTCTCTGTCCTGTCTCTGCTCTCAAGAATCACCTGGATGTCAACTCTTCTATCCCATCCTCGTCAACCCTCTTTGCTTACACTTCCACATCTGGTCAACCCAAGAACCTCCTCAAGCACGAATTCCTCAACTTTGTCACTGACATCTGGTCTTCTGCCATGCTTGCCCATATCCTGGGCCACAGCTTCCGTATTGGCGGCGCTGTGGAGCTTTTGCTGGCAGGTGTACCTCCCGAAATCGTCGCCGCTACCGGGGGTTGGACATCCCTCGCGTTCTTGCTGTATTGGCGCCGTATGGACGAAATTTTGCCCATGTCCACTTCAAAAGCTTATAATAAAGCACAACTTGACCGCCTTGCCTCTATTTTCGAAGATTTTCGCATTGCCCACAAAATTCCTTCTTCCTTACTTGATAACTCCCCCCCTTAACTCATGTGTATCTTCATCCCTATCCTTGCCTTTCCCTGTAACATAACCACTTTGATTACTTTACGTTTGCAAATTCTATGAGTAACTTAACCTTTCTTCCAAGTGACGCTCATTTGGGAAGCCAGCTTGGCTCTCTCTTGCCTCACCAACCCGCCGGCGTGAGCTTACACTCGGGTTGGTACAGCCGGTTGGCTTGGCAAGCCCAAATTGAGCTTATTGAACGCTCAGACCTTGTTCGCACTTTCTTTGAGTCCGGGCAAAGTCTTTGCACAACCAAGTTATTCGTGTACACGAATTTCTTGGCTTCTTCTTTCTCTGTACGCTACGCAACAGTTATCTTATTCCGTGATGAGTAAGCATGAGGCACGAGTGTAAACTCATCTTAGGATAAGATAACGTGTGCGTCAGAACCAGACGTCTTACCCAGATGTAGGTACCAATATAGGTCTACGTTTCTGGGAGTGCTTCTCCCATCACCTTCAGATCTGGTTCTGACGCTAAGAAATTGCCTGTCGGTTATCTCGCTAAAATTTTTTGACCCCACCCACCATCCCTTAGCGTTCAGTACAGCCGGTTGGCTTGGCAAGCCCAAATTGAGCTTATTGAACGCTCAGACCTTGTTTGCACTTTCTTTGAGTCCGGGCAAAGTCTTTGCACAACCAAGTTATTCGTGTACACGAATTTCTTGGCTTCTTCTTTCTCTGTACGCTACGCAACAGTTATCTTATCCGTTTTCATAACGATAGGCCTAATCTCGACCAAACACACGTACAGGCAGAGTCTAAAATTGGACCTATGTAAGTTGTTGGATGATGATTCTATTTAGTATAACTGTAGATCTATCCTCGTCATCCCTGAAATATATGCTGATTTTCGTGGACATGATTAGAATTTGAGGTCCGACTGTATCTGTAATTTTGAACTTTTGGCCTATCGTTATGAAAACGGCTGGAAATAAGCAACAAAATCGGGCCAGCGTTATGCGTTACGTTGCCACCATACAGTTCGGTACAGTATTCGTAACGGGGAGAAAAACTCGAAAGATTTTTGTAACCCTCCCTCTCGTTGCATTTATTTAATAGTGGAATTTTGCACACAATCTTCAATACCACTGATTGTCAGTATCAAGTACCAACATCTTGGTTATTGCCCTCCTCAACTGCTGCATGAACGCGTCAGTCACGTGGCTTTCGTGTCAGAGCATGTGACTAATTTGACCCTTGTTCTTCAACTTCTTGTTTCCCAAGTCGCCTTGAGGCTTGCCCGTCGTGTACATCTGGCGAATAATCCCCACCACTTCTCACTCTTTTTTAGCCAAGATTTTCTGCTGCTTCGGACTGATTCAGTTCAGTACCAAACCATGTCGTTTTTCAACTCCATCGGGTAAGTACATCTCACTCGGCTAATACTCACTTGGAACTCCGAGCTCATCATCATGTAGTCGTTCCATGACCCGCTCCCAGCGGGGGCCCAAGAGGTCGCCTACCCCAACATCGGCGACATTTTCTCCCACAGATTCCGCCCCACCCACCCCAACCGTCACAGCGCCGCCGGTCGCACCACAACCCAGGCCTCCTCTCTACCTATGCAGTCCCTTTGTTGAAGCGGCCCTTGTCAAGGGAAATTTCAAGACGATCGTCATGCTCCCCAAATATGTTGATATCATGGAGTGGGTAGCCGTCAATAGTGCGTCGATTCACTGTTCAACTCCACTTTTCCTGACTACGTGCATTATTAGTTTTTGACTTTTACACAAATCTGAACGAATTCTATGGTGTGATTACAGAATGCTGCACCCAACAAGCGTGTCCTACAATGTCTGCAGGCCAGGCGTACGTCCCTCCCGTCTTCTCGGTCACGAATGCTGAGTTATCTCCATAGATTGAGCTACACTTGGATTAATCAAGATCGCAAGAGCGTCCATCTGCCTGCTCCAACCTACATAGACTACGTGATGACCTGGATACAAAATCTGCTGAACGACGAAGGCGTGTTCCCCACAAAATCAGGTACGCGTTCATAGTGTCATAGATGTGCATCATAACTGACGTTCCGGATCCCAATGCAGGCCAGGATTTCCCGCAGTCATTTCCGTCGACGGTAAAGCACGTGTACCGGCAACTCCTACGCGTCTTTGCACACATATACCACGCACACTACCACCAAATTCTTCACCTCCGTTCCGAGCCACACTTTAATTCCCTCTTTGCCCACTTTCTTGCGTTTGGTCGTGAGTATGAGCTGTTGGAAATGAAAGACGTGAAAGGTTCTTCATCAGCACCTGTTGGGATTGGCCGGCTGTGGGAAAAGTGGAGGGATATGGGGTTATTAGAGGGCTGAGCCCAGCAATTCGTAACATGGGACTTGAAGTTCCATTTTTTTTTTTGGTCGGACAGTTGCATGTGCTCTTTATTTATTTCAAGATACATAGATGCTCGGCTGCTACGATAACTTGGCCGCCTTGAATTGGGGAGACTGAACGTTGAACGTTAAATTGTGGAGATTGTTGGTTGGTCTTCTAATTTACGATCATGATGTTGCCGGCCACATGTATGATACAACAGATGGTCTTGACCAGATCTGGCCTCCGTTTGTGGTAGTCCCTTCGCGACCACCGTGAACGTCCTCCAGACCCTTCTTGTCGCCCACAGCGAGCCATTCGCCCACTGTACGACGTACCAGAAGCATGTCCTTCTTTGGGTCCGTGTCTTTCGCCCCGCATGTGCCCCTATACACTCACACGGAATCAATTATTATCATAGTCGCAATCGCGCCCCGCGTGCTAGACGCTCTCCAACGCCCTCCCGCAAGGATTCGTCGAACCCGCCCTCTGAACCGCCATCTCCGGGTGGTGCCAACAACGGCTCGAACGGGAACGGGTTGGGGGGTGGACCGAAGCCTCTATACCTCTGCAGCCCGTTCGCCGATGCTGCCCTCGTGAAGGGCAATTTCAAGACGATCGTGATGTTGCCCAAGTACGTCGACATCATGGAGTGGGTTGCTGTGAACAGTGAGTTGGTCCTTCTGTCTTATGTGTGAGATCGACCAGGCGTTTCTCACATCCCGACCCTCCCCCTTCTAAATAGTGTTTGACTTTTACACGAATCTGAACGAGTTTTATGGTGTTATCAACGAGACGTGCACCCAACATACGTGTCCTACGATGTCAGCGGGGCCGACGTGAGTTTTGTTTCTCCCATTCGAAGAGCGGTGGTCTTCAACTGATTCTTTCGCGGGTATAGACTGAATTATTTATGGACGAATTCTGGGGGTAGACAAGTGTCCCATCCCGCGCCGACATACATCGACTACGTCATGACCTCCATTCAAAATCTTATAGATGACGAGAACGTCTTCCCCACTAAATCCAGTACGTTCCCCGTCACAATCCGCTCAAGTTGCTTTTTCTCAACATAGACCACTGTGCAGATCAATCGTTTCACCCCTCCTTCCCTGCCACGATCCGTACAGTGTACCGACAACTCCTACGGGTGTTTGCGCACATCTATCACGCACACTATCAGCAGATTCTGCACCTCCGCTCCGAGCCGCATTTCAACTCGCTCTTTGCCCACTTCCTAGCCTTTGGGCGCGAGTACGACCTTTTGGAGGTTAGGGATATTAAAGGGGAACCTGCAGCACCTGTAGGTGTGGGTTTACTTTGGGAGAGGTGGAAGGATGCTGGGATCTTAGAAGGTTAGACTTTTGAAAGGATACTGATGTCGAATTTGGTTGTTTTTTGCTGTATGCTATGTTGGATCATGATCATGGTATTATAACTCATGGATGTACAGTATCATACTCACACGGATGTACTTGGGATTGAGCGATATGGCAATGCATTTTTTGCGTTATCATACTTTATTTGTGAATCACGGGCGTAACATCTACTCTTCGAAAAAAGTCAGAACTTCACAACGCTCGAATGTTCATAGAATCGGAAAAAATGCGTGTTAATTGCGGTATGCTAAAATGAACCATCCCGTCTCATAAGAACGAACGACTGGGACCCCGTCGGCCAGCCAGGGTATCAATGCCTCCTCATTATTTTCATAATCTACCAAGTAAGAAAAGATTATAGTGGGGCATTTCAATCGTTGTCGATTTATAGATTCAACCCCGCCACAAGGCCCGCGATCGTCAAGAACGCAGCAGCCTTGCCACCCACCACCATAGCACCGCTCGCGGGCTTGGTGGATGCGCTAGAGGCGGAGCCTGAGCCCGTTGTGGTGCCCGAGCCTGTCGTGGAGCCTGAGCCAGTGGTGCTCCCAGTTCCACCGGGATAGCCGTATCCGCCGCTTGTGCCGTTGCTGGCGGAGGCGAGAGCGGCAGCGTGGAATGCGGCGAATGTCTTATCGGCTGATGGGTTCAACGCGAACACCATTCCTTGCGAGCAGTGGCTGGGGGAACAAAGGAGGGTTGGTTGGGAAAGATTTATTGAAGGGAAGGTGACTTACCCGACTTGTTCACAGTAGAACCACATGGGAGCGCTAGCATTCTGCACAGTGAACGACCATTGAGGGAAGGAGGTCGCTCCGGCGGCGACTGGTTGGAAACCAGAGTTGACGCCGGCGGGATTGGTCCTGTGATTCTTCAGGTCAATAAAGAGATCAAGAAGTGGGGGAATATAAACGTACTTGGGCGTGCAAGGAGCGGTAAAGGTTGATTGGGTCACGGTCTGTGAAATCGGCCGAAGCATCAGACCGTATGCCTCTGGTTCAGTGTGCAATTAACATACGTGATTCTTTGACACACTGTTGTGGAGAAGTTAGAATGGGTTTGTAGTGAGATAATCATAAATCACGGACAATTGGAAAGCCACAACATCTCCAACGTTAGCGGTAACACTAGCGATGCCAATGGTTAGTCCATAGCAACGGAAAGAAGAGGAAGCCACGATGGGGGTCGTACGAGTTGGGAGTGTAGGTGAGGCCACCGTCTTTACCAACGACAACAGTGATGTTCGCAGCCGAGACACCAGAGACGAGAGAAGCGACAGCAGTTAGGGCAAAGAAACGCATTTTTCTTGGTTGAGATAGATATATGGGATAGTGAGAGGTATTAGCGAGTGAACGTTAAGAGCCTTGAGATGAGGTGTCAGTGAAAGGACTCTTCTCTAGCAGCAAAAAAGACTCACTCTGCTCTAGTGAAGGGAGAGGGGAAGAAAGAAAAGATGGTATCTAGGTGGGCGACGAGTGAGGCATTTATATGGATGGCACAAGGACTTACAAGCATGGAAAGACCCTTGATCTTGGAATGAGATTTGCATTGGATTTGAAAGAGATTGTTGTCTCCGGAGGTTGCCATCGTCACATCTTGTCCGTATACGCCGAACATGTTTGTCGCAGAGAACGAGCGCCGACCACATAATACCCACGTTCTTCTCATAACAACAGGCAGCGTCGCATCTATCAAGGCCCCATTGATTGTCCAAGAACTCCTGAGCGTTCGTCTGAATCCACTTGTTGGGCGGGCAGCTAACTTACGCCGTACATTATCACGGTGTTCATGAAATTCAACGGAGCAGTATGACAACGTAAGCGTCGAGGTCGTCGCAACCAAAGCGTCGCTTGCTTTTTTCAAGAAAAAGGACGTGGAACATGCTGGCGCAAGAGTTTGGACGGACGAAGATGAGTGGTCGGTAAGCAACCCCACAAACCAATAAATCAATAATCGCAATAACCGTGGCCTGGAGGGAACTTTCAACATTGGAGACCCAATCTTACATATCGAGCTCCGCCGGTGGGCTGATGTCGTCCTTGTCGCGCCCTGCTCAGCAAACACCTTGTCCAAGATAGCACAAGGGCTTTGTGATAACCTTGTGGCAAGTTTGCATCATGAACCTCCTCCCCCAGCTGCGCTTACGTTTTGTCTGATTGTAGACGTCTCTTATGCGAGCTCTGGCTCCAACGACGCCCACTTATATCTTCCCTGCAATGAACACTCTCATGTACGAACACCCTTTGACGGCTGAGCACATCCGAATAGTAAAAGATATTGTACATTACAACGTCGTCGGTCCGATAGGGAAGAACCTTGCTTGTGGAGATGTTGGTTTGTTGCATTTTACCTCTATCGCCCTCCACGGGTTTAGGTCTTGGATGCTCACCTTATCTTTTCTATCCAGGGATCGGGGCCATGACAGAATGGAAAGACGTTGTCAAAATCGTGATAGACAGGTTCCATTTATCCAGATCTATGTCTTCGATTTAGACTCCAGTTGAAGGAGCAATAAATTTTTGGGAAGACCTCTTGCAAACCTCAGCTATTGTCTTCGCGAGGAACAGTGTTCAGCAGGCTGCATGTTTCAAGCTGGGGCACGCTTATCCTGAATGACGCAACCCGCTTCATTCTGGTTTCGCGACTGTGGTTCGTTTCGATGGATGATAGCCTTCATCGAGGCCTAACTCCACGATGTGTGCTTCCTTTAATCTGATCTATGTCTAAGCGCCAGTGGGGTTGGAAGCCGCATTCTGGCTGAATATTGAACGGTGCTAACTTCATGTTTACACGCCGGCGGCACGGGGAAGGACCCCTAACGGGTCGTCGACACTGACTCCGACTGACTGAGACATGGAACACCCTCACTGTTCCACCCAACATGGCCGACCTCGAAAGATCTGCTAAGCCTGTTTCCCAGTGGACCAATAACATGCTCCTGGCTTTCAACATTCGGGTAGAAGACGCTGGGGTTGAGGCGTTTTTCAATATCCCTCAGCTCCCCCCACCAACGGTCTCCTCAGCAATTTTGGATAATCTTGACGAGCCACCTGGGCTTTCGTACGAGGACCATGTATTCTTTAATTATAAAGGCATGGCAGAACGCCTACGCTCCTGCATCGAATTTACTCTGTTCCTTTTGGGTCTCTTACACTATGACAGCGGATATCGCCTGCTCAGTGTCTGGGCAAAGCTTTCCTTGCCCATGGCTGGTCGCCGCATCAATGCGGACATCGATCTGTTCGTGATGAATGAGCTCGGCGAGTATATCTTGATCTTTCACGAGGACAAGGTGAGTTGTTCAACCAATGCATTTTTGGGGCTGACTGTATCATTGTCAGCACTCAAGCCAAGATCCCGAAGCACAAGTCATCGCGAAGGCAATCGCCGCGTTCGACTGCAATAATAATAAACGCGTGAAATCAGGTTTGCAACGCCTGCCGGACAAGGACATTTGTGCTATCGTTATGAAACGCACTGCAATCACCTTTTATCGCGTTCATGTTACGACAGCACTTGTTGATGCCGTCGCCGCTTTAACCTATCCACAGGGAGAAACAACGGTCCTGAGGTTTGTACCACCTGTCCCGAACCAGGAACTGTATGGTACAGAAGGAATGCATCCGCTGGCCAATCGACTTTCTGTTTTCCAGTGTCTTGAAGCTTCAAGGCAGTTATACTAGTATATCTTTTGCCAGAAGAAAAAAATATGCATCTCACATTTTTTTTTTGAAGGAATGATGTCTCAATCGCAGTCAAAGGAAAGAAATTGTTGTTGGCAGATTGCCATTTTTGTTTTCTTTCCATGTGCGGCGTGGGTTGATACTGGAAAGTCGATACGATGTTTACAGCAGTTCGCAATAAAGTGATCGCAGATAATTAAGGCCAATCTAATACATGATTTTGGGACGCATACCTTCGCGCTCCTCAATGGACTTTTCAAAGCAGTGGAACCTTCTTCGTTCCTTTACTGCAAAGTCCCCGATGAGTCGCTTGGAGCAAAAATATGAGATAACGGGCGAGGTCGAGGATGAGCTACAAATTCGAGTCAATGAAGAAAAGTTCTTTGTATTGGAGAGGATTGATGTCGACAATGAATGTTTCGTCAGGCCTTCGGTAGTGAGGTAGGCTCGGAGTTTAATTATGTCAAGCTTGCAGCGCCCTACATAGCGCAAAGATAGGTCAGAACAGTTCCGTCAGGCTTCAAGATTCGCCGGTGGTCCCATTTCATTGCTTATTATGCCGTTTATGAAGGTGATCAAGGTGCCATTGAGGCCTTCGTTCAAACTTTAGCTGTATGATTTGTACAACTGAACTTCGCGCAAGCTGCCATTGGGGCTATTGGAGCATTCAGTCTCGCGAATATCTATCAAAAAGAAAGTTCTAGTCGAGTTATTCAATTACTCGTTTTACGCATCAGCATGCTCTTTGGGTGTGACTCCCTTCTAAACAAATCCCAGATGAGCAAGCCCAACCTAATGCGTTTTAGCGCGACAAACCTTTGCAGCTTCCCTCGGGGCCTTCAAATCAGTGGGTCCCTCCTCGCCGCTTTTCTGGAAAGTGCCCGACGTATCGCTTGAGCTTTCTCCAGCGGATGGCGTGGCTTCCTCAGTGGCAGGGGCCTAATAATCATATAGACCTCATCAACACAACGGAAACCTTGAAGGGCTGGAAAACATACGGTGTCTTCAGCTTCACTCTTAGCAGCTACTGCAAGCTCAGCACTTCCTTCCGGCTAAGCGCATATACGCTGAATGTCAGTAACAGGCGAAAATACAAGGGTCCAACTCACCGATTCAGCAGCTTTTGGAACGTCGCTCTCCTGTTCAAACAAAGATATCGCGTTAACATCCTCATGCATAGTTCAACAATTTGAGTCACTCACCGTAGCCAATGCGATTGACGAAGCGACATTCGCTGGCGTGCCCTCGTCATCTGTCATAATTTGCACAGGGGCTGCCTCCTCTTTCTCAACGGCCACAGATGGAGTAGCGGGGTGGTGCCACGGGTCCTTCAGCTTGATGGCGGGGAAGTCGCGAACGTCATCGTGCACAGTGTGGGCCTGGGTAGCCTTTCTTCCACTGGGCGATACCAGGTACAGGAACTAGTAGAGGAGAAGAAAAGGCAGGACAGCGCGTCAGACAGAACCTGGGGTTGATGACGCGGTATAAGGGAGACTCACAAGTGGCCCAAAGACCAACGCAGAGCCAACCTAAGGCAATTAAATATTCAATACATATCGTCGTTACGGGCGGTAGCAAAAAGGTTGAACATACGATCCAGGGGGTGTCGCTCGATTTGGTTGAAGCACCATGTGATGCCGATTCAGAGGACATATTTCGTCTGGCAACGCGTCCTGCGGATGATGCATTAACGCGACGAGCTGCCGACGATAGTGCTGTCCGTGCGAGACGAGCTGACATGGTGGGGGGGAGAGTGGAGGACGCAGTCAATGGTGCGCCGTGAGACTTGTCGTTGGATTTTGAACACGGGTCAGACCGGCGCGCTTGATGACGTCGAATTTACACATTGGCACTCCAAATGATATACATACTGACGACGCGGAATGCAATATCTACATCAAACATAATCCCACTTCAGGCCAAGTTTAGAAGCCATTACCAACCCCATCGCAGCCCGGAATGGATCTCGCGCCTCCAGTTCTTCGTCCAACAACGTGTTGAGTACCGAATCACGCTTCTCGCCGTCCAAAAGCCCCGAGTAAACTCCATCCTCATTCTTAAATGGCTCCAGGAGGTCAGTGAGATACTTGAGAGGTGCAGTTGTAGGATCCAACACGTCGGCCAGTGTGAAGGGAGTTGGTACATACGCGCGAAACTCGGAACACGAAGGATAGCTTGGTAGGGGGTGCATATTTCTATAAGGAAAGTCGTAACTTGCCTGCAAACATATGGTCAGAGTTATATCGTCCCATACTTCAAGGAAGCACACCATAGCATCTTTCAGAGGCAAAGACAAACCGAGAGCATGTGAAGATCGACCAGGAGCGATAGACAAAACCTCGTCGGGTTTTTCATTAGGAAAGGCGGACGTCCAAGTATGGGAGCGGTAGTGACTTGAGCTTTTATCGACGGTACCTTGAGCATCAGGCTGGGGGAGCGTTGAGGGAGAATCAGAATTAAGAGCAGCAGAATCGGAAGCGTTGACGATGCGTGAGGTGGCTTGATGTGCACACTGCGGGCCCTGGCTTATATATCCATTGGGTATAACGTGGAAAAATGAGGTAGATATTAATAATAATGCTACCTTTTAACTACCGGAATTAGTTGAAAGATATTTAAAATCTTTTATCAAATTTTATCAAATTTTTTCCATCGGAATTATTGAGAATTACGTGGGTGGATAAACGTCGAAGATATTTTGAGAAGATATTTCTACTAAAGGCAATCCATATCTGCACAGAGGATATGTGGAAGATATGTGAACACGAGGTGAAGAAACTTCCCAATATAGCAATATTTTCGGATCTAACACCTGCTTAATAAGGCTACATTTTGCTCCAATGTTGAATGTCCTTCAAGTTGACGCTGGACGGTGATGCTGTTACCTCGGCACTTGCTTCCATCTACGACCTAGTCGCAGCATACAACGACAATGTTGCATTCTATTCACAATGTTGCGACCACTAAGTACCTAACGGCAACCAAAGCTCAACATTCAACATTCAAAATGGAGCGCCCAGCAAGGAGATCCGCAGTTTTACCCAATGTAAGGGCGCAGGATTGTGGGCAACAAGCAGATACACTACGGACAGCTGGCGTTTTGCGTTTACGAGCTGGGATAGGCTCGTGGTGAGTACTTACGTTGCATTGGATATCACGCGCGATATTGATGGCCGTGGTTGTTTCCAAGCACTCAGCGCTTTGCATGAGGCATTCTGGCTGTACGCGCCGGTTTTGTGGACGGAGATACGTCGTCTGGAGGCTGGGAATGGGCAACGGCGATGTTTAGCGATTGTGGGGGCGTAAACGGGGCCAGAACATGCTAAACGATGACGGTACGTTAGTCTGACTTCGTAGAGTATTGTGACGCTGACATACTTTCATATATTCACAGTCACCCTCTTAGAAGACTTCAAAAGACAAAAGCAAACGTCTACATGAGGGCTGTAATGATTCATATACATGCGTCCAACGCATGCAAGAACAAAGGACATCTACCAGGGAACGAACAGTAAGTATTCTTGAAGTATTGACACGGCAATAGGTGACTTACTGTATTTTACAACAGAATTTATTCTTCAATGTAGTATTGATTGTCGGAGCATCAAGCCTTAACCATACAATACTCAAGCCCGACACGACGCTGGAGCAGATGCTGTGAAATATAGCTTGAAAGTCCGTGCTATCTTTCTTTTCCAGTCGCGATTTACGATTGAATCTACAGAGTATGTTGGAATTTATATCAAACATGTTTCGGAACACTTCAACACTATGCCTTGACCAAAACACTCACCCCGTTCCATGCTGCGCCGTCGGCTTCCCTCCGAGATCATTTCCAACCTTTCCAAGGCTTGCACATATGATATCGACGATACGTCCCGATATTGATCACACCGACGAGTACGTATGCAACACGACTGCTCGCGCATTCTCCGTTGTCGCTTCCGCCTTGGGCATTCCATCCCTCCTTCCTTTCCTCAAAGCTGTCTGCCGATCTAAAAAGTCATGGCAAGCTAGGCACACTGGTATTCGAATTGTTCAACAAATTGCGATTATGATGCGGTGTTACACCATCTTCGGAAATTGGTAGACTGCGTTGCGAGCAAAAAGTCAGAACTATGACAGCTCTTGGGTTAGCCGCTTTGGCGGAAGCTGCTGCCCCTCACGGTATCGAATCCTTTGACACCGTCTTGAAACCTGTCTGGTTGGGCATCCGTCTACGCCTGGCAAAGGTCTTTGCACCTTTCTTGAAGGTTATTGGTTTCACTATACCCCTTACGGACCCCGAATACGATTCTTCACGGTTATTCTCATTCGTGATTTCCAAACATCTGACGAGGGGATGAAAAAGATCGTCTTGAAAGTTGTCAAACAATGCGCTGCCACTGAAGGTGTAACTCCACGATGCATCAAAAGTGATATACTTCCTGATTTCGAGGAGGCTGGAGTCGACTAGGGAGGTGAAGTAGAACCACCAGTGCGTGCAGAGGCCTTCTAGAAGAAAGGAGGCAGGGTAACCACGTGACAATACCCCTTGACCATGAACTCGACCTACCCCGACCTCCCTCACGACCTATCCTCCCCCACATCGGCACAACCTGCTCAAACCCACGCTGTATGACCCCCTCAGAGTTCCCAGTACCATCTCCATACCCACGCCCAGGAACTTTACTTCAGATCCGATGTTTTCAATGTCAACGATCATCTCGCATGCTTTTTATCCAACTCAGGTGCTTTCGTCGTCCGTGACATCTTCGAGGTCTAGCCCAGGTTTGGGTGGTGGAGAACAACAACAGGAGCAGCAGAGAAAGGACAGGAAGATTGGGACGCACTTGAGACGGGCTATTATGATATTTTGAGTGTCCTGTGACGGCATCGATGGACGATAAGTATTAAGAAAGCTTATCGTTCGTTTTTATTTCATTTTTACTTTACTTTCTCACCAACAACATCGCAGGCGGCCTAGCAATCAAACATCACTCAGACAAACACCCCGACGACCCCTTAGCAGAAGACCGCTTCAAGTCCATCGCAATCACCTACCAAACCCTCTCAGACCCCACCCTTCGCAAGAAATACAACGAGTTCGGTCCAAAGGAGAGCACTCCGGAGGGTGGCTATGTCGATCCCGAAGAAGTCTTTGGCGCCATTTTTGGTGCCGATTATTGGTCAGATCAGCGTATGAAGAGCGCGTTGCAGGAGGCTGAAGAGGCTAGTGATGAATCTAGTGAAAAATCAAAGGTGCTGGATGCAAAGGGAAGGGAGGTGATTAGTCTGGAGGAACGTGCGAGGAGGGAGGAGAAGGATCGCGTGAAAGTGGAAAAGTATAGGCAGAAGGCTGCAGAGGTTCGTTCATTTTTCTTTCTATCATTTTGTTTTCTTTCTATCATTTCGTTTTCCTTCTCTCATTTTGTTTTCTTCCTCTCATTTTGTTTTCTTTCTATCATTTCGTTTGCTTTTCTCCATTTTGTTTTCTTTCTATCGTTACGTCTTCTTTCTATCATTTCGTTTTCTTCCTTTCATTCCTTATTCAACCACGCTTTTAGAAAGCAGCTACCCGTGCGGAAAGGGTATCCAAACTCGTCGAAAACCTCGAACGCAAACTCGGTATATTCACCGAATCAGCTACAATTCCATTAGACGTAACCCCTCCCTCCTCCGACCTATCCACAAGCTGGCGAACTATCTGTTCGCCCGAAGCAGCTGACCTCTCACACGAATCCTACGGCGCCGAATTGCTCCACTGCATCGGCTTCGTCTACGTCTCGAAGGCCAAACACCACCTCGCAACGAAGCAGACGTTGTTTGGCGTTGGTGATTGGTTGCATAACGTTCAGGGGAAATATCATGTTTTTAGTGAGACTTACGTACACTGTGGATTCTCTTTCTGTTCTGTTTTTTTTCTGAACGTCTTTTGACAAAGTATCAACCCTCCGAGCAGCGATTGAGCTCAAATCGGTATTCTACCAAATCCAAGCAGCCGAAAAGGCAGGGGGAACTTAAGTCCGGAGGAGAAGAAGGGGTTGGAGGAACAGGCGGCGGAGAAGGGATTACAGACGTTGTTCAAGGTATTCCCACCTTTTTTTCTTTTTTTTCTTTCCTAACTAACACTCGCCAGGGAACGAAACTAGAAGTGGAATCCATCCTTCGAGAGACTTGCGACCGCCTCCTCTCTGATCCTGCTATTTCACGTGAAAAGGTGCAGTTGAGGGCGGTGGCGCCGCAGATACTTGGAGAGGTGTATCTGAATGTTAAAAAGGATGTGCCGGAGGATGGGAGTGATTATGTGAAGACTGATACGAAGAGTAGTCATGCGAGGGAGGGCAGGAGGACGTGAGCGGAGGATTTTGTGTTCAGGCACGGAATGAACTATGTTTTCGTGTACTTACATTTGCAGACAATCACTAATGATAGTTGTACGTGAACTGAAAGACATCCGTTGTGCATTGGATGTGTATCGACGTCATTGACATCGACTGTGTTTTAGACTTTATATTTGGAGACAATTGATGATAATTGTGCATTCAGACGTGAACTGAGGTGCATCTGTTGTATGTATTGACGTTGACTGTGTTACGCTGCCCCGTCGGCAACAGCTGTGGATTCAGAGCTGGCGTCAACAACCGCAGTCAGCGCCTGGCCGTCCACAAGAACCCCCGTGGCTGTTCCCTGCTCCACCGACACAAGATGACCTGAGTGTGTTCGTGTTCGCGTTCCTCCTCTTCACAGGCGGCTGTGGATGGTACAGCCTCTCCTACACACACGGCAAAGTAAGCTCCTAGTCCCCACTCGCTTCAATTTACGATCACTCACCTTGTCTTCTTCTTTACTTTCCCAACCTTAGGATACGTCAACCCCTCTTTCCGCTTCCCCTGCTCGTTCCCTTCAAACGCCTTCCTAATCAGCACAAATGACCACTGCCACTCATCACACTCGTTCTCAAATCTCCCAGGTGAACATGGTTCTGAGGGGCGTGTCGTGGGTTACGAAGGGTCGTTGGTCGCCTTCATGCGATTCGAGCTCCCCATTTTGCTGGCGCGATGAACGGAGTTGGGAGATGGCAAAAACATGGCCTTAACGAACGACAATACTCCGTTATCATCGACATTTCCTTCCTCGGCCCTCAACTTCTTCTTGACGACATCGGGAAAATCGAGAAAGTCGGTTTTCGAGTTGGGATTGGATGCTATTTGACGTGCACACTGTCTCTCTAACGTCCATCTCCAGCAAACACCCCTTCTCAGGTTCACAACACACATCCCCCCCATACAACCCTATCCCATCCGTCGCAAACGGCGTACATCGATGATATTTATCTCGACGTTGCGCTCGCTGTCTTATTCCATTGTAGTCAACTAGTAAAAACCATGTAAGCCGTCAACATCCGAAAAATATACACGTCGTTACTCACATGGGCATAGGTACGCTTGGTTCACCACGGGATTGGGTGGTGGATTCATGAATGCTCAGTAGCGAGGATGGCCTAAGGAAATGTACATGACATTCACGACAAAGGGGTAAGCAGACATACCATCCCTTTCCGCTCCTACTCTACAAAGCCTGCTCAATTATTCACCAGTGTTCCCTCAATGACCGAGTTGTTAGAAATGTGTTGCGTTGGCAACGTCCGACTGATGGTACACAAGCAAGGTAAGTGTTCAAAACCTCTCGACCTAGTTTCAACGACTTACCAGCCTACGTCCTACACCTCTGAAGCATACATCATGTCCAACCTTGTACTGCGTATCGGAAGCGCCGACGCTGACGGCTTCGTGTACAGCGACCCCAGTCGAATGGGGGACGACCTTGGTGGCTATCGAGGACCGAGGTGGTAAGTGGCCTCTCCTGCGTCCCAATCTTTCGGCCCTTTCTCTGCTGCTGCTGTTGTTGTTCTCCAGTTCCATCTAAACCTGGGCTAGACCTCGAAGATGTCACGGTCGACGAAGGCACCTGAGTTGGATAAAAGCAAGCGAGACGATCATTTGACATTGAAAGCATCGGATCTGAAGCAGAGTTCCTGGGTGCAAGTATGGAGATGGTACTGGGAACTCTAAGGGGGTCGTACAGCGTGGATTTGAGCAGGTCGTGCCGATGTGTGGAAGGATATGTCGGGAGGGGGGAATGGGGTACGTCGAGTTCATGGTTAAGGGGTATTGTCACGTGGTTACTCTGCTTGCTAGTGAGGCTCTGGCTTGACTTCTGAGAGGACTACAGAGTTTGAAGGGTCTGAGATGAGAGCGTAGAGGTCTTTGCGACGAGCTGGAGAGCGTGTGTAGAGTTTCGTAAGGACCATGTCTACTACCTAGTCGGGTCGTTCCTTCATCAGCTCGGTCCAGGAAATGAAGGAAGAAGAACCGAGACTCACGGGATCACACAACTCCCCCCACCTCCCCCGCCTCCCTTTCAATGGCCCTCTTGGTTCTCCATTTCCTCAACCTCCATGAACTACACTCCAATCATTAGTTTTTACTCAGAACAAGAGAAGAAGACAACCTACCTTCTCCTCCTTCATCCGCTTATCCCCTCTCCTCTTACTTGCAACATCCCTAACAAGCAGCAAATCCCTCCGAGAATCGCTATCATCGACCCTATCAAACTCGGCACACCACACTTGAATGATATGTGTTAGCCTCTGACGAAGGATCCCCTCAATCCACTTGTCTACCCAGTGTTCAAGGTTCGCGTATCCTTCCAGGTTCAAGCGGTCAATCTATGGGTCCGTCAGCCTTTTCGTAGGCGAGTGAAAGGGGGTACGGGCACCTACGGCAGCCTGCACTTTGCCTAGCAACTCTGAGAACGCTTCAGATGTATACGAGCACGTTGAGAGGTCTTCCACTGCGCGGAGGATGTCCTTGTACAGATCAATCACGTTGTTCGTTTTGTCCTATGTTGACCATTGGCATCAGTGCAGCTTAGAGGAAGGGAAACACAAGAACCAAGCTGAAGCACAGAAACGACGCTCGCAAACTCCCTCACGAAGTGTATATGCCGATTATCCCTCCCATCCGCACTAGACACATATCGCGTCCAAATTGCGTCGTATCATACTGGTTTACAAAGTGATCCCAATGGATGTTCATCCCTACACCACATCAGCCCCTTCCTGAAACCTCAAGAGAGAGAAAACACACACCTTTCCCAATCATCCTCTGCGACTCATTCCTATACTCCGCCACCAACCACTCAATTTGCCTATTCTTCTCCACCAAATCCAACGTCTGCCCATACGTCCTCACAGTTTCATCAAACTAACAGCAAGCGGATAAACCCTCTTTGCATCCTTCGCCATATTCGTAATCGCATGCAGAACCTGGAAGCCCGCCCAAAGCAAATTCCTGACCTCCTTAAAGAGGGTAATAATCTGCGGATCGATATTAACCGCCAACTGGAACCCCCCTCGGCTCAAACGGACAATCTCGAATAAACGCCCGCCAACGCCCATGTCTCAACGGTTGATGTCGTGCAGCCATGCATCGAATACGGGTCGGGTGTCTAGTTTTTTGCGGAATGCTGAGGATTCAGATTGGAGTTTTTGACCTTCTGCATAGAGCTCCCAGCCTTTACCGAGGACGTCTTCGACGCCTTTCATATATGTAAGGAGTTGTGGTTCAATTTGGCGGGCCCAGATGATGGCTCCTGCTATTGGGGGTAGGTTGCGCATTTGAGCCATGTGGTAGGCTTCGGAGAAGCGGTACTGAGTTTTGAACTAGTAGTCAAGTAGGGTCAGTAATTGGAGGTGGATGGGAAAGAGGGAGGAGGGTAACCTTGTCGTGCAAGTGCTTAATGTCCTCCTTTACTGAATCAATAAGTTGTGTCTGGTACTCCTGTATCGCACCACGAATCTACACGAGTATCGTTCAGCAGAAAGATCGCAATAGGCGAAGAAAGCACGTACTTTTGGCCTAATGAAAAGTGCATCAAACTTCGAGAAAACCCTAAACATCTCATTCACATTGCGCGCCGTGCCAAGTCTATCCCTGAGCCTTGCAATAATCTGGTTCTCGACGCGAGACACACGCTTGTTGTACGTGTTTAGCCGTTACCCATATCTCGGTGCCTTCTGCGTAAAGTATCCACATCAGCCTCCAGGAAAGAGAGGGAGAAAAAGAAAGGTACTAACCAACACTAACATCCAAAACATCAATCCGCTTGACAACCTCATAAGCCTCCTTAACCTCCTCCTCCATATCCATACCCCCTCCAACACCTCCTTCTCCTCCAAGGCCAACCCCCAACCCCCTCGTCGGGCCCGTCATAACAGCCAACTGCTCATGCTGCTTCCTCCGCTCCATCAAATACCCCACCCATTCGACAAGCTTCCCATGTGCCGGAACATCCTTTGTCGGAATAAACTTCTCACTCCTCTTCCTCGCTACCTCCCTCATGATGTTTGTGAACTCTTTTTTTAAAAGAGATCATCCCACGTCCTGAATATCCCTGTCGTCTGGCGAGGAGACGTTCAAGGTGGGATAGGGTGTGTATGCTAGCCGGTTGGATGTTAGGATCCAGAGGGTTAAAATCTCGTGAGATTGCTTCGACGGATTGGGTAGGGAAATAGCTTGAGTTTTCTGTGTAGGTGGGAGAAGATGGGCGTGAGTGATTCGTGCACTTTGTCGAGGTCTGTGGAGAAGAGAAGGTTGTTGAGCGAAAAGTCTTTCATTAGTTGGTGTACTTGTGCACTGTCCACATCGTTAGCCTTGAGTACAAAGAGAGAGGGAGAGACGCACCGAGATCCGTAGCATCCTTTAACCCGGTATCAGCAATAAAACTAACAGTGGCACCTCTTTGCATTCCTCAGTGCATCCATGACCATCCCCACCTCCTCGCTCCTCAGCTGCACCTCTATCCCCTCCAATGCCCTTTCGAGGCTCAACCAGAAGTTGATCTCTTGCGATGCCGTACCAGAGGAAACGTCTCTCGTGAGCTTGGTCACTGCTTGGATGGCTTTGATCCATGTGTTGACGTGCGGGTGGAGAGAGTTGAGAAATGTGCTGTCTGTGAGGAGCTTTGATGGGATGTGGGAAATGTTCGATCGTTGACCTTGCGATTGAGCCTTTGTTCAAGTCAGCGAGAATGGCATCGTCAGAGGGAGGGAAAAACCTACCAACTCAACAGCCCGTTGAATCACAGGATGAACAACCAAACTTGCCTCTGGAATCTCCACGTTTTGTTGTAAATGCAACAAACCCAACTCGAGCTCTGCAAACTTTTTCTTCGTCATCGGTATGCCCAACTTGCTTCTCCACCTCCACCCCCACCTCCTGCGTCTTTCCCTGCCCCTGGTCCCTACAAACACATCGAACCATGGCTTAACTCCGCAGCTTACCACGGCGTGTAAAGACTCATACGGCGTCTGGTCACCATCAAAGAGATTGAGGAAGTGAAGCTGCGCAAAGAGCGGTACAAGTGGGTTGAGGTGTTCGTTTTATGAGCGGAAGTGTTGTGCGTGCGTTGGGTGGTAAGTGAGATGTGGGGCGAGGTGGTACGTGTATGTCAGTGTTCCTCTGTCATCTGCATGGTTTCTCTGTGAACATCTATTTACGCGAAGGTATGAATAAAACGACAAACCTTCTACCTCGTCCTTCACTTTAACGATATACACCACCCCCCAGACTCAGCTGCAAACCTAGCAACACGCTCATCGAACTCGTCATCGAGCAGTGAGTCCAACTCTGATGGCAAAGCACCAATGACAGGTGGTAAGAGGGCGAGCAAATACATCCTGAAAATGTCTGTATTGAAAGAGAGCGGTTATGTTTGTGATTCTGATTGTGGTGGGTCATGATGGTGCCCGTTCGTAGCGGTTACTGTGGTGTCCATGTCCGTATTTTCGTAAGCGGGACCATCGAAAGGAGGGGGTGATGCGAATTTCGCTTTTGATGTTCTCCACAGCGAAAACAGAGACCGTGAAAGCGAAAGAGACCATCTAGGTGGCGTCCTCCTATGACTCGTAAAATGATGCTGTACGCCCGTATCAGTCGTCATCGTCTCTTACGGACTATAATCTAAACACGCACATTATTGTATCAATCCCTTGCTCTCGCGAGCTGTCACCAAAACACGTTGTTTCGCCCCAAAAAAAGGATGGTCGCGGTTAAGAGACCTTTGTATCGCTCTCAAACCTCCTTAGAGACGTGATTGGGGGAGAATTGAGGGCACTTTTGAGGAGATTAAGGAGATTTGGATGCCGGTCACTGTCATGAGAGGACGTGTGACGGATAACACCATAATTGTCACACCAGGGTATCCTCCTCTGTGTCTCTATTTATCTGTGCATTCAACGGTAAATCCAAATTGTCAGCGGTTAGTGTAGTATCCATGTCTGTATTTGCAAAAGTGGTGATGGTGGTACATAAGAGGAAAGGATGAGCGAGCAAAATAAATTAAGGTAGACTCGACATGTGTTACGTGTAAGCGCCCTGGTCGAGCTTGGCTTCCAAATATCCCATCTTCCGCTGCGTTTATGGTATGTTTCATACCTTGGATCTTGTCTTGCAGAGCAGCATTGATAGTTTGTGCCTGTCAACCGGTAAATGTGGACCACCATCCGAACAGCAAGTTCAAACTGTTTACCTTCTTCAGCTTGGGGGTATTGCTCTTTAGCTCCTTGTCGATATGTTTTAACTCTTCCCTCAAGCCACTAAGGTGAGACTTGCAAGCAGCCTTATCAAAAGATGGGGATGAGAAAATGGCAACCCACATTGAAAACAAATACAAAACACGTTGTCTCTAGCCAAAGTTATTGCCGATTCAAGACGAGAAACTTCCGAGACGAGGTTTTCGTCTCTCTTTGCGCAGGGCTTCTGCTTGCTGAGTTCAAGGCGCTGCGATTGCAAGTTGTCACAGACGCGAATCAACCCTGACGAAACCGTTAAACTCAATAAGGAAGTACGAGGAACACAATGATAATGCTGACCTTGAACGTCATTTTCGTCCCATTTCTTGCTGTTATTGTGCGTACTTCATCCTCCAGTAATCAAACCACTCTTATGGATGATCGTGCCTTCCAAAGGACCAAAGCAACAGCTGTCGTTTACGCGCAAAGATCAACTCGCTGAAATGGAGGTTGTTATCCGTCGAGGACAAACGTACCTTTCACCTCCTGACCTTTGTCATAACACACATATCTTGCAACCTCCATGGTTTTGCAAACAAGAGCATTCCCACAAGCGTGATGAATAGCTCGCTCAATCGCAGGCTCGTACTGAACTACATCCACGGCTAAACAAGCACCCTTGGCGAAGGTGCGGAACTTGTCGTTGATAGGTTTCACTTGGATTGTGACCAGTGGTATAAATTATGCATGTACTACGCACCATTGTCAAGAAGCTTGAAATGACAATACAGGTGAATGAGAAACATATTTCAATGCAATCAATGGCTGTCTTCTCCTCGTCAAAGACAATGGCGTCAATATTGCGTCCAAGGACAACAGACACCGCTGCTTCGTACTTTCATTTAATTGGTTTGCAAAGGTCGACGACCATCCCTCAACACCTATTAATTATAATACATTATTCGGCCTTCACTTTCTGGAGATCGTCTCCAAATCACTCACCTGGGAAGATCCGCTGCAGGCTAGCCAACGTCTTCTTGAGGCGAGCCTCATGTTCCGATTCGTGCTTGTCAATCCCGGACTGCAATAGCTGCTGGTAGACGTTTTGAAGCTTCTCGTCCACTTCTGCGTCCAATTTCCTATTCACTACGTTGGTGCGGATAAGGATATCTCGAGTGAAGTTGCCTATGCTATTTTCTCTCTCTCAGCCCGTTGATTATCTAGTTCTTGTCGGACACTTGTCAGGTTTGCCTGTAGTGACGAAATTTTCACGTCGAGCTATCAAGTTTGATGATCAGCACCGCTCAGCCATTCAATCTTGACCTCAGTTTTTCGAGCAGTCTGCACTCGGAGATCCTTGCTTCGCAACTCCTTCTTCTCCTCGTAACCTTTTTGCTTTTCAGTGAGTCGTGCAAGTGTTCTGCTCGAAGTCTTTTCTTCACGAAGAGCTTCAAGGGTCTGTCGTTCATCAACGGCGAGTTTGCTTGACGATGATTTCCTAATTATCTATGTGAGTAAAACATCCAGCTGACGTTAGGGATCAGCCTACAAAGCACGTCCAGGCTTTCCTCGGTTAGCGCTATGTTGTGCTGAAATGCTTTTCTCTGCTCCTCTGTTCAGTAAGATCAGCTGGACATTAGGAACGAAAGCGCAAACCTTGAGCCTTGTCGGCATCTCGACGCACACTCTTGAGTTCGGTTTGCAGCCGATCAAACAAGTTCTCCTGCCGAGTCTTGAGGTCTTTGACGACCTCCTCCTTCGATTTCTCAGTGTTATTCATCTTCCATGTAGCATGCATAATATGAGCCTCGATCGTGACGAGTTCAGGTTTCTACAAGATGTCAGTGACAGAAATTGAATGATAGAGCCAATAGACTTTGCTAGCTAATGCTTTCTCGGCCTTTTTGATTCCCTTCTCCGTCTGCATGGCGACCGTCCTAGCTTTCGCCTGCTCCGCTCGCGCCGCCTCTAAAGCGTTGTCATGGACTCTCTGCTTCTTTACCCAAACCCGTCATTCGCGTGTGGATTGACAACAAAGAGTCAATAGCTGAACATCGCAAAAGGGCTGGGGTTAGCAAATAGGTGATGCAAGGAGCTTGCACCCAGTTCTGCATGCCACGCGGGGGAGGTAGTTATGAGTAGTGTTGCCGATGGGGGTGGTTGAGCAGAGCCCCCCGCTGGCGATGCTGGCCTTGGCGGCGATGGAGTCGTTCGTCGATAAGTCTACTTAATTGTTGCCTAATTGAGCAAGTGTTCCATAGATCCGGGAATACTACCATACTTGGAAGTTCTTCACCTCGTGGTATCAACATATCTTCCACATATTTGCTGCGTAGATATGGACTGCCTTTTTTAGAAATATCTTTTTCCAATATCTTCGACATTTATCCACCCACAGTATTCTTGATAATTCTGACGGAAAAAAATTGCTTAAATGAAATAAAAGATTTTAAATTTCTTTCAACTAATTCCGGTAGTTAAAAGGTAGTATTATTATTAATATTTGCCCCATTTTTCCCCATTATCCCCAGTGGATATATAAGCCAGTGCCCGCAGTGGCAGTTCGAGACGAAAGATTATCAACGCTGTAATGTTGGAAGTTTGAGCAATTTAGAGTTGGGCCTTCACCCTGCAATTTTCGTTTTCTTAATCGACGATTGACTAGAGCTGGTCGTGAGGCGGCCGAAACCTGGACAGCGACAGGAGATGGGATGACAGCAGCATTGGATTGAAGAGCGCTGATAGGTGTTTGTATCAATGGCGAACGCATGGGAGGAGGCATCATGCGCAGGAAAGATGCGGGTTCACGTTGACAAGGGATATCGCCTTGCAAAGTGGAAGGCTGATTGCGGGGAATTTCGGGGCTGGGCAGCAAAACTTGGTCTCCAACCGGAGTATAACGTAGTAGACCGTCAGAAAAGGCGGAGTCAGCTTTTACATCCAAGACTGCAGCTTTCTTCGGATTTCGTTTACGGGCCTTTTTCTTCGGAGGTGGCTTATCTAACTCTTGAGCACTATTGCTAGGTTCGCCAGTAGCAGAAACATCCGCGATTACACGAAAGGAAGAAGACCTGGGGAGGATGATATCTCGATGTTCTATCTTGACGTCGCGGATCTCCAGCGGTGACATGGGAGCATCTGAGCTAGGCGGCTTGGTGATGTCAACTTGGTCGGGTGCAACAACAGCTGTTTCACGCGTTTTCTTCCGTTCCCTACCATACCAATTGTAGATCCATTTTTCCGGGCTACGGTGCATGGATATGTCGAATAAAAGTCACAAATAGTGACGCAACAACGTACAGTCCAGTTTTGTCTTTGAGCTCTCCAGAGCTTACAGCCTGAGATTTCGCAAACGCGCCTCGTAGAATCTTTAGTTGAGAAGAACTAGCTCTAATTGCTACTCTTTTGGCGGCCGGAACCGAGTTGGTCGCATCCATCAAGATCTCAGTTGACGCGCCAGAAATCGCTTTCCAAGCACAGAACACAGGGCGAGTTCAAACTTGAAGAGAACTTCTTATCAAAGCTCCAGACCTGCAAGCATCAGATGACTGCGTTTCCCAAGAACGAGGGTTGTTTCACGGAGTACAGACTGCAGATGACGGTTGGGATTCAAGATGTAAACGCTTTGGCAAAATGATCACAAACGACGCGTGACAATCTGAATCTCCAACCACGAGGCAACAAGTCAGATGATTTCTCCCTTCCCCTTGACTATAAAAGTGTCCTCCAGGTCAAACTGCTCCGGCGAAGCCTGTATTAGCTGGTTTATTCTCGTGGCTTGGCTTCTAATCACCAGACCAGGGGCTTTCTACGAACAACAACGTCTCACTGCGGGCATGGGCTTATATATTCAGTGAATAAACTTTGAATATACAGAGGATAAATTTAAAATATCTTTAAACTCAAATTCAATGTTTATATTTTGAAGATATTTAAAATTTATTCTTCAATATGTTTCTGTTTTATTCTGTGCTTATATTTAGAGTTTATTCAATCCATTTTAAGCAAAGAATATATGCTGATCATATTTGAAATTTAGTCGCTGAATAGATGCAGGATATATTGGAAACTAGATTTAGAATTTATTCACCAGATATATTCTAAATTTCATCTTGATATATTCACAGGATAGATCTTGATGATATTCAAATTATGTTCACAGTTTCGATCATTGAACATAGTGTGAATAAATTAGAATCGCAATGAGGCTGATCGAGTCACGTCACGCTCCGTTATCTCCAGCTAGATCTGATCGTCAGATTTCAGTTCACCGGTTAAAATCGAGTTGGGAATTGCGCACCATTTAACTTGTATCCAACGTCGTGTTTCTCACTCTCAAAGAGTAAGACAGGATCATAGAAAGTGGCTTTAATTTGGGTACTACAAGTATGAGATAGCGCAGCCAGAAAATCGCCACCTCGTTTTGAAATTCTTGAGTATGTGCACTGCAAAATGCTGCCTGTCCACGCTTCAACTCAAAGGAGAGTACATCACCACCCTCGCCTTTAGATCCATTGACATTCCATCGGAGACTTGGTCCAATTTCTTCGCAGCCCTCACCTTCCCCTCCTTCACATCCGACCTTTTTTCCGACGATTACGGCACTGCATTCAGCTCAGAAGATCCACCTGGCCATGGGGGCATCTGGGGGATCATAAACAGGGCGCTGGGGCCGAGGACGCGAAGTGGCGCTGTAGTCGTTGTTTGGAACCACCTGACCCACCTCAGCACCTTCCAGTCTGAGACGAGACTCGCGACGAGCACGAACACGCTTGTGGAGGAAGAACAGACTGAAAAAACCTGCGAAGACGTAAGCGCTGGTAAAACCACCTTGGGATTCGTGAACATGACCCACGATATAGTAAGGGTCAGAGCCGAGGCCGCAAGCTTCCTTCCATGGCCTGTTGCCTAGAAACGACGTTAGACCAGACGAAAGACAAGAACTTGTCCGGTAACATCAGCGCGGGAAATGAAGTTGGTAACGGGAATGTCAGCATGGTGGCCAAATCTAGACGTGGACATCCTGGAAGTTGAAGGTGCCGTTCAGCACCGACAATTGCAGGACCTGCGCGTTGTGCTCGTGGTGAGACTCCGTTATAGAATGAGGCGTACTCACACGTGCCTAGGCAATGAGCTCAATGTAGATTCAGATTCACGAGGGTTGATGACGACGTACAGATTGGAACCATGTAGACCATTCCTGGACATAAAACCGTAGGCCAGAAGTATCCAGATGTTTGCGCAGAGGATAGGGATGAAGAAGAGCTTGCGATAGGGCGATGGGCCACGAGAGAAGAGCTTGGGAAAGTACTAGTAGAGAATGATCAGCCAAGCGAGGAAAAAAGGAAATTAGAAAGCGTACGCACTAGAAGAGCCGTTCCCCCAATCCACACAACGTGTCCCCTCCCTGCATGCTCTGTCGACGACGCATGTCTGAAAGTGCACGATTATGGTAGGTTTTCACGGCAGCCCTCAAGCCATTGTCAATGACTTACCTATGTCCTAGAACGACCATCTCTGAACAACCACCTCTGAAACATACGTCGCGTCCGCCGTCATACTAAGTACGCGTCGCAAGGGCCGAGATTAAGAATTTGGTGTACGAATGGGCGCTGAATGCTATCGACGTGGTGGTCAGAGGCAAGGTCAGTCACCATCGCTACACTTTGATGGATCGTGCTCACCGTTATCCATGGCCACAGCGTCCATCAACAAGCTCAACCACGACCTTCGAGTCTCAACAAAACGGGTCAGTTGGCGTCTGTCCGAGTGGTCTTGAGAAATATGCAAACAGTTCTGTTGAATCTATTGGCATCGAGCATCGGAAGCGAACTACTATTGCTGTTGAACTTGCAGCGAAGGTCAGTCTCCCACCAACGACTGCCATGTGCTTCAACTGACGCCTACCATGATTAGCCTAAACTCTTGTTGTCCTTTGACGAACCTACGTCAGGTCTTGACTCGCAAAGAGCTTGCGCAATCATGTCATTCCTGAGGAGTTTTGCAGATAACGGACAGGCCATTCTTTTCACGGATTTCCTCGCCGTTCTAGGACATGTTCTTCCCTGACTTTTCTGCGTCTTCCAGGATACGTCAGCCGTCAGCGGAGTCAATCCAAGTACGATCCCGTCAGCTCTTCCACACAATGTTTAACACTATCATTGTAAGGTTTTCGGCAGGTTTCTACTTCTTCAAAAGGGTGGTCGCACTGCCTACTTCGGTGACCTTGGTCGAAACGCCACCACATTGATTGAGTACTTTGAGAAGAATTGGGCACTGCCTAGTCTTGATGACGAAAATCCGTGAGTTCTTATTTGCCTGACAAGAACGCTCAGTTAAGTTTGCCCATGATGTAGTGCGGAGTACGTGCTGGGCGTCATCGGAGCTGGTTCAACCGCTACGAGCGAACAAGATTGGTATCAACTCTGGCAATCATTCCAGGAGTCAAAGGAGACCCAGCGGGAAATTGAAGCTATCCACGTTGAAGGTCGTAACCGGCCAGCAATTGCCGCATCCATACATACCGAATTTGCCAATCCTTGGGCATACCAAGTGCTGGAATTCCTAAAGCGTGATGTGGAAGTGCACTGGAGAAACCCCACGTACCTCATGGCGAAACTCATCCTGAACATTGTTAGCTGTCTTTTCATCGGGTTCACGTTCTTCAAGGCTAAGCATAATATCCAAGGCACGCAAAACAAGCTCTTCGCGATCTTCATGGCAACGATCCTCAGGTAGGCAGCCTTTTTCTCTCTGTAGAGCCGGCAGTTGACTCTCTATTCAGTGTCCCCTCTCGGATCAACTTCAGGTTTCTTTCATTGAGATGAGAAACGTCTATGAGATTCGTGAACATCCTAGTAAGATGCACAACTGGACTACGCTCGTTACTTCGCAGGTCCTCATTGAACTCCCTTAGAATATTCTAGGAGCCACTCTGTTACTCTTGACGTGGTTCTGGACCGTGGGTTTTGAGACCTCACAAGGCGGGTGTACCTATTTAATGCTGGGAATCGTGTTCCCACTTTACTACACTACGATTGCACACTGAGTAAGCTGCTGATCGCCTCACAATCCTCACACAACCAACACCTTCACCCACAGGCCGTCGCAGCAATGATACTAAGTGCAGGAATTGCAGCCCTGCCATTCTCGTTCTTAATCTACCTTGGGAGTATCTTATGCAGAATCACTGATCTGTCTGAGTGCTAACATGGTAATTTAGTAACGGCGTACTGCAACCCTTTGCACAACTTGGCTGGCGGTGTTGGATTTGTGTGCCCGTTCTTCCTTTCACCAAGGCTGATATGCGTGTTTGTAGGTATCGCCTGTCACCATATACCTATTTGATCGAAGGCCTTCTCGGACAAGGTTCGTTATCGTCTTTCTCTCTTTCGTTAGCAATTATCTCTCATCTATATCACAGCTATCGCGATCGGTGGCCAACAAGTATCCTGCTCACCCGTCGAATTCGTGTCGATCACCCTACCTAGCGGGATGACTTGCGGCGAATACATGAAGCCATTCATTTCGTTTGCAGGTGGCTACCTCACCTCCGACTGTCAGTTCAGCATTCGCACGACGGACCAGTTCCTCAATTCCGCGTTCAATATTTTCTATAACCACCATTGGCGGAATTTTGGCTTCATGATGACGCCCCTTGTGTTCAATGTGCGTTCTGGCAATCTACGTTGCCTACGATGAAAGCTGACGAGGTATGACAGTTCTCTTTTATCTACCTTCTCGCATATATTTTCTGGATTCGCGAAGGAAGCATTTTACCCTCTTTTAAGAGGCGTGCTGCCAAGAAGTAATGTATCCATTGATATCTCGATAAACGGGCACTCGTCCCATAATCGTTTTGTGGGCTTCATCATAGATACTTAGAAGCTGGGTCATATGGCCTGAGGATTCTTCATTCTATTTACAAGGGAGCGATGGATATCAAACGGACTAATGTACTCAATTTATGTAGTATATTATGATCGATACGAAATCGTCATCGTATCACTAGTCGCATAGATCTAGAAAGGGAGGTAATACAATATGTCCCCATCCTCGATGTCCACGCCCTTGAAGAAGTTTGAGCAGGAGGAGTTAAGGATATACATTCTCATGCGTCCGAACGATGGCACGAACGCCTCATTTGCTGTGCATAACTTCAGAGAAGTATGGCGTATGGTGGAGGAAAGGCAAGACAAACCACATACTTAAGCCTGCTGTAGAGTACAGTCCCTCGTCGTCCATTTGGTCGTTACTGAGAAACTGGTCCGCCTCTGCAACTTTCATGGCGTTGAACAGCAAGCGTGACGATGTATATATGGGTGTTGGCCCTCACGAATATAAATAGCAGAAGATGTATATATGCATGTGGACAGATGACACTGTACACTTATGGATCGTATTGCGCACATAATCATGTGCCCAACGCCATTTACACAATAAATCAGAGCCAAAAAACAAAGACCGAGAAAGAACGTACACTCACTTGTAATCGCCATTCGGGAGCACTAATTCACTACATAAGTACCCGTATAACAACAAACGAAGAAACGATAGAGTACTTGCCGGCATAAGTCAGAGCCTGGTCAGCTATTGATTCCCACTACTGTTGTTGCAGTGATCCCCCCCAATGTTTCGTTCCCCAGAACGTTCAGGTTTCATTTTCGTTAAAAGCAGGTAAAGACGGACTGCGAATCCTCATCCACTACTTAAAGCCAATGCCGCCCAACCACATAGACCACTGGACACCCTCAGTCCTCACCATCCGACTTGGTAAGGAGTCCTCTCGTGTGTTTGGATGGGAATTGGGAAAGGTCGTCCTGGTGTTGTGGGTGCTGTTACCCCAGGATTTTTGGACGAGTGAATGTATTAACCTAGATGTGCTCATGATTTTCGTTCTGTTTCATTCTGGTTTATTTAAGTCAAATTTCAAGCACAAACATTCGAAATCAATTCAGCCGCCCCGCATGAAGGACGAGCCCCAGTGCTATGAGCAACCCGTAACCCTTCTAACTGCCCTGATACCCGTCCGCCCACCCTCAACCACTCGCCCCACACACCAATGCGCGCCATAAACCAAAAACTGCAGGGACATAACCACCCCTACCATGGAACAAATAGCGATCACACCTTCTGGCCAGGCGTCGAAAGCCACAAGCTCGAGGAAGAGCATGAGGGAGAGGGCGGAGGTGAACATGCAGAGGCCTGGGACACGCGCTGAGAGGGAGAAGAAGAAGTAAGAGCCGTATACGTCCCGAGCACGAGCCTGGATAAGGAAGGGTTAGAAGAGACAGCTGAGTAGATATAGGAACATACAATGAATGTCTGTAGGTCTGCCCAGTTATATTGCAAGAGAAACCAGGCGTCACATGCGATGCCGAGACCAGATGCAATGCTGCTCGTAGCAATAGCACGCCGAGCGTAGAAGTTGACATTGAATAGTGACCCTTGGGAGATGGAGAAGACGGCTGTATCGACACTGATGTAAGTGACATTAGCAACTCCTTCCGGGAACGAAGTCGAATGTACATACGCTGCTATTGCGACTAGCTGTATGAAGAGTTTGGGTAAGAACAGAATCAGGAAGGGAACGAAGAGAAGAGTGCTCACCAAACCTCCGATATAGGTCCACTCCATCTGTAAGCGCGCGAACACCTTGTCAAATTCTGAGTCCATAGTAGCTTCCTTCAGTTCGCTGTACATCGTAAATGGCGCCAGCACTCTCTCCATCAGCGACAGCGACAGAGCGGCAATTTGACGATTTGTTGGGAAACGACAGTGAATTCGTGGACGCATGAGGTTGCGGATGATGATGTGAAGGTCGACGGTCACAGGGACGAGACGACTTTGGGGGCAGATTGATCTGTGGCTGCGTCGTGAGACCGATGGTGGAAGGCTATTTTATCAACTAGTGTGACACCGCAGATGTGGGATGCTGAAAAAGGTTCTCGAGCAACAGCTGCAGTTTCTATCGATTCGAATGCAACATCGCCCACTCGCATACGCACGCCGTCACCTATTCAGTTTACCGTTAGCTAGCGAAAGAACCAGCCACCGTCGAAGAGCCGTTGAGGAACCAGCCGTTTTTGAGGCGGCCACCATTGAGGAACCAACCATCACCAGTGAACCAGCCGCTGTTGAGGAGCTAACAGTCGAGCAAGAGGTCGTCGCTGGTGAACCAGGGGTTGTTCAGGAATCAACAACCGAGGAATCAGCCCTTCCTCAGGAGAAATCGGCCACTATCGACCATCCAGTTGGCACCAACATGCAGAACCAACAACACCCCTCGAAAACAGGCGAAGAAACGCCCATTGAGACTTTTGCACCAGCTGTACTTAACAAAGTCGGCTTCTGCAATCTCTTTTGCTCACATCCTGACTGGGTTTTCGCTCCTTATACCTTATGTATCGTTTCACTTGAATCTCTGTTAGAAACTTGGAGAGTCGGCAATTGCACGTTTGCTTCGTTGGTCATGATTTGTTCTTCGTTTACATATAGACAGATCTACTGTACCAGCACGTCGACCTTCTGAGCCTAAGTCCTGACAGACATAATCAAATCAACATAACCTAGCAAACGGTGGATATCAGATACTCTGACAGGGGGCGGAGATCACTTACCCAATGGCACAACTGCAAAAGAAGATCGACAACTACCTAATAACCCAAAGGCAAATAGGAGACTCACAGCCTGTTTCATTCTTTGAATTAATCATCAACCAGAACCTGTTGAAATATTAGCAAGATGCCAGTGGACGATTGAATGAAAGAGTTATTTGACACAGCTTGAGCTTCATCAGGCGCTCACCCATGGGCATTGGGGCTTATATATATATATATACATCAACTGTCACCTTGCTACCAAAGCACGTAGGCTGTACTCAGGTTGAACGGGTAGCTCCGCCCTCCATCCATGCACTGGCCTCTCAGACTCTCAACTTCCCAAGGCCTAGAAAAGTAAGAAGAGCGTCGGAGCGCGAGTTCAAGAGAAGCCACAACTACATGGGGAGTGGGGAAATACTGGGCTACCATGGCCAACAGCACCACAGACAGGACACTGGTGCTCGTGCATGATCGTGTACAATGGCCGAATTTGTGCGAAATGACGCCTTTCCCGATTTGGTAATTGCGTCATTTGAACTACCGATCCAACCCAAGTTCATCGTGTTCTCGTTGGCGTTGATGAGGCTGACTTCGTTCCCAACGTAGGATCAAGAGCCCGAGCGAGGATCGAAACTGATACGAATGGCAGCGTTGCCGTTGGCGACAAAAGTGAGCTTGAGTTAACACACTTCACCCACTCTTGGACGACAGTCTTGACTTTCTCTTGTTGCATAGCGTTCCCACCGATGAAGGTGTAGGTGAGTTCCTTTTGTTTGTTAAGTCACAGAGATTGCACCACCAACGCCAGGCGTCCGACATCTGCGGCTGACCGCTGTAGAACCCATTGCTGCTCTTTCTCTACAGTTCATCACGTAGATGGTCAGTGAGCACATCTGTCTCCTCTGTGAATTCCATTCTGGTTAGTCTGGCGAGAAGTTCGCAAAAGCGAAGTTCCATCTCGAGGAAAGCGCCGTTGGCATAGCAGTCAGGCCTAAGTGCATGTACACCTGAGTTGGGTCGTACTATATCTGCTTCAGCTGGAAAGATATAGTCTCCGTGAGTGAGGGGATCATTGGCGAAAGTGAAGGAGTCATAGGGCTAGAGATGGGGAGCTGGCAACGAAGATCCAACTCCTCTCTGACTAGTTGGATCCCAGTTGGAATCTGTTGGCCAGGGGTAGAAGCATGTTGAGCGTCAACACCATTGGTGAGACCAGCACTCTCAAGCCTCCGATCATCTCGACTATGGCGATCACGAGTACTGCGACTCAACAAGTGACCCCCCCCCCTTTGTAAACCCCTTTTGATGAATTGTAGATGGTACAGTGCGAACAACACTTGCAAATGCAGTTTTTGGGACGGGCAGAACTCCAGGAACTAGCATGAGCTGAATACATTGAGAGACGCTTTGCAACCCATATGAGTATGCAATCGAACTGCTTTCATCTCACACACCTTTTGCGTTTAATTTTGGAAACGTACAATTGTAACAATCGTCTGAGTTGATTGCCTTCACGTGATCTAGACTACCTTGGAATCAAAGATAAAGTCCAAGAAAACAAATCGGTTGCGCGATCGAGGGAGAATACAGTATGTCAATCATATTCAAGTGTCATCTCTCTTTTGGGACCCATTCGCAAGTGAGGTGTGCCATGTGAGGACATTGTTCATTCAAGAACTTAAGTGCCAGCTTTTCCATGTTTTGATTGAGCAAGCGCGTCTCTTTTAAACCCCTGAGCTGGTCCCGCCATCTTGACACAGGCTCTGGTTGAGCCCCGTGTTGCTCAATATCCAACAAACGACGCCTATATCTGGCTTCCCGGTAATCAGTCCACCGGCCATAGTTCTCCGCGCAATCTTTCTTCTCAAAGAAAAAAGCTGGTGGGAACCAAGATTTGTATGCTATGACGGGACCTTGCCCTGTAAAGAAGAAGAGTTTTCAGTTGCTGATTCGCTCAATGTATAATTACATACCTGTGTCACAAATATATGTCCCGCATAACAAATCCAGTTCCAAATCTGTTAGGTCATCGTCGACAAGCGTCTCACCAGAAGGGTGATGAACTTCTCGCATGGGACCACCACCCACAGGACCACCCAATATTTTGTCAGCATGCATAAAGCTGATGACTAACCGCCATGGCATCCCCCCTCGAAGAAGAGCTGCACGGATACGTGGTTGACGGACCAGAATCTCTCGGAGGTGAATATAGCTATCAAAGTCGCGCTTGCTGAAAACATAATTGGGGCCACGAGAAGGGAGCTGATAGATGACGGGCATACTTGGGGGGGGCTTAGGCATCATACTTTTCCACACCAGGGTACGGAAAGGTACCCCACGCTCAATCAAAAAAACGGGCAATATCAGCCTCCCTATAACGTGGATCAAGTCTACAAACCAGAAGTACGTCGGCAGCAGTAGTCACCGCTAGCTTCCAAAGCACGGTCGCCTCACTCTTGAAGTCGAAAACAAAGATCCAACGGTGGTTGGCTTGAATCTGTTCAAAAAAGGATAATGACCCGACTTCAGTCGTTTGGTAAACACCAATGACTGGCGGTTACTTGGCGAAAGATCCCAGTAATCACTCGACGGACATTTGCCAGCTACCAAAATTTTAACAAATTGCAAAGACAGCCGAGCTATATCAGACGCCTCAAATTGTCGGCGCATTTCTGGCTTGTCATCCGTGTCCAAACCAAGCCAGCAGGCAAAATGTTGTCTATCCTTCTCAGAAATTTCAGGATGCGATTGTGGAATTGGGACTGGAGGAATCAATCCATAGTGCTCATGCAATGTCTCACAGACGCCAATTTGCAACAGCTCCAGCAGAGATGTCTGACGCAGGTTGTTGACGGCTTGAAGATGGTCAGAAGGTAAATCTGTCTCAACATATGGTTCAGGATTTGTGGGTGGAGTGGGGGCACGGAGGGGGGTATTCAAAATGGGAGGGGGTTCATCGCCTAACCCCATCTGTGCGATTTCCTCTCTCTCCTCGTTGGTGTAGTCCCCAAGGAACGTTCGATAGTCCTCTGACTCCTGCCACGTTTCTGGCAGGCCGGCTCCAAACTCTTCACAGATATGCCATGTATTATTGAATGAATCATAGCGTTTGTACTTGTCTTCGTACATCTCCAGAATGTCGACGCGCTCTGCCATTGTTTTTTCCTCTGGAATGAGTTGGTTTCCGCCATTTATAGGCTCAACCCACTCAATCACCCTGGCACTCCGGGTTGGTGGTTGGCGCTCGCGCTTCAGTCGTCTCTCACGATCTCTAGCAGACTCCACCTTTGCTCGTTCAAAATTTTCCTTTTCGAGGTCTGCAAAATATTGCTGCCACGACTTTGAACCAGACGACCTCGCAAGTGCAGCGGTCCCAGGAACGAGCGTAATGGCATGTTGCGGGTCGGTGGTCAAGGATGGGGCACCCGGATTGTCTGTTAACGGTGCCAGACCTCGATAGAATTCACTTTGCTTAGCTAATTCACGTTCTTCAGGACCCCATCTATACCAGACAGGTATACCTCTCTGACAGAACCACCGAATCGAAGGCTGATGGTCAGAAGGTCCCTGATTGGGTAGCTTGAGGAAAATCCCTGCCCGAGGATTATCAATTGAAAAGTCGCAAACAGTGGAAGCGGAGATAGTATCCACCCAGGTAGAATCAAAGCAAATTTCATTTGGGTAATCAAGGCTTCGCTCTTTCAAAAATGATCGCCAGTCAGGTACTCCAAGAATGGCATCTTTTCCTTGGTCTTCGCACCGCTGTCGATAATCTTTCTGTGCCTCTAGCGAGAACTCAGCTCGAGCCACCCCATAGGATAGTAAACCCATCCAGACAAAAAACCAATCTCGAGAAAGCATTGCAGCTTTTTTGATAGAATGGGGTTGTGTGAAAGACGCCCGATAACCCTTGGCCCGAGGAGAATATGGAGCGATTGCTGCAATTTGGTAAGCTGCAAGAAGTCTTCGGGTGACATGGAGCAAATCGAGGTCCAGCCTTGTCCAAGAATCAACAATGTCTTGGGGCAGTGAATATTTTCCTTCTGATGTTGAGGGAAAAGTTTGTGGCAGGCGAGCTAGGCGATCGAAAGGAAAACCAACTAACATTGGTTCGCGAGGAACAAAGGCAAGCCAACCATGAGTGTCTGTCCACCATCTTGGCTCTGTAAAGTCTTTCCATCCCAAAGTCATAGGAAACTGCTGCTTATTGGGGTCTGTTTCTTTTGGAACTTGAATCATCCGTGAGCAATTTGGCGAATAGTAATCCACACCAGACTCGTGAATCAGTCGACCACGGGAGCGGTCAAGCGGCCTGGCTCAAATGTCAGATGTTTTTGTCGATGACATTCGGCGAAATCGCTTACATGGACTCGTTAGCGCACGATGGCACTTTCTGCTGAGATAATCCGCCCTCCTGCCAGAAAAAACCTCTCCAGAACTCGCGTTTACTATTTGCATGAGTCATTAGTTCCAAATTACCACACTCTACAAAAAGGTGTACTTATGGCATTTCAATTGATAATCCACGAAGTCACAACAAGATAGAGTTTGGTCGGAGTGCCAGCGAGGCGTGGAAAGAGGAGGAATTCGGGCGAAAGAACGTTCGGCAAACAAGAGGGTGGAGAAGTGAGAATCAATGTTTGTCAAAGCTTTAATAGTTGAGGAAATGCTGAGCGATAGGTGTACAAGGACCGAAGCACGTTAAGACACGCAGAGAGAGAAGGCAAAGTGTTGGAAAAGAGGGTGTGAGGACAGCGCGAGATGTGATTCTTAAAGGATAGTGTGCATATGTGAGAGAATGATACCTCATGTTCTTTGCCGAGACGCAAGAGAGCTCTGAGAAGGTCAGGCGGGCACAAAACAGAAGGGCAAGTGTGACGGAAGGTGAGGAAAGCCACTTCGGGCGCGTTCGGCAAAGCCGAGACGTGCAGCGTCTAGAGAAGATACTTGTGGGGAGAAAGGGGGATCCTCAG